TTCTCTCCTTTCCTTCCCCAATAAATAATTAAAACCTCTCTCCCAAACATGACACTTCACTCCCCGAGCTTACATATACTATGCCCAAAATTCAGTCCATATTTTTATCAAAGTATTAAAAAGGTCCTCCTATTTTCTATAATCTTTTCTATTTGTTGGGTTCAGGAGGAATAAGAAAAAAAGTTGTAAAATCGTAATAAATTTTGTTTTGTTTTGTTTTTAGTCAATTTGTATGCTCTGCGGCGATGCCTACGCCGGTTACTGTGGCCAGGCAATGCTTAACTCCGGAGGCAGCCCACGCGCTGGACGAGGCAGTGGCGGTGGCGCGACGCAGGGGCCACGGCCAAACAACGTCGCTGCACGCCGTGTCCGCTCTGCTTTCACTCTCGTCCTCCACGCTGCGCGAGGCCTGCGCGCGCGCCCGAAACTCCGCCTACTCTCCGCGTCTCCAATTCAAGGCTCTCGAGCTCTGCCTCAGCGTCTCACTCGACCGGGTCCCCTCTACCCAACTCGCCGACGACCCTCCCGTGTCGAACTCGCTCATGGCCGCCGTCAAACGGTCGCAAGCCAACCAGAGAAGACAGCCCGAAAATTACCATCTCTACCACCAGCTCTCGCAGCAGTCCTCCATCTCCGCCGTCAAAGTGGAGCTCCAGCAGCTGATTCTGTCCATTCTCGACGACCCGGTCGTCAGTCGGGTCTTCGCCGAAGCGGGTTTTCGGAGCTCCGAAATTAAGCTCGCTATTTTGCGCCCTTTTCCTCAGCTCCTCAGGTACTCGCGCTCCAGAGCTCACCATCCTCTGTTTCTCTGCAACCTGACCGAGTATCCGGACCAGGTTCGCCGGACCCGACCCTCCTTTCCCTTCTCGGGTTCTTTAACCGACGGGGACGAGAATTCAAGGAGAATAGGACAGGTTCTCATTAGAAACAGAGGAAGGAATCCTCTGCTTGTTGGTGTATACGCTTACGATGCGCTTCAGAGCTTCGTGGAAGCTTTGGAGAAAAGAAAAGATGGTGTTTTGCCTGTGGAGCTTTCTGGGTTGAGTGTAGTTTCCACTGAAAAAGATTTCTCAAAGTTCATAACAGAGGATTGCGATAAAGGGTCTGTAAATTTGAAGTTTGGGGAGATGGGTCAGTTGGTAGAGCAGAGTTTGGGACCTGGGCTTCTTGTGAACATTGGAGACTTGAAGGCGTTTGTTGCAGACAATGCTTTAGGTGACTCAGTGAGTTACGTGGTTGCTCAATTGACCAGGTTGCTGCAGCTTCATCGTGGGAAAGTATGGTTGACTGGTGCCACGGCTAGCTATGGAAGCTACCTGAAATTCATTGGTAGGTTCCCGTCCATAGAAAAAGACTGGGACTTGCAGCTTCTGCCCATCACCTCTCTGAGACCTCCCTTGTCTGAATCGTATCCCAGGTCCAGGTGAGTTGTTGCTGCCCTGTAAATCTATATATTGCATGGACTTGTTCTGTTTTAAATTTGATGCCATATGAGGTTGTGGAAGTTTTCTTTTGTTTGCTTCTGAATTATAAAATTATGTTATCTTTGCTTAGATGCTTCTGCATGTAGTTTTCCATATAATCTATTGCTGTGTAAAGTGGGAGATGTACTTTCTTCTTATTGTTCTTTCTTTTTTTAAGTACAGATTTGTGAATTTGTGATATAGTTCTTTATTTGCGAAATTTAATATGTGGCTTGTACTTTCTGACATAGTTTGTAGTTGATATAGCTTAATTTTAGAGGAGTGAGGTGATTGACCAACGACCTTCGTGTTTTTTTTTGGCTGAAATATTGGCCAAATACCTGAGTTAGATAATATCAAGGTATATATTGCAATTTGAAATAGATTTATATGAGACCATACTTCATAGTCCATCCTCTAAGCTTTTGTAAAATATTTTTAGCTCTCGTAAATTCGTACTCCATCATCTATGCATGTCTAAGTAATCAAAAGTGTGGAACAATTATGCATTTGTTCGAACTGTCTGTTCAGAATGTCTATTTTCCAGTTTGATTTCTGACTGTATGTGCCTGTTGAATCTCACAGTTTCCTGGTCATGATATATTTACAGCTTGATGGAGTCATTTGTTCCATTTGGTGGATTCTTTTCAGCACCTTCTGACCTAAACCTCCCAATAAGTAGTTCATATCAGTGCGTGCCCCGCAATCATCTGTGCAATGAAAAATGTGGGCAAGAAGCATATGCTTCTCCGAAGGGCGCTGTTGCTGCTTCAGTGGCAGGTCAGCATCAAGCTAGCTTGCCTTCTTGGCTGCAGATGGCTCCACTTGGCACAAACAAGGGATTCGATATGAAGGTGTGTATCACGATCAATACATCTTCAATTCAGAGGGTTGAATTGTCAATATTGTGCTTTGTTTTTCTAGATGACAACCAGTTGGTGCTCTATCATTTGTTGGGATTTTGAAATCTTTACTTCAAACTACAGGTTTTTTTTACATTATTCGTTTGAAAACTAGTTTGTATCTCTTCAGTGCAGACCAAAGATGATGGTGTGTTATTGAGTGCCAAAGTTACAGGGCTACAAGACAAATGGGGTGATACATGCCAACATCTTCATCACCCTCATCCCCTGCCTGAAGCAAACTTGTTTCCAACTATAGTGGGCTTTCAATCTCCTGAAGACAAGAAAGACAATCAAGGCAACAACACAAACATTTCTTCAAATAAAACTGAGTGCAAGAATACAAATTCATGCATGCCCATAGATGTGCAAACAAAATCAAGCGTTCCTCCCCAAGCTACTAATGACAGTTTCTCATCTGAAGCATGGGAAAAACCTTCGAAAGATGAAGATCTTGAGTCGGGTGGCCTCAGGTCTCCTTCCCTGTCCAATTCTAGTGTGGTTGATGGTAGCCGAACATCTGCTACATCTACCACTTCGGTGACCACAGATTTAGGGTTAGGAATATGCTCTTCTCCTGCTAGTAATACAGCCAATAAACCTCCAAATCAGAATCAAGGACTTAAACAGGACATCTCAGGTTGCTTTTCCCCTAATGTAGATTTAGTCAATGGGAATCTCTATTCTGTTCAATCATCATCCTGCTCAAGTCTTGACAACCATGGGCAGTTTGATCCAAGTGATGTCAATGTGCTTTTTAGAGCTCTATTTGAGAGGGTTGGCTGGCAGATTGAAGCTATAAGTGTTATTAGCCAAAGAATAGCTCACTGCCGATCGAGAAGTGAAAATTTCGTTGGAGCAAGTCACAGAAGGGACATATGGTTCAATTTTACAGGACCTGATAGGTATGGGAAAAAGAAAACTGCTATTGCCCTTGCTGAGGTATTATATGGAGGCCAGGAACAATTGATCTGTGTGGATCTGGATTCTCAGGACGGAATGATCCATTCAGACACGATCTTTGATTGTCAAGCAGTGAATGGTTATGATGTGAAGTTTAGAGGTAAGACGGTTGTTGATTATGTTGCCGGAGAATTGTGCAAGAAACCCTTGTCCATTGTCTTCCTAGAAAATATTGACAAGGCGGATGTGGTGACTCGAAATTGTTTGTCCCGGGCTTCATTGACTGGTAAGTTCTCAGACTCCCATGGAAGACAAGTCAGCACCAGTAATGCAATATTTGTTACAACTTCAAAATTCTCAAAGGGATGCAATATTCTCACTTCCACAAACGGACCCTCCATCTATTCCGAGGAAAGAATCTTGCAAGCGAAAGGGCGGTCGGTGCAGATCACCATTGAATGTTCCTTTGAAGACAGCATGGCCATAAGCCAAAACTGGAGGGCATCCTCCAATACAACTAACGAAGGCATATCCAACCAACATCTTCTGAATAAAAGGAAACTGATTGGTGTCAATGAGCCTCTAGAGCAGCATGAAGTCTCAGAGATGCCCAAACGTGCTAACAAGACATCAACTAGGTATCTGGATCTCAACCTTCCAGCTGAAGAAACTGCAGCACAAGACACAGACGATGGGAGCTCTGAAAACGACTGCCCATCTGAAAACTCCAAGCCTTGGTTGCAAGAATTCTTTGAGCAGGTGGGTGATACAGTGGTATTTAAACCGGTTGATTTTGATGCACTTGCTGAGAAAATATCGAAGGAGATCAAGAACAGTTTCCATAAGTTTGTTGACACCGAGTGTTTGCTAGAAATTGACTCAAAAGTCATGGAACAACTACTTGCAGCAGTGTATTTGACAGACAGGCATAAGGTGGTGGAAACTTGGGTGGAGCAAGTACTGAGCAGGGGATTTGCAGAAGTTCAGAAGAGATGTAGCTCCAATGCAATTACTCTTCTAAAACTTAAAACTTGTGAGGGGCCTTGCTTGGAGCAGCCAGCACCAAAAACTTTCCTTCCCCCCAGCATTATACTAGAATGATTTCCAAGAAAAGTGTATTCTTGTAATTATATAAGGTAGCATGTAGCTTCTAGTAACCTTTGTTTAGCCTCTTTCAGTTTCTGTTTTCTGTGTTTTATTTATTTCTGGGCCAGTCCTTGTTTAGCCTCCTATCCCATGGTTTTAATGGGTTTTGCTTGTGCTTGTATGAAACTTCTATGTACCAATTAAGCTGTTTTGCCTTTAATGATGTGTAAAACTCCAAAACAAAGTTGGGAAGGAATTTTAATGTGAATAAATTTTTACTAATTTTTTTTTTTTTTTTTTTTTTTTTTTTATAAAAAAATTTGGGAGCAGATGCTCTATAAAATAGAAGCACCTTAAAAGAGTACAAAAGATAGCAATTTGCTCCTAGCTTTATTGTGTTCAATCAGACCATTGGTAATTTTTATCGTCTCCCATTTTATAATACAAGCGATAATAAAAGAGGAGAAAATAGAACACAAAACCCCAAGACCAAGCCTATTAACCAAATAGGACATGTCGTAAGTTGAGGGAATCAGAGTCATAAGCCAGCCCAAGCCCAAATGAAAGCCCAGGTCTCCTCCTTATCTAATCCAATCCCTTATTTTGTTTTCAAAAATATATATCAAATCACACACAATTGGGGAAAATGCCATCTTCGAGCCCTCGCACCGTCGAAGAGATCTTCAAGGACTACAGCGCTCGTCGCTCTGCTGTCATTCGCGCCCTTACCTACGGTTCTCTCTCTCTCTCTGTTCTAATTACATACACAAAAATGCATGCTTTTTTATTTAGTGTGATGTTCATTGACGCTTTGCTTGTTTCTGCACTTTCAGATGTGGATGAGTTCTATTCGCTTTGCGATCCAGGTCTCTTCTTATTTCCCTTTTTTTATTTTGCTCTTCATTAGCTTTCTGTTTGGTTACCGATAAAATTGAATAAAAATATAGGCTTGAGTATGTCTTCGTAATTATCATGAGATTTTGTTCTGTTTTTGTGCTTAGGGATAGTAGTCGTTATAGGTTCTGGCTGAGTAGAAACGCTGAAACGCATCAGATTTAGAATTTTTGTTTCATTTCTCTTTCTACATTTTCTAGGAAACCTAACAGAGCATATTTTTGTTCAATTTCCCCTCATAGCTTCTACTAATCGTATTCCATTGATGCCTTTAGTTTAATTTCAATCAAAATTTTATTGCTTGTTTTGCTTCCATTTGGAATGGGATGCTTTACGTACAAGCTGTGTGTACTTTAATATCTTTCAGAGAAGGAGAATTTGTGCCTGTACGGACACCCAGATGAGTCGTGGGAGGTGACTCTGCCGGCAGAGGAAGTACCCCCGGAGCTTCCTGAGCCTGCACTGGGCATCAATTTTGCAAGAGATGGGATGAACCGTAAGGATTGGCTGTCATTGATTGCAGTACATAGTGATTCTTGGTTGCTCTCTGTGGCTTTCTACTTTGGTGCTCGCCTGAATCGAAATGAGAGGTTTGTCGTTCTTGTCCTGAGTTTACAGCTGATATTTTCGTGAATTCAAATGTTACTTTTGATGTTGTTTTCCTGTTCTACTTGTGGAAGTAATGTTATTTTTCATGTTGTTTTCCTGTTCTCATTCACTCAGCAAAGATCTGTCTTCCAGGCATTCATGATATTTCATGAGCTCTTATTGCTTGTTTTCATGAAAGATTAGGGGCTGTTTGGCATCCGAAAACATTTTTTCATTTCTGAATACACTGGATCGTTTTCTCTGCCAGAAAACATGTTTGGCACAGCATTTTCAAAAACAAATTTGCGAAAAAAATCTTTAAAAAACAGCGCATTTTTAGAAAACACTAAAACATCTTTCTTTTTTTCAGTATTCTAATTGTTGATTTCAGAATTGGGGATGATATCGTATGCAAATATCTTTTCTGTGTATGTCAAATCAACCACCATCTGATGCACAAAGGCCTCAATTTGGAAACTTCACCTCTTCTTTTGAGCAGTCATTTTCATGAATTGCATTTCAGCAAGCTCTAAATCCTCAATGCTCTGGTTCCCAATTTGAATCAAGCCTAAAAGTAACTTTAGAAAATCTCATCTCCAAATCCTAAAACTTGATTGAGATTAACAGTTTTTGGTTTGTCGAGAAAACCCTAGCTTTTGACCCAAATTGAAAAGATCGATGAGCAGAGGAATGAGAAGGGTCTTCTTGCTTCTCTTTTTGAATCTGATAAAGAAAAAGAAAAAGAATTCCCCCTGTGGTCATGGCCTATTGTATTTCTGTTTTCCTTTTTGGGTGCCTTAATGAATTATGATTTCTGACCCAAAAAAGAGGTAATACCGTAGTAGCCCACACAATGTGTCAGTCTAAACAAAATGTGAGGCCTGTGAAGGGTAATATACTAGCCCAAACATGTTTATTGCTTTGTTATATAATTTGGTTTGATGTACTTAACATCTTTAAAATGATAGTTTAATAAAATACTTTGGACTTGTTTTCAGTGCCTAATTCCTTGGAAATCATTTTTAAGTGAACAGTTTCCTGATATTTCGTTTGACATAAATGAATCCTCACTGTGTATTATGAGAATAATGACAAGAAAAAATAGTCTTTGTTGCTGCAAGATTGTTGTTAATACTTGTTATACCTGGACAATACAATGAACTGTAATTAATTGAAGCTGCTGATTTATATGTGCAGACATCCAATTCAGAAATGTCATTTTCACTTCCCTTCTATAGTATTTCCTTGCCCATCCTCTAGCTTCCTGATTCAATAGACGTTGTTGATTGAGGAACTTAGTGTTAATTGTATAATGTGGTGTGTTGTCCCACCATTTCATTTTAGTGCAAATCATCTTCTGTACCTGGTCATCATGTTGAAATTGTCACTAAACTAAAAGGTGCTTTGCTGGGCCATCCATCTTGGTAACCCCAAACAAAGAAGGTTGCAAGTATGCATAAATAACCATTTTTTAAAAATCAACAGGAAGCGTCTATTTAGCTTGACAAACGATCTGCCTACAATCTTTGAAGTCGTAACTGGAAGGAAGCCCGTAAAAGACAAACCCAGTGCAGATAGTGGAAGTAAATCCAGGAACAGTGCAAAGGTGAAAATTTCTCCCTCTCTGTGTGTGTAAATAATTGCCTGCCAACTGAGCTTTGGATGGTCCTTCCCTTTGTGCAAATTTTGGGCTTATGACCAATCTCCGTGTCTTTGCAGAGATCAATTGATGGACAAATAAAGAGCAATAATAAGTTACTCGATGGGAGTTATGTGGAGGATGAAGATGAGCATAGCGAAACCCTATGTGGAAGCTGTGGGGGAAATTACAGTGCTAATGAGTTTTGGATTGGCTGTGACATCTGCGAGAGGTGGTACCATGGGAAGTGTGTGAAGATAACACCAGCCAAGGCAGAATATATTCAGCAGTACAAATGTCCTTCTTGCAGCACAAAGAAGGGCAAGTAGTAGTGTGACTAATGAAGAGCTCAACGTCCAGGGATTTTACCCCATTGTAATGGTCAATTGTACGGTCGGTAGATACTCTCTGACCACGGTTTTTCTTGTTTTATTCCCACTCTCCGGCCATGCTGCCATCGTTAAAACCTAGTTTTATCTCCCCGCTTGCGTTATATGTACCTCTGTATCCTCGTAATGTATAGATCTCGTTTCATTTGTGTTATTTATGAAATGCTCCTGAGTTTTAGTTACTAAATGACGTGGTTTATGATTTGACAGTACAACTTCTGAGTGTAGCATGAAGCTTATGCATCCTTGTGTGAAGAATTTTATTTTGAAGAAATTTTCAGTGTGACCGTTACATCACTCTATCTACGAGTAATGTATTGTATTTATAAAATAATAAAATATCAATTACGTCGTCCACTAATATTATAGATCCACTTGTGCGATTTGTAGATAGAGTTGAGTTGACAAGTCTTCACGTGCTTTGTGGAAACGTTGTGATGGCACATTGATTGTCGTTTTTCTTACTTTCTTCAGTCCAAAAGCTAAAATAAAATAAAATCAGGTGACATTTACATCAACAATTTAACAAAGTATGTATCAATCAACTGTATTATTGATGGTGCTGCTACAATGACGACCTTCAGATCTTATTCTTATTTAACAAGCCCGAATAAAAAACGTGCTGGTATTGAGTACACGTGCTTCTTTGACTTTTACTTCTGAGGCATGCTGACTGATTAAACCTGTCCCCAAACAGATGGCATGGCCCAGCTTAATAGTTAATTAAATACTTAATAATTCCATCATTAAAAGTTAAAACTTCTCCTCCTTTGCCCACTACTTGGTTGGTGCCTTTATTCCTTTTAATATATGTCACCTCCACTTGCAATGCAAACTTTAGCTTACATGCATGAACCTCCTCAGTCTTGCCTGCTCACTTTTCGCAATTTACAGATACAATTCAAAGCATGAATTTTGAATGGACTTTAGAGGTAGATGGTTTAATGTTTCACCCATAAGCAAACAGATATATAATCCTTGAATTATGGGTTGGAGCATGGAGTTATCTGACTTATTCAAAGTTGCAATTCCTTGTTTAAAGCTCATATAAATATATGTGATCTCAAATTCGAACCCACATGACACTTTGACAATGTGTATGAAAACTACATTTCCATAATATCACTTGTATTAAAAAAATAAATAAATTAACTCATATAAACACAGATGATTAGAGTTGGAAGTTTCAAACTCACAACCTCTTAATATCACTTAATTATAAGGTTATTGCCAAATTGTCATCATCAAAGAAGACCTTTGCCAAATTTGTTTTCATCCTTCCATGGTGTGGATGCATTCTCATAGGTATATATAACGTGATAGTGACTGATGCATATTCATAGCCCTTTTGGTTATAATTACAACTACTGCTAGCTAATCACCACACCAGTGGATATAATCAGAACATATATTATACATACGTGGCTTGCAGGGAAATGAAGCACTTTGTTCTTCTTGATTGTCAAATTGGAATTGGTTTGGGGATAAAAATCAACAAGTTCAAACTACTACGTGCCACCATATAAATCAGTAATCACAAAACTAACGCGTAAACTATGGTGTTTAAGATCAATCATTTTCTTCAAAGATCAATTCTACCTTCATTAATATTTTGGGTTGAGAAATTAGGAGATGTTGACCACAAAGGTAAAGAGACTATAAGGAGAATACCATCATGGCATTATTCCAAGCCAATCATTTATTGTCATGTGTTTTAACTTTTTAACATGACAATGCATGATAAGCTAGGAATATTACCACGATGACATACCCGTTGTATGTAAATTCTTCTCGACTAGAAGGCATCTCAGAATTGATCACACATGACATGACACAATTGTAGGTTGTTATATATAATTATTTATTAATTAAGAAATCAAACAAAACTTAATAAGAATTAAGAATTAGGAAGAAAAAAAGTCTTGGATTTTGATGACAGATAATGAAGAGGGGCCCACGCATCTCTAGCATCTGCTAAAGACCGCCAAGGATTGCCTCACATCGCACATCGCAATGAAGAGAAATATACATTGAGACTGAAATTAATAATTTATATTATACAGAAAAACCATTCAAAGTTTGCCAGTTTCGATCCAACAAAACTGCCCAAGATGATGTCGACCACAACATATATTCTACCAACGATATAAAATCAAAATTAGTAAAAGAATCTGGATTAAGTCCATTACGAGACAAAATCAAAATTATTAGATATTTAAATATATATATATATATATCTCTCTCTCTCTCTGAGAAAAAGCCATCTGTCATCAATACACACATGTGCTAAATTGTTATTAATTAAGTATTATTAGAATCGAGAAGAACCTTAACAGTTGACACTTGACTTTTTATGCATGATTGAAGAATAGAAAAACGAAGCACGGCTTTGGGCTTTAAATAAAAGACTATACATAGAGATTAATTAACATAAATTAAACATGGGATTAATAAAAATATTTGTACACTAATTCCACTGTAAAAAAAAATCGTACACTAATTCCACTAAAAAATTCGTACGCTAATTAATCAAAGGTGAATCATGAAACCAGTCCCTGTAATAATTAATTAATCAAAGGTGAATCATGAAACCAGTCCTTGTAATAATTAATGCAAATATTGAGTCAAATTCCAATCATCCGATGCGGATGGCATTATAATTTGCCCACCAATCTAATCTATTAAACTTGTAAAATATTCTATCCAATGCAGGTATTAGGCACACTTTTCATCAAAAGAAGTATTAGAATTGCGGCCAAATTCTTCCCTTCCCTCTAAGTGCATTCGGTTCAATTCATGTAAAAAACAATCTTAAGACTTTAAATAATGTCATTGAACGTACACTTCTTATTCTTATGGTCTAATTAATGCCTGTTAATTTATGGTCTAATTAATGCCTGTTAATTTATGGTCTAAACCAATTAAAATTAAAATAAACCATAGAGTTAATATGATATTATGGTGTTTACCCAATCTTTACGATAAGAAGCAATGACCAACATGTTTGATGTTTTATACTTTTATATTTGCACCACAACGCTAGGCTTGACTTCTGAATATATAAAAAATCAATAAAACTATATATAAAAAAGTGCCATTAATATATTGTAATATTTAACCAACGGTCCAAACATGACCAAAGTATTTTATTGTCACCACAATCAATGGAACAAATTATGTGGGACAAAGCTTTGTCATTAGATACAATTCGAATCTTTGTAGCCCCCCTCCATAAACATATCAATAATTTTTCACTATAGTTTTGTGATCCTTTTGTGATTACAAGATGTACAATTAACTCTCATTAAAAAGGGATCGTTACATATATATATATATATATATATATTTACATGTGCTCAGCTGCTCATGTGATTTACAGTAGGGAAGAAAATTTATAATTAATATGGTGAGGACTATTTTCGTGGAGACTTTAAAGAGTCGACTTGGGATTTGCCTCTAGGGCCATTCAATCTTATGTAAAGCCTGTACTCGTTGAATGTCATGGGAGGGTAGAGCGCAGGTCTTTCTGGGGTGACAAGCTCCTTTGCCGGCTCTATGGCTATGTCGCTCTTCGGATTGTAGAAGAAGGCCAGTGAGAGTCTCTCCTTTGCTGGGTTTACGATCACTCTGTGCTCTATGCTCTTGTATGTTGCGTTACTTAGAACCTAATCATTCAAACAAAACACAGATTAATATGGTTTACATAAAAAATAATTCGATAATTCTCAAGATAAACATGTTATATTATCAACATGTCAATCGTAACAACAGATTACATATAAAAAAATCGTGTTGTGGTCCACTTTTAACAATATTATACCAAACACTAAATCCGGAGTTTCTATGATTGTTGTGAGTTGATGGGTAACGACTAATTATGCAATCAATTAGCAGAAAAATGACGAAAATAGATGAGTGTAAAAGTTTTGTAAGCACGTGTAGCTTTCTCCGTAGCAAGGAAGTTAGAACTTATGAATCCAGTTTTCTGTTTGAAATTTCACATTGTGATATATTTAATATAATATAATTAAGAAAAATATTTAGTTAAAGGGGTCCTAATGATTTTCATGTTCGAGCAGCAACTTGAGATTTATAAAATGAAAACTTGAGAGTTTTATATATTACTTGGCGTGAAACACTGTCGCTCCAAAGTGCCAAATTAAATTAATGAAATTAAATAATTAAAATGAAGATTAAAAAAATAGTAACTTTATACCTCCATATATTGAAGAGTTCGGTTTACTTTGACCTAGTCATCAGTTGATATACCTCCCTATATGGATATGCGGACGTCTATTTAGTACTATTCCTCTTTGTTTTTTTCTCTGTTTTTGGTGGCGTTCGTGCAGTAATAACTTTAAATTTCATATTTAAGTTTGAATAGTAGGATAGTGTATGTCGCTTAGGTTGGAAACAAATATTTACATGTAAAACAGCTTGTTCATGCACCCCTACTGTTTGCGACATGAATTAATGATGGACGTTTTAGTTTTGATTGGTTAGGTTAGGAGGAGGAGCCCATCAAAACCTGACCCCTCCATGTGCCCATGGTTCATGCATATTGGTACCCCAAACATTTTTATTTATTTATTATTGTATTTGCATTAAGGATAATCTAGATGACAAATAAACAGATATAAATACTTTATATAAATAAATAAAATACAAATTTAGAAGAAAAAAAAATTCACCTGAATTTGATCACCAATATTGACAATAAAAGCGTGTGGAGCTGGCTTGACAGTGATCCAAGTGTCATCTTTTCGGACCTGTAAACCTGCGACATGTTGATCTGGGAGTAGTACGGTCATGCCTCCAGGATCTGAGTGGGATGATAGGCCCAGCGTCAGGTCAGGCTGAGGGCACTTTGGATAAAAATTCACCCTTAAGCATGCCCCAATATCCTCACCACCAAACCGCTTTTGGAGAAAGTCTTCTTCTAATCCAAGGTTGAGTGCTAAAATCTTCATTATCCTCCCACAAAGCTTCACTACTTCCTTCCCATACTCATCTATTACTTCCCTGAAAAAAACATACACAACTCAATCATCACACGACACAAAGAAGCTAAAAATACGAGGGAATAATACGTCTTACTTACTATATATACTCTTTTTCCAAGCATACAATAGATGATTTGAATTTAATGGCATGTGCCTACAAATTTAATTACCATGTGGATATGTGAAACAAAACTCAAGAAAAGTATAAAGCAAGTGGGAATGGTTAATGAGGAATAAGAAGCAAGAGATTAAGACAAGCTTAGAGAGCCCACTTAATTAAAGTTAGATTCACGAACATGACAATAGTAACAAACCATTAATCTAGTAGTATTTCTGTTTTCGGTTCTAGTCTAGTGGTATTTCTGTTTTCGGCTTGAGTCTAGTGGTACTTTACTTTCTAATATTGGAAGATGTCTATTTTGACTTGGAAACGTACCTGGCATAGCCGGGGAGGGCCGGCCACTTGTCGTAGTCCTTCAAGCACAATGGAAGATAGTGAAGGAAATAATAGTCACTCCAGTCAAGAATGGCACCTTTCTCAACCCCAAGCCTGCTGCCGTACCCTTCATAGGTCTTGGGTGAGTTAGCGTAGGCTTGCTTCAGCTCCATCGGCAAATGGAAGAATTGGCGCCAAACCTCCTGGGTCCGGTCCATCAAACCGGGGCTAACGCCATGGTTCACGACTTGGAAGAACCCCCAGTCCCGGCAGGCCTCAGAAATTTGGCCAAGTGTGGTGGCTCGCAGATAATCGTCGTCCAAGCCTTGGAAGTCAATGATTGGGATGTTGGTATGGGTGGCTTGATCAGAATTGGAGAAGATTGGGGTTGGTCTTTGGGTTGGGGGCTTGATGTATCGGTCTGGAAACACACCGGTCTCGGACAAGGACTGGACCCGGACTATTGGCTCTGGCCAATCCGAGGGGCAGTTCATGGTGTTTTTGTAGTTTCGGCTTCCAAGGTTTGATATGTATATATCAATTGGAAAACAAGACGGCTGTGATTGTCAAAAGTTTTGAGAGAGATGATGAGAGAGGGGGAGGGATGGGATTGTGAGGGCGTGGATGAGAGTGTGAGAATGGTAGTTAAAGGTGGAGAGATGTAGTGGGGAGTGAAATGGACGTGAAAGAGAAACGTGAAATATATGAGGTTTTTATAACCAAGTTTCAATCGAGATAGAATAGTACTTTATGGCTGTGAACGAGAGAAGAGGAACACCCTGCAACTTGTTGTATACACCCCTTCTCTCTGTCTCTCTCTTCACATGGTTGATCACGTGAAGAGAGATACAAAAGAACTGATATGGCAAATTATTCTCGTATACGAAGTTTCAACTGTTGCTAGAAGGAACAAAATTTGGCAAATTATTCTCATATGTCAAGTACATATGGTAGTTGGTACTTAATACGTCAATTGTCTTTAATTAGCCTATCCAATTCACCCGCAATTGTAGCATGTGTATTGTTTAGTGTGGAATTCAACACACTGCATCAACATCAACACGTGTCGTCATATACTGAATAATAAAATACATAAACTCGATAATCTTTCCACATAGAATTTAAAACAAGTATTATAATTTGATTGAAATTCAATATACTGTATCACAATGTCGTCATATGTAGAATAATAAGATACATAAACCCGATAATCTTTCCATATAGTGTGATGTTTACCAATACTATATAAAGATGTGATCCCTTGAGTATAGTATTGATATTTTTGGAGTCTACGTGTTCGATGAGGTTGACATGCCGACATATAAGAAATAAATCCTCATAGAGGCTTGTGGAGGAAGTGCTTGTGGAAATAGGGCATTCAAAACTCATGGGATAATATTATTGGGTTCATTGCAGTTCATGAGAGGGATTGGTCCCGGCCATTTCGGCGCCGTGAGCGACTTGATTTATACACCCCACCCCCACATCGCTCGTCCTTTATTATTATTTTTCTTTTATTTATTTATTTTATCAGCTTGTCTTGTATAATCGATGATGAGGATGACACGGACTTCGCATTTGAACTTTTAGCTACTTTTCTCTACAATTTGTTTCATTCTCACGGGAACACACGCACCATGCTTCAATTTTTCTTTTTCTCTTTTTCTTCGTGAAAAATGAGAAGAGACGATGTGCCCGCATATGTGCGGTTTTATTAAAATTCATATAACGTACACTATTATGTCATAGGTCTCACGCAATTATTTTAAAGTTCCGCACATTTATGGGCATGTGGAGGCATGTTTCACTCTCGTTTTTTGGGGTTTAAAAAAATAATATTTCTTTTAATAAAAGCAATAGAAATTTATTAGATTTTCCGGGGAAAAGAGTACAAATAATAAATACTATAGAGGGAGCCATCCCATTAATAATACGGCGAACAAGAATATTTTCCAATGACTCGAGCCGAAAATTAGATATATAGAGTTTAAAAGCCAAAATTAATGGTACTCCTTGTAAATTAACGTGGGCTGTTCCGCTTTTGGATCCTAGTTAGTTTTGATTTTGATTGATGATGAATGCAATATATATTTGGAAAGTAGGCATCTCATACACATGGGCCGGCTTATAGCATTTAGGGACACATGCAAATGCTAGCCTAATTAGGGTGATTTTCTCAATCTAATAGTCACCTCCACTGCTACAAATCATCAACAGTAACAAAATAATAAGAGAATATTTCCATTTGCCAGTCCAGGTTCTTTTGTTCAATCATTAGGGAAGTATGATTTTTCAAATTAAAAATTGATCTTAGAAAAAACAAAAAAAAGGAAATTAGGGCCACGAGATTCTTCAGTTGACTCTATGCATTTTGGATATAGAGAAATCGAGACAGATAAATCCTCAAAATCTTATTCATGACACATAGCCTCATCAATTTTGTAGTTTTTATTTTGTTTTGTATGTTACACATATGTTCTAACATATTAAATATGTATACGAATATATTATTAGTCATACGCGTTATGTATGTTCATACTCAACACATGTACAATTACAACTTCGTGAAATAAAACAATATATCAAAAGTATATTACTAATTTTAAAGTTTATATTTTTATGTGAAGTTGAAAATCAGATCGCGATCAGGTTGGTTGGTGGTGCCCTTACCTATCTTCATTTTTTTTTCGCTTATCGCTTGAATCCTAACTATAATTTTATGTCATTAACTTATGAAGATGTTTTCTTCTTTTTTCCTCAGATATTTTTTTTTGGTCGAAATCATATCTCATTTCATTAAAACGCCAAATAAGCTGGTGTACAAAGCACAAACTAATGACACAATAGAACCGTAACAAAATTCTTTCCGATGGCCATATGTACAAAAGGTAATTTGAGGAATACGTAAAAAAGAAAGAAAATAAGAAATTAAAGGCTCGTTTGATAACCATTTCAATTTTAGTTTTTAGTTTTTAGTTTTTAGTTTTCATTTTTTGTGATAGAGTATAAAGGATAAAGAGGGAGAGTGGAGATGAGATTGAAAGGGAAGATGAGACAGATAAGTAACAAAAGTGAAAATACAAATTAAAAACTGAAATCTATTTGAAATTGTTTCCCCTCTTGTCCTTTCTCTCAATCTCATCCTCACTCCAATTTTCACTCTCATTTTTCTTTATACTTAGCACAAAAAATGAAACGGTTATCAAACGGACCCTAAAAGAGAAACCAAAGAAAACTAATCAGCCACCAAACTACGGGGAATTATATAATTCAGTATATATATGTAACGTAACTGTTTATCAAAACAAATTAAAATTCCAAATAAATATTCAGTATGGTAGTGATGATTATTATAAAGAATTTAGACATGTGATGGACAAATGAGAAATTCTTTGTGCATAATGAAAGGGCAAAAGCCATATATGCATGCAGCGAACTGTTCTCATAAGTTAATGCAAATATACGCAAAGCCATGCATAATTCTCACATTATTTGTTAGCAAGTATACAAAACGTGCATGGAGTTCAGGTCTTTGTGTCGCGAAGTTTAATAAGGTGCGTGCTGGAAATCTGTATTATATATATAGCAGCAGAAAATGAATTAAATCTGTTTAGGTGAATTTCTCATTCATTCAATAATTTCTGGGGTAATTTAAGATTCTTACTTTGCTGCGGTGCGGTGCATGGAAATGAATGTTAATTTGGGCATTGATTCTGATTGTTGTTCAAACTATTTTTAAAGTAAATTAAATTTCTTGGTTGGGAAAACTCTCTGTCAATGTGGTATAAATTTCAATTCTCTGCATGTGGTATATGTGTATGTATGCATGCATGCATGCATGGTAATTGGCATGAACATGCATGGACGTGTGGTTACTTGCATGCATCGTCGTGAGTGGAGGAGATGACAAGTGGATGGACAGGGAACCTCCCTCTGACCCTACCTGACGCCTGCATGCATGGTCCATGACTCCATGACTCCATCCTCCATCCTCCATCATCCATGGACGATCATGATGGATGTTCAGCTAAGCTAGCTAGGGTAGACTATCATCAATCCCAATCATTATCCCATAGAACACGTGTTGCTCCGGCAATGTTTATGCCACACCTTATAATTAAACTCAATACCTAATTATTAAATTAGTTATGTAGTGTCGATTATTTGACTGTTAACTAATAATTTGCCCTTACCAAACAAATTTTTATTTTTGGAAGCCGTCATTGCTTAGGTCAGTGTTATGCCTTACATTGTACACTTGGTACGTCTGCCCACGCTTTTCTTTTGTTCTTCCTTTTTTTGGCTGAAGACCCTATACCCACTTTCCCTTCATAGACAAACATATCATTTCGTTAAAGAACCACTAATCCTTCTAAGAGTTTAAAATGTTATAGGATCAGCCAATAATTTATCAAGCTTACACTTTCTCGTGCAGATCAACGTGGAAATTAAGGCAAACCAGTATGGGAAGGAGAGAGATAATTTAAATTTTTCTTGTCTAGTCTAGTTTAGTCTTTATCACAGTGTGAAATGGAGAATTGTTGTCTGGTGGTGCTCTTGAACTCCATGATAGAGACTAAAAGCTACTTCGCTCTGCGCCTAACAACAACAAATTAAGATAGCCAAGCTGTTTGGCATTGTTTGAACACTCAGAATAGCAGGACCTCTCTCTCTCTCTCTCTCTCTCTCTCTCTCTCTCTCTCCAAAAACGTGGATTAATAGTTTGGTAGTTGGTTTGCTTTCATGAAAGGGTAATGCTAGGGTTACCACATTTTTATAGGGGTGGGCATCAATTCGGCCGAACTGATGAAACCGGCTGAATCAAACCGTGATTACCGTTTTGATTTGATTTTGATCAAGAAAAAATCAAATGGTTTAAAAACCAAACTAGGCCGTCTATAATTTGGTTTGGTTTGATTTTGAACTTTTATAAATTGGCCTAAACCAAACCGAACCATTTATATGCATATTAATTATTTATATTATATTTTATATGTGTAATACTATAATTACGTAATAACTATATATGAATATTTGAATTGAACTATACTAGTAATTGAAATTTGAAGTTTTATGGCATGTTGAGCTTTAGGATTATTTTGTACTCTATAAAAAGATTTAAGTATGGAGCAATTTATGAATTTGTTAGTTGTAATTGGGCTAACAATATTGAAAAAATGCAGAAGAAAAAAGAATTCGGCTTAGGCCCAAATCAGCCAAACCAAATTGAACCAAACCGTCTTAAATTGGTTTAGTTTGGTTTTCTTCATGACTTTTGTCAAAACCTAACCAAACCAAGTCGTTATATTGTAATTGGTTCGACTGTGATTTTGAAGTGAAACTAATCCAATCTTCAGCCGTGTCCACCTCTAAATTTTTATACCACATTGTTTACCACCTCTCTAATAGAGGTGGAGTCTACCAATACGATAAGAGATGGTACATAATGTGGTACAAAAATATGGTAAACTTAGCATTTTCCTTCTTGAAATAACCAAGACCAAGTATTAGATATATTCCACTTGGCCCAATTAAACCCTCAGTTACATGTGGGCCTTTTAATCAATCAACTCAGCTAAATAAATTTGAATGAAATCCCTAATGAAGCCCAATATAAAGCTGATTGATTAAATGGCCTCTGGGTTTCAGGTTTCACCTTGCAAAGTTTTCTCCACAGGCCACAGGCCCACTTTGTTTGTTCCCTTTTCTTTTTCCTTTTCAAACTCTTGCTTTCTCTCTCTAGAATCTGATGGGGATGACAAACCCATAGGGAGCCCATATTGCTCTTTGTTTGGGAAGCAAAGATGCGTAGATGCCCATATATATTTTTTTTCCTAGGGTAATTTAGATTAAGCCCATATTATTGTTTGCTTTCTTATGTATTCAAACGCGGAAGCTTCTCCAATAAAGATTTGTGTTAATGACTAGTTAATCTCAGTCATCCATTAGACATGTTAGTGGGTTTAATAAGTGTCATACATACATGCGATCCAACGATTGAAATTAAACGTTTTAAGCAATTCTTAACACATAATACTTAATAGAGACTAACAACATTCTGTAGATACCAAATAACTAGGCATGTTTTTCTGGTTTTTATCATGTTCTGCACAGACAACTAAACAGGAAACACCCTTGTGAAGGAAAAGGGGGAAAACAGAAAGTTAAAGTATGATCAGCTTCTTCTTCTTTTTCTTTCTTAGAAAAATGGGAAAGGCCTGCATCCAACGAATCCTTAAGGACCAGTTGTCTTGTCCTTGTCAAACTCAGCAAGTTCTCAACGTTTTGTTAGGATCAGGGGGTAGAAATCAAATCAAAAGTCCAACTAAAGCAAAGTTTACAATAACATATATGCATAAGATTGTTTGTATAGCACGTTTTATTATTTATTATTATATTTTTTAAAAAAATAAAAAATTATATAGGCTGAAAACCCGAAGGTGTGTTTTTTTTCACAAACGTCCATAGTGGAAGGCTGAGTCAGAGATTCCAATAATGAAATGGTGTCCCCCACCTCACCTCACCTCACCTCAACCTAAAGAAACGAAGTCTAACCAGAAGAGAAGATAAACGCGCTTTAGCTTGACAGCTTTGAATTTTCCTAATCCCATAATCCTCGTCAGTCACAGTTGGTCCAACCTCTTCTTCTTCATACATTTCATCTCATTTTTCAATCCCTCAGTCCCTGGTCTCTCAAATGTATACTCTACTCGCTCTTCCCAGTCACTGTTCCTTGCCACAAAAACGACATGAAATTGAAGACTTTGCGCAATACGACAAAAGTTGAATCAATGGTCGTGTATTAGTTGCCTCAACGGCTTCTTTGTTGGAATGAGCTTCTCTTTAGTCTTTAGATATGCATTTCAGGTTTCTCTGGTATTAAAGTATTATAAATGCATTGTCATTTACTATTTAGCTTTGCTATATGAATTGCGATCGATCGTTTGACTAAATATACTACCAACAAGTTCATATCGAGATTTTTGTTGAAGTCAATATTGTATTATCATCCTTACAAAGTCATTATGAAAAAAATTATCAATTAGACTTAATAAAAAGTATACTTTTGAGGAATCAATAATTAGAGTATGAATCTTACCAAAGACACTCAAGTTGTTAAGAAATTCCCCCCACACCACACGAAAAAAGTTTCAAAAAGATATAATAGGTGGTGTCGCATGCAATTAAACTTTTGAAAAAGTATCTCTTTTAAACGTTAATGCAATTATGCAAAATAAGCGATGAAAAAGTTGTATTATTGTTTCAAATTCCCCATCTAAAGTAAGATTTTCTTTCATGACCATCTAAAGTAAGATTTCATAATATTAAGAAAACCAAAAAAGAAAAGAAAAAAAGGAAAGTAAATAAGTAAGAAGTATAATAATTTCATTTTCAAAAAGTGATGTTCTCCGAGAGAGGGCAGGAGATTGTAGCAACGTGCACAAGCGCGAAGCAGATTAAGGAAACCATGAAACATGAAACACAAGCACACGTGGCGGACAACTCCACTTGAGGCTTAGCAAATCCTCAGCGAACGAGGTGTAGGTGAGTGGGCTCAGTAAGTCTATCTTCTTTGCATTTGAGCTGAATTTGGGGTGAATTTGAATTTGAGTTTCATTTAGGAGAAATCCTCCCGCTGATAGGATGGTCATAAAGAAGTGGCCCTCGCTTTGAAGGTTTGACTTTGACCAAATTCCATACAAAGGAGAGGAGAAAGAAGGCGCTGAGAAAGAAGAAAAGTCACACTTTCCTGCCTTCTTCCTTGAGCCACAGGCACAGCAAGGAAGAATATAAAGCCCCTGCCTCCCTCTTCTCATACCTCAACCTCCTCAAACTCGAGGTCCCCAAACCATTTTGCTCTCTAACAACAAATACTCAACGCTCCTACTCTCTCTCTCTCTCTCTCTCTCTCTCTCTCTCTCACTGCGTGCCTCTGACGACTTATTGACGACTTAAAGGTGAGAAAAAAGCTTCTGGGTTTGATTGTTTGAGTTTCCTAGAACCTTAAATTTTGATACTTTATATATTTTGATTGAATTTTGTGATACCTTTTGGTTTTGTATGATTTTTTCAATGGGTCTTTGAAAGATTTCTGGGATTTGAGTTATTTGGGTTAAAGTTTGATACTTTGGATCTGGGGTTTTTTTATATTATTATTTCCAAATCAAAGTTTTGTGATGATTTGTGGAATATGTAAAGCTCATCTCAATTAAAAACCTATAGTTTTCAAGATGTAGTTTTGGGTTGTTTCCGCGGAGGCGGGTTGAATTCTCTCTCTTGTTCAATTTATATAAATCTTAGATTCAATAATTATGCAGTTATGGAAGTTCTTATTCATTTATTTATAAATTAGATGAAGTAGACCACTTTACATATAAGCAAGCAGCTGCAGATAGTTTAAATTGAGTGGTATATTGAATTTTTGTTTTATAATGATGCAGGCTTTAGGATATGTGCAAGGGTTCCAAGGATAAGCTTAGCCCCTCCAATTTCACCATGGAAAGCGGATTTCCTAAGCAGAATTCGGTTTTGGTTGAATTGTCTGCCTCAGACAATCTTGATGCTTTCAGAAGCGAAGTAGAAGAGAAAGGCTTCCATGTTGACGAGGCTGGCTTTTGGTATGGTAGAAGAATTGGGTCAAAGAAGATGGGGTTCGAAGAGAGGACACCGCTTATGATCGCTGCCATGTTCGGTAGCACCAAGGTTTTGAAGTATATTATTCAGTCTGGTAAGGCTGATGTCAATAGGTCTTGTGGTTCAGATAAGGTCACTGCCCTTCACTGTGCCACTGCTGGCGGTTCCACCGCTTCACTTGGAGTTGTCAAGCTCTTGCTTGATGCATCAGCTGATGCTAATTGCGTCAATGCCAATGGGAATAAGCCCATTGACTTGATTGCCCCTGCTTTGAAGTCACCTTGCAGTTCAAGAAGAAAGACCATGGAGATGCTGTTGAAAGGTGATATGTCAGTGATGGAAAGTGATCAGATTGCTAACCAAGAGGGAGACCAACAGAAGTTTCCAAGCCCTCAGCTGTCAAAAGACGGAAGCGAGAAGAAAGAATATCCTATTGATATTTCATTGCCTGATATCAACAATGGGATATATGGTACAGATGAGTTCAGAATGTACACTTTCAAGGTGAAGCCTTGCTCGAGGGCCTACTCTCATGACTGGACTGAATGCCCTTTCGTTCATCCAGGTGAGAATGCAAGGAGGAGAGACCCAAGAAAGTACCCATATAGCTGTGTCCCCTGCCCTGAGTTCCGCAAAGGGTCGTGCCAGAAGGGAGATGTCTGTGAGTATGCTCATGGTGTTTTTGAGTCCTGGCTTCATCCTGCTCAATATCGTACCCGGCTTTGCAAGGATGAAACAGGGTGCACAAGGAAAGTGTGCTTCTTTGCTCACAGACCTGAAGAATTACGCCCAGTGTATGCTTCCACGGGTTCAGCCATGCCTTCACCAAGGTCTATGTCAGTGAGCGCCGCAGATATGGCCGCCTTGAGCCCATTAGCTCTTGGTTCATCACCTATGTCTCAGCCTACCACGTCAACACCGCCCATGTCTCCATTGGCAACCTCTTCATCTCCCAAGAATGGAGCTTTGTGGCAGAACAAAGTTAACCTCACTCCACCTGCCTTGCAGCTTCCAGGCAGCAGGCTAAAGAGTGCTTTGAGTGCCAGAGATTTGGACTTGGAGATGGAATTGCTAGGACTGGATAGTCATTCTAGCCAACAACAGAAACATCAACATCAACAGCAGCAGCAACAGCAGTTGTGGGATGAGATATCTCGTCTCTCCTCGCCAAAATGCTACAATAACGATTTCAGCAGGATTGGAGAATTGAAGCCAACTAACCTTGACGATGCCTTTGGATCCTTCGATCCTTCTTTATTGTCTCAATTGCAGGGAGTTTCTCTAAAGCCTTCAACGCCAACCCAGTTACAATCTTCTGCGCATCAGATTCGCCCAAACATGAACCAACTTCGATCAAGCTACCCAACTAACTTGTCATCCTCTCCGGTGAGGAAGCCCTCCTCATTTGGGCTTGACTCACCTGGGGCTCTTGCAGCAGCGGTTATGAATTCCAGGTCTGCTGCATTTGCACAGCGAAGTCACAGTTTTATCGACCGTGGAGCAATGAGCCATCCTCGTGGGCTCACTGCCCCTGCTAATTCTTCCACCATGATGCAGTCTTCGGATTGGGGCTCACCTGGTGGGAAATTGGATTGGGGAATTCAAGGAGATGAGCTGAACAAGCTGAAGAAGTCTGCTTCTTTTGGGTTCCGAAGCAGCAATGCTGGAACACCAACCACCTTTATGCCATCAGCTGTTGGTGAGCCAGATGTCTCTTGGGTCAATTCCCTGGTTAGAGATGTTTCTTCTGAGAGGTCTGAGCAGAAGTATCATCACCTCAATAAGGGGGTTCATGAAATGCTTCCCCCATGGGCGGAGCAGATGTACATAGAACAGGAGCAAAGGGCATAAGCGACAAGTCTGGCTCCTAGCTTCTCCTGAAGAAGTTGATACTTCCGAGTTTTTATTAGTATTCGATAAAATTATAGTTGTAATTTAAGAAAGGGGAAGCTACACCAAACTGATTCAATTCAATCAAGGCCCTGAAGTTCCGGGCAGGATAAAGGTGATCAAGTTAGGCTAGACTTTGGAGAAATCAGATAGAAGGAAGCTGCTATATTTTTTCATTATATTGTATTTATTTATTTATTTATCTCTCCATCTGGGAGATGTTAATTACTAGTTCTCCACAGAGATGATAAATGCATCAGTGGCAGGAATGTATTCTTATTTAATCTGATCAAATCTTGCAACTCATACGGAAAAGGAAAGTTTCTGTGTTGTAAACTTGTAATCTATCAATTAATTCATTTGAAGTTCATCCATGGTTTGTGTTATTTGTTCTATCAAATTGTTGTGCTCCATCTATGTAGGTCTCTGTTGAACAATTTCCTGATGATCCTTGACATCCTTTCTTCTTTACATGTTCTTGATTTTCTTGGTTACTTTGTCCGCCAGAGTATTCTGATTCATAAAATTCCAAGGATGCCTAGATAGTAGATAGTTCATTGCCAATATCAGATTCAAGCCTAGCTCATCTCATTGGGCCAATCCAGCTTAGCTCCAATTCCATTTTAGAGACCAATTAAAGACACATGCATTTTATACAAGGCTTAATAACTGAAGCAGTTAAAAGCATTTATCTTTACACTTGAACAAGGTTAAAAGCATTTATCTTTACACTTGAACAAGTATTGTGTTCAGTTCCTTCCTCTCTATTGAAAAAAAAAAAGGAAAAAGAAGAAGAAAGACACTGCGCTGTGAATCATCAATGACTATGTACACCGAGCTATGTTGGTTAGCACAAACATTATCCTAATATCATGTAGGCCAAACAACATTATCAAAAGACTTAAATGGTTGCACTTAAGCACTTTGTCTATTAATGGAAGTTGGGTAGTCTTTTCTGCAACAGAGATGTAGACCATGGTTATGGAAAGCTAACATCAACACATCCTTGCTGGAGTGTCTCAGTGCCAGGAAAGAAAGACGCCGCAATCTGCCTTTGTTTATAATGGAATTGGAAGCAAATGGCGTGTGGGGCCCCAGCTTTTGACGTTTGTCCTTGCAAAGAAGCTTTTGGGTTTTCTGGTCCAGCCGCCCATGAGTTTTTTTTCTCAACCAAACAAAAATAAAGTGTCCCAAAGTCCAATAAATGAAGCTTCCTCCAACTTTTCTCCATAGTGAGGTGGTACTAGGAAGGAGGATAAGAGACGCCCACTTCTTTTTTGTTTTATTGTTTTCTTTTTACAAATTCCTCAATTTTATTTTATATTGAAAAACACTTTAAGTATTATCTTAAAGAAAAAAAATCCTGAATCCAACTGTTATTCCACCCAACATTAAACATTTGATAATAAACAGCTCTTTTATAGTTTGATTTTCAATGCGTTTTTCACTAATAGTAACAGTTGCTATGAGTAATCATGTTTATTTTATTATAAAAAAATAAAATAAATAAAAGTATAAACTACAAGGAGATGAGGTTTCTCACACATACTACCAAGATGTCATGATAATTCGAACAGGATACCAGTGGTCTGCAAGACAATGTCATTTTCCACTGGGCTAGACTCCATTGGTCATTCTCCCTAAACCATGTATTTTTGTTTTTTGAGAATAACTTTGCATGTATTCTTTTATTTATTTATTATTTATTATTATTTTATAGTACAAGCGATAGTCTAAACTATATGGGAGAATGTGGTTTCTTTCACACACATAACTAAGATGTAATTGGGGTTTGAACTTGATAATCATGTTTTTTTTTATATAACCTTTCTTTTAATAATGCTCAAGAAGAACAACTTTCAAATTGCATTATGCCAAAACTCTTAAAATATTAGGCCGGCCAAAACAGAATTAATTTAAAAAAATAAAATAAAAGGACTTGTGGGTTTCGGGTCAAAAATCAAGCTCCTTATGTTGGGTTGATGAAAACTAAATTTTGGGCCACAATTGTAGTCATACGGCCCACACCTCACGCTTTCCTTTTTTGGCTACCAACCCCCAACCCAACCCATTAAAAAAACTAAAAGAGTAGCCTTATTGCCGCCTTGCACAAGCGTCGCGCCCTTCGTACGAAACTTTGCACAAACTGGTTGGAGGTTCGCTTCGCTGCGTTTCAACGTTGTTCCTGTGTACATTTCTTCGCTATTTGTGGGAGAAAATATGCTTACAGGTTTGCATTTTGATTCTGCGTATGTGTTTAGTAGAAGTGCTTTCAAACTGTTCGGCGAATTGCCCCAAAGAGATGCTTTTGTGAATGTGAATATGAGTATGATGTTGTATGTTTTTCTGACAGAAGACATTGTGAATAAGTTTGGTTGATATGTGTAGATTTTGAAGGAAAGCATTGTTTCTTACATTGAAGTCGAGATTGGTTTTGTTAAATGATTGTAGAAGATTGGGATTCATGGAGAAGTTCAATTCTTTGCCACCATAATTTCAATTGACTAATTTCATACATTGTGTGTAATCCAGTGGAAATATGAAGCATTCTTGGCATTGGATTATTGAGTTTTATTATTATTTTCTTTGTTTTCAGGATTAACTACTGGAAGCCACTTTCAGCCTGACGTAGTCAGAATCTGTCACACAAGGCAAATTCCTGGTATTTGGACTAAAATAATCATTAGACTAGAGCTTATGTTAACTCAATTCTGTCTTTGTTTGCATGACATATCCAAGAGGAGTAGATGTTAATCTAAATCATTCCCCCTACACATGATTAAACATGTCGCAACGTTGTTATGTATTTGTAGGTTTAAAACAGGACCCATTGTGCTTTTCAAGTGCCAAATTGCATAGAAAGAAAGCGATTACTTGCAGAGCTATCAAAGCTGAAGATGTCTCCTATAAGCCCAAGGAACGTAAAAAGAATGGACCTTTGGTTAAGATGTGTGGCATTACATCTGCTAGAGATGCAGCTATGGCAGCAGAAGCTGGTGCTGATTTTATTGGGATGATCATTTGGCCCAACTCTAAACGCTCTGTTTCACTATCTGTTGCCAAGGAGATTTCAAGAGTTGCAAGAGATTATGGGGCACAGCCCGTTGGGGTGTTTGTGGATGATGATGCAGACACAATATTAAGAGCCGCTGATGCATCAGACCTTGAACTTGTTCAGGTATAGACATTTTGTCTCGTGCTTAGCTTGCACATGCTGCATTGTAAGTAACAAAAACCTGTAATGCTTTTGAGGTTCTGCAGCTTCATGGAGATGGTTCCCGAGCAGCTTTTCCAGTATTAGCCCAAGATCACCGTATAATATACGTTCTTCATGCTAATGAAGATGGAACTCTTCTCAACCAGATTTCTGCTGAGCAATGTTCTCTGGTTGATTGGGTTCTTGTAGATAGTGCAAAGGGTGGTAGGTAAGGAAATTTAATTCGTAAACATCGTCTTCTTTTATGCGTGTCAATTCAAATTAGCAATTGTCTAAATGACAGTTTAAATGTATAATATCATATAAACTTGTTTTGATTCACTTCACTCTGAAATGCCTGCAGCGGTAAGGGATTCGATTGGAGCCAGTTTAAGCTACCAAATATTAGAAGCAAACATGGGTGGCTCTTGGCAGGAGGGATAAAGCCTGAGAATGCTTGTGAGGCTCTTTCTACCCTCAAACCTCAAGGAATTGATGTTAGCAGTGGCATTTGCGGCCCGGATGGCATCCAGAAGGACGAATTGCGAATATCTTCCTTCATGAGTGCAGTACATTCAGTAAACTACTGACTGAATCTGAGAGGAAACGGTTCAAATTTTCAAGACTCAATCAGCTTGATATAAATCTGTTACTGCGGGTTATCCATTTAATTTGTTATGCAAGGGCAACGTTTTGGGCCTTCTGTATTGTTTGTTGAGAAGATATCAAATAAAGAGAGAAAAAAACAGAGAGAAGACCAAAATGCAAGTGGTCTGATAATATTGTTCTTTTTTGATTGGTTAAGCATTGTGGCTCGTTCTTGGTACCAAAAAATAAGAATTACAGCTGGTTGTTTTCTATTGGACACACTTTGTCAATTATTTCAACTCTGCATTACCTTTTATCCTCTAAAAACAAGCGGTGCAATTAAAGCTGCTTATGAAGCAGTCGAATTCAATTGGCCAACTGATGGTGGGATGAAACTAGGGCTAATTGACAAAATGTATTGCCGTTTTTTCTCTTCACGTAGAAACATCAAACACCTGTAATTACCATGATGTTTACAAAATTTGGACTGGCCGCTTTTCATAAAGGAAATACAATGACTTTGGTTCTAGGAAAGTGGTCCCCTCCCCTGTGTTTCTCTTTGGAGATGTGGCACAGGCACGACTTCAAAATCCGTAGAGTCTAAATGCTATCTTCTCTTTTGGATCAAAATATCTAAACGTTATCATTCCTTGCGGCCCAACTTGCCACAAAAACGTATGGATGCACACCTCACACACGAGAGAGAGAGAAAGAGAGAGAGAGAGAGAGAGAGAGAGAGAGAGAGAGAGGTTTTTCTTTCAGAACTAAATCATATACTTCCACTATAAATGCCCGCGTTACAATTTAACAGCCTGCAATTATGCATGCGAGGTACCTCTTATCCTAATACAAGGTGAGGAAAGAATGGCTGCCCAGACAGTATTAAATCAAAGCTGGAAATTTGTTGGTAGTTAAAAACAACTGGTCACAAAGAAGTTAAAAAGCTTTGGTACGCTTCAATTGTTGTGCCTGAAAACTTCAACTTCACAACAACTTGGCAACTTCATTCTGATGTCACAGACCCAGCAAGTTTCTTATCAGTTTGATAATATACAACATCCCCAGTATCACTGACGTAATGATCACGTTTCATGCTTCTTATAAGAACTCCCAATAAGTGAAGTGGGAGAGGCCCAGATTTCTTTGGCTCTCTGTAGTACTTCCCAAGCACAGGCTTAGCTGCCTCCGTCTGAAACGATTAATATGAACAAGATCCAAATCAAAATGGTGTACAGAATTGAATTGATATTTTTCAGCTAATTGGTGTTTCGGCATTAGTGGTACTCACTGCTTCTACTAAGTTATAGTGTGGGATTTGAGGGAACAGGTGATGTATGACATGGGTTCCAATGTCATGATGGATGTTGTTGATCAATCCGTAGTCTCGATCGAGGGTTGTCAATCCTCCTCTTAGATAACTCCATTCCTGTTTGATAAATGCAAAACCAAACATTAGCCTTATACAGTTCAATAAGTGCTAAAGCATTGACATTTCTTGTATTGTATAGGTGATAAGTTGAACACTTTACCTTTCCACGATACCATGGGAGTTTGTCCTCATGGCCATGGTGATGCAAGTAAGTGACCAAGTCCAACCACATGACGAACAACTGCATTTGAACGCAAATCCAAAGAAATAAATGTGAGAATGAAGTCTTATTGGTATAGATTTTCGTTTTCTGCCAATGATGTAGAAGCACATCAAGCATAAAGAAATAGAACATACCCAGTATGGAACGCCATAGAGCTTAAGCATTTGGACTGGACCCATTACGAAAGACAGACCGACTAGCAGCGCAGCCATTGCTGTCCAACAGGCAGTGGAGGTAATGATATCTTTCCTTTCATTTGGGACAAACAAGTCGCTTTTTGGATCAAAATGAGAGCCACTCTTTCCAGGACTTCGACTCCACTGTGATTGAAATCAGCATCATGTACCGAATCAGAAAAATAAATCCCCAAGCTCATTAAATTATGTAAATAACTAATAAGCAAGACAGAAGGCTCACCAGATAGAAAGGGTAAGCAAGCATAGGGAATGGCAAGGTGAACCTCAATATCTGAGTGGCCTTATCCAAAGTCTTGTAAACTTTCTCAGATAACTGCAAAATCAGATGATGGATATGACTAATTCAATGACTGAATGACTGAAAAGAGAACTTATATTTTCTACAAGGTGACCAATTTGCTGTCCTCATTAAAAAAAAACAGAGAGATAACCATGAATAGAAACTCACCGGATGCCAAGACTCATCATTTTCGACATGTCCATGGTTCTGATGATGAGTTCTGTGACTTATTCTCCTGTGGTAGTAATGGCACGTATTATTATGTTAAAAATATGTTTAAAATTGTATATTGTCTCAAAAACAGGATAGCTTATTCAGGAGTGAACAGGATTTTCAGAAATACTAACCATCCATGGTATGGGACAAGAATTGAAGAATGAAGTAAATGACCCACCACGCTATTTAACTTTGGGTCATTAGAAAAACTTCCATGACCACTGCACAAAAAAAACAACAAACAATTCACATCAATTAGCTTATCGAAAACTGCCAACAATTCCATGACCAAGGAAGAAGCCAAATCCTCTATGACAAAAAAGGTTTGAAAATTGGCAATTCAATAGATTATAGAAGAAAGCAGCTTTATTTACCAGTCATGGCCAAGAACAAAGAGAGCCCAGAACATGGTCCCCTGAGCAAACCAGTAAAGAGGCCAAACAACCCAATTGTTAAAGTAGGCTGCAACAGCCGCCAACCCAAGAACCACAGCAACATCTCTCACAACGTAGCTCATGGATCTCCATGGGTCTTTAACCCACAAATGCTTTGGAATGGCTGCTCTAATATCAGCCAAATTAAAAGGAGGTGGAGCACCAGGGTCGAAATCACTACCATCTTCAACCCCATTGACACTCACTCTTCCTTTATCTCCTCCATCCACAGATGGAACCCTCAATGGAGCACTCACATTCAGTGCCCAATTTGTCCCTCGAATCCCATTCGAGGCCCTCAAAGAAGAGCCAAGATTCTTGCTTTTGCAGACTCGTAATGGCCTAGCATTGGCAAAAATGGCGGTCTTTGATGTTAGGCCGTTCCTGGCTTGAGGGTAGACTCTAGGGAGAGGTTTTAGGCCACATTCTGAGAGAACCCAACTTGCCATGAGAGACCCAGATGCAGCAAATACAAAAAAAGATTTGAGCTTTGGGTGTCTCAGGCAGGCTTGAGATATTATGAAGCTGTGAACTAGGCGACCATAAAAAGAAAAGAGGAAATGAGGAGATAACACAAGGGCCTCTCTCCTCCACGTCCAACAACTTGGGCTTCTCCTTGTTTGTCCTCTCTCTCTCTGTCTCTCTCTATCGTATTTTGCAACAGTTCCTCTCTCCGCTGCTAAATGATAAAGCCTTTGCCTAGCTCAGTTAGTTACTTTGAAGACTTTGATTTGTTTATATATGGATCTTGGTGCGCGTAGAAGAGAAATAAAATAAAATAAAAGCAACTTTCAATTGCAGCCAAAAGAAACAAAGTTCAATTAGACCATGTAAAATTAGGCGGGTACGGACATGGTCAAATTCTGTGTTTTTCCTTTGGTCTCTGTCAAAGTCGTTGTTGCGCTTGTATTGTACCATTGAAATTCAATCAACTTTCAGGGTTGGTAATTTTTTTCCTGAGGTAATTATTTTGGTTTTCATTTTTCACCTCAGGTCGGCTTCATCAGATTGGCTCCAGTTAATTTTTCTTTTTCTTTTATTTCACAGGCCTAACTATTGAAGCTCAAGTTTTTTGTTTTGTTTTTTAAACTGTTGATTGGACTGTGACCCAGAGATGAAAAACATAAAAGAAATTGACTTTACAACAATATGAACATTGGGTGCCTGATATATTTTGGCGAAAAGGTTTTTATGGCGGGGACACCGACCCAATTTTTCACATGGTGGCTGGCTTCAGTCAACCAATCGTCCTAATATTATAATTGAAGCTGCTACTTCTGTTCTGTTCAGTGAGAAAAACATGGACGATGGACCCAAATGCTGACCAAATCAATCGTGGAAACCAAATGGTTCAATTCAGCCGCACGTGGTCCATGCAATTGTTCTCTATGAATTTCTCCCACTTGTTGAGTCGTTACTCGTTTTGGTCGGAAGAATCTGATCAATCAAAGACCAGAAGAGTATGAGTATTTCATTCAAGAAAACCAAACCAAACCAAACCCAAATATTTAGGGAAGCTAGTTTGGTAAGTAGAAAGAATGTTAGCAAAAACATAAATGAAATGCACAGTAGATACTTCGAGAAAGGCCACTTATGGACAGGACACGCTCATTTGGGGTACCTTTCTTTTAAATGACACTAAATGTGCCACCATTTACGATTTTCCATTCTCTTGGCGAGTTCTTTTGCCATTGATGCGAAGTCCTCTGCCCCGCTTCGCAGTTCTTCTGAGTTTTGGCTGAGCTTCTGATACATGCAAACAAGACATGCTCATCAGCAGATGAATCATGACCTGCTTAGTGTTGGAAAATAAACCACACAATGCACAAATTCTGAATGTATTTGTATGGAATATGAATGCATCGTATGATCTGAGACATCAAACAATAAAAAACCAGACCTCAAGTTTCTCTTGACGTTCTGCAAGCTTATCTCTTGCATGTGCGGCTGCTGCAGCGACATCCTGTAACCACCGGCCATGTCAGTCAAATCTCCATTACAAATACTGAGTCTCTTCAGGTTAAGCGTTTACAAGGGATATTCAATATTTAATTAATTTTTTCTTTTACGGAAAATTTCGTGAATTACCCCAGTATCTCTGTATTTAGCCTTGATTTCTTCAGCTGTCCTCATTTTTGGTTTTGTGTCACTAGTTGCGCCTTCAAATAATCTCGCCTTCTCTGTTCCCTTGTCTGTGAAGTAAACATGGGAACATCAAGAGCACTCAAAACTCGTCGACCTAGAAAACAAAATATATTTACCTTTCTTTTCATTCTTGTTCTTTTCGAATGAAGATGAAGATGAGATAGCAACAGGTGCAACAGGTTCATTAATTACAAGATCATCTGCACCAAAACATTTAGATTACAATCAAAATGAGAAGGGAGGTAGATGGAAGGATGATTGAAACAAAAAATAGTTAACCTATATTAAGCTCCAGAATTTTTTGGTCATCCTTCACAGCTGGGGAAGGCTTCAAGAATGGAGGACTTGAAAATAAGTTCTCTAAAGTTTGACAAAAGTTCTCATGATTTGCAGCTGCGTCCATGCTTTGCTCCATTTTACCAGCTTTTAAGCCCTTAATGATACCACCTAAAATCCCAGGGACACTAACCTGTTGCTAAACATGTTCAGGTTCAGCAAGCAAAATAAATAAATAAATCAAAGAATGACAATGGAGTTTGAAGTAACACACTGCAACCTGTTTCTGGTTAAGAGATAAACTGGCGATGGCATCTGTAGCAGCTGCAATCACTTTATCATGAAGACAAGGCAACGACTCCGGAATCCTAAGCCAGCCAAAAATCCATTAAGGTTTGATTTGTATGTGTTTTGACTTGTCAATGAAATTATTAAAAGTTTAGTGACCGTGCATGCACACAACACAAAGAGAGGGAGGGAGGGAGGGAGAGACCTGAATTCATTTTCATCGGACAAAAGAGATAGAAAAGCTAATTCACACCCATTTACCTAAAATGATAAAAAAGAACTTTGAAGGTTAGAGAGTGCAACACAAAGCTACAACTTGAAGGTGCATAATACAAGTGCGCCTACCGCTAGGAGACTGGTTGCTTTCTGAATCTGTTAAAGATTTGGGAGACAAAATAACACATGCATATACAAAATGAAGAAAGAAAACTGACCAGAATAATTTGCCCATGATCAGAGGAACATATTGTCTTGTCCATGTTGGTCTTGAAGTTCCATCTTAGAATTGACATTAATGACAATTCTCCCACCACTTCAAGATTTGGCAAAGACCTGTTCAAAGGATGGCCTCATTTTCCATTGAACAACTATTACTACTTGAATCATTTATGATACAATTTGGTTCAAATAAAATGATCAAACAAATTGGTGCCAAATGCATAAAATTTCCCCACATAGCATATTTATTCAGTGATCAAAATGAATATATCACAGCAAAAATCAGAGAAAAAAGTGTGATGTGTTTCACCTTATTTCAAAGACTCCTGTTTGATAGAATACAATCAGTGCACCATCTTTCCCATCTTTCTTGAAGACTGTAGTCCAACAACATGGTTTTACAAGATCGACCTGTTGAGTGGAGTTACTGTCACCCTAGAATTAAGGGTGTTTCACTTATTAGTAAAAAGAGATATGGAGATGTTCAAAATCAAAATTATAGCATAAAGGCACCTCAAGAACAGACTTCAATGAGCACAACTGTAATGTGTTCTCACAACAAAGTAAAACAGATACGTTCAATAATCTCTGTACAAAATATGCAGTTTCTCTGGGGGTGTCCGGTTCAACATCAAGCTGTGTACTTCCAGAGTCAGCACTGGTTTGTGCATGATCGCTTTTTGCTTCATTCCTCGGAGATACTTCCAATGAATGTTTTTCACTCGACACATCGCATAAAACATCACCATCCTCTGCATACATACAGTTCTCAGAAAGCCAAATCTACGTTTTTCTTCTAGCATAACACCCCCTCCCCAAAAAAAAAAAGAACTGAACAAACAGAACAAAAACAGAAGCAAAATCTTATGTTTCAATTGAGAATGCTCACCAATAATGTGCATTGAAACCGCAGTAGACTCCTTTTGTGAATGCATTGGCCAAGAGCTAATCATATTGCCAGAGGAACTGTCAATAACAACAATATGTCCATTTCTGGTCATAATGAATGTCAATCCATTTCCTGGATCACCCAAATTCTTGGACTCAGAGTCCTCTGGACTCTGTAATGAGCTACTAGTATCTGAAAATGATTTCATAGCCAGACAGATCACTGGGGAACTTGAGTTGGATACACTGTCTGTAAGAAACAAAACTGACAATGTACTAATATCAAGCATGGCAACCTGTATTATGAAATCGAAAAAATGAATCCTTGAAGTTTATTAATTTGCAATTAACATCTGAATCTATGAACACAACTGTAGTATAATAAAATTTAAAAGATGGCTCTCACCCGGCCACATTCAAATCCCACAGCAAGTTTGCCTCCAAAATTTGCAAATTGTAGGATGCATATAGGAGAATCAAGAATAGAAAACACGGCCATGCACTGAGGCCCCTTCCCTTGTTGTAAATCATGTACTGAAACCAACACACTCTTATTAGAAAAATGAAACTGCTACATAAAATTTAAAACCAATGAGGTACACCAACACCTTGCATCCTGCTTTGTGTGTGCAATTGATGTCAAGAAAATCTATACATATAAAAGCTTTCTGCCATTTAAAAGGAATATCTAGAGACATCTGTATGCAGTTAATAAGCATGTATGTAGCCCAACCTTCCTTCTCAGTTGTTGTCACAAAGTGCAATCTTGTCCCGTCTGAACCCCCTATTATCTTATACAGACGAACCTACATAAATTCAAACAAGAATAAAATGAATGAAGTATCAAATCATGATTACCTAAGGGAAAGGCATCAACGAGGTCAAGTAACTCTTACCAGACCACATTCATCACCAACAGCTAATTGTAAAGAAACAGAACAAAAATCCAATGCTGATACTGTTGCACTTGCAACCGTAGATCTGATGCCTTTTACCTTCATTCACATTAAACAAGATAAATTGAATTTCTTAAGTTTATTCTCAAGTACACCGTTGAATGATAACAAGTAATATGTCTATGAGGACTACCAAAGTTTGTGACAGCATACACACCTCAGATCCTAGAACACAGATAAGTGACAGAGCTGGATATGTGGCATCCCATATTCGAACTGATCCATCTTGGTATCCTGCTACATATACTCTCTCAACATGATAATTTTCAGCATCATTAAGCTGGCTGGGAACACCACCAGTCAAAGGCCACTTTGTACCGCCAGTCGTTGAAGTGTCCTCTACATTAATCTTTCCAACTAAGATTTGCTTAATGACCAAAGACATAAAAGTTAACAAATGCAGAAAACAGGAAAATAAAAAGGAGTTGAATTGTGATCAGAAACTGAAGCATATATACCACTTGAAGTTTTCCATCTGAGACAATCTCATTAAACTTAAAAGCCTAGGTCACTAGATGGTTGATGGCAGTAGTCAAATACAACGTATAGCTTGTGATACAAAGGTGCAGTACCTTAGACAGAGCTGAGGAGCATTCCTTATCTGTATTCACCAGAGCAAGCTTTGCCACTGTCATGTATGGCTCAATAGTGGGTATGAACATAGGATACTGCACTGCTGGAACAGCAGTCTTTTCCTGTTCCTGAGACATTAAAGCAGACAAGCAAGCCTTGTCATAGACTTGCAGTTGTCCCTGATTTGTCAAAATGAATAGCAACGTGTCGCTGCTCTCCATTGCAGCAGCAGTCGGTAATAAAGCCATATCTGCAAATGAACCATTAAGTGTAAGGTCTGTACGGCTTATGCATTTCAGACTTTCTATTCCTGAAGACCAATCAAGGCTTAGAACCTGTGAATGAGAGAAGACAAATTAATGCAAGTCGAGCCACCAAACGAGGCCTTAATAGTTTAGCATTGCAAAGGGTTGAAATTAGTATGTTTTTAACTAATGTGATTCAACTACTAAAGCACTATCCTTTTTGAGGCCTTAAGAACATATACATGACTACAAAATGTAAAAATGCTCATCTGAATTCAAATCATACCGTCAGAACTTCTTGAGACCCAATTTCATCACCACCATAGACAAAGAGTTGGCCCCTATGATGTTTATGTAACATATTTGCAGACCAGTGCAAAACAATTACGGGGAGTCTTCTATCACCTGATGATAACTGAAGCTTTGCAACATTGTTATCTGATTCTTCAGATTTCTGATCCTTGGTATAGGCAGCAGTTGATAAGTCCCAAAACATTATATCACCATCTACATAGCCAACGGCAAGAATTGACCCATTATCAGATACCCAACAAAGAGAGCTTATCTCTTTCTCCACCTGTTTGCTTTCTTCTGTAGCATCAGAAAGCTCATTTCTTGTGTCTTTTGGAGAACTAGTGACTGCTTTTTCCTTCACTTTTAGGTCCTTGGAACCTCTAACAAGAACAACTCGATCTTCTGAAGCATCCCAGAGAATGATCAACCCATTTTCATATGCAACCAGCAGCCTGCAAACGGACTCATTCTTCAAAATGCATTAAGTAGCACAAATAACAAAAAGAATATGAAATGACATATCTTGTTTTATTTATGAATCCATCTTTAATCAATGTGAATGGTAACCCGTATGCAGGTGCATATTCATATACGGTCGTAGCTTGGATATGCATGTGCATATATATATATATATATATATACGTTTGTGTGTGCCAACATATATGTTCAACTTAGGAACTAGTTTGAACATCTCTTGCTACTTGAATTACTTAGCCAATAGTCAATCGTGCCCAAAATCTGATGAATGTCAAAGGGTGTCCATGACTACTCATAAAACACTAAATTAACAACTATACGCCTAATCTGGCCGTCCAGCCCATCATGTCAATACGCTTTAGATCCAGAGAATTATAATCTTAAAAATCAACCAAGTTTTGCCACTAGTAGAAAAACATATGACAACCAAATGCATGCTTTGAAATGAAAAACCAGGATCTAGGCATAGCATTTTCACACGATTTATCTTGCCTGTTTCCCAAAGAATTGGGTTGATGGAGAACTCCAACAACAGAAAGATGATCAGGCAATGACATTCCAGCTGCTTCTGCAAAATCAGAAAATAACTGAGCATTAGAATATAGTGGAGATTATATGACCACAGAAACACCCCAGGGCGTCTGCATTACAACAAAATATGGCATCAGCCAATTACAAGAACCTTGGCAATTACCAGCTATGAAATTCGCAGTAATATAATATGGCAATAACTTAATTTTCCCATCTTCAACATCATACTTCAGAACAGAGACGATTGCATATTCACTTCCAATGTACCTGGCAGTAATGATAGTATAATATTATATTCCGTTGTCACGTTTTAACTTACATTCGCAACCAATGAATGTCAAGCAAAGATGCAGTACAGAAATAAATTTTACAAGTGCTGTACATGTAATTGGTGCCATAAATAACAGAGAAAGCAGTTATATTGCATTCCCACTGTAAAGAAGAAGCCATGCGCCTCTGTTCCAAATCCCAAACCTGCCAACATCAATAACCTATTAAACCAATCTACATTGTTAGTATATAAATACAGTAAACACAACATTAAAGATAAGGATCAATACGAAAAACTCTATGAATTGGATGGTGCCTAGTAGCAGATGTAGTTTTTAATTTCAAGTTTGGATGGCTTAAGAAAAAGCAATACCTGAATTTCATTTTCACTTGAGACACTGGCTAGAAAACCTTGATTTTGTAAGAACTGAAAAAATACATAATCTACCAACTTGTTAGAGGAACAAAAAACAAGGAAAATTTCTGTCAAACTATACACAGATCAAGTCGACTTATGAGATCCCGGAAACATTCTGAACTTACTAACCTCTAAATTTTTAAAAGGCAACGGCTTCGGTGATGTAAGAAGCTCTTGGATGTTATCACCACCTATCATTTTTATCCTACCATCCCTGCATTCAGGGCAGAATAAAGTCAACTTCAAGTTAAGAAATTGAATTTGAGCAGGAGGCCTCAGGAGAATAGGTATAAAGTGAAGAAAATATACATCAACAACTTAAGTAATGAAAATCTTGTGACATGTATAATACACATAGAACATCTATAACATAGACAATACACATTATCTATAACATGATAGTTGTGAAAACTCACAGTGTTCCAATGGCCAACAGGCTTTGTGTGCGATCAAGTGCGAGAATGGATGCAGTGGATGGTATCCCATAGTGAACCGTGACGCGCGGATCCAAATCCGCTTGTCTGACCCTTGTCTGAAGCACATTATGCCAATAAAGAATATCAGAAAATGTTTCAGCTCAACAATTTCAATACACTTATACACAATCAATTTGATCAACGGTGAGCTCTCTGTTTCGCCTTCAAATTTTTTCCTTTTTCAGTGATGAAAACTTAAAATTCAGTTAGTATTCAAATTCGATCAGCGTCCATTGCAGCGCGCCAATGATTTTCACACCAAATCAATCAAAGATAAATTCAAACATTCATAAATTCAATCAATTTTTAACAAAATGAAATGCGATTAAGGAAAAAAAACTCAAAAACAAATTAGCAATGAGAAAGCAATGGAGAGAGTACCCGAGGATGTGAAGCTGCCTGTGGCGATGACTTGTTGAAGAGCTTAGCGAACATGGTGATTCAACGACGAGGTTTGGTGGAGCCTCAGCTGTTTGTATTTCTTCCTCTGCTTTTGCTTAACGAAAAAAATAAAAATAAAAAATAAAAGTTTTGGGTTCGGTTTCTTGGTTTCAGGTGTGGTACGGACCGGCGATGATGGCGCGCCAATCATCGCCACGTAGAGGATGTTTTATAGGACGGTGGAGAAGGGTTCGCTGACCGTCGGATGCTTTAAGATTCTTGCTTGATTGATTTCAGATGAAGGCGTTTGCATGACTCTGTCTATATCTATACCTTTTAGCGTCCGTCCTAATAATGACGGGATAATGACATAACTACTTTCTCTCTTACATTTTTTCCTTATCTTTTGTATTATCCTAATTTACAAATTATATCAGCTAATTACGAGTTTTTTTTTGTACGATATAAGTCTAATCATAACCATTAAATTTGTAATATCAGCTAATCAAATTATATCATGTAGCATGGAAAATAATATTTCGCATTGTATTTCTTAAAGATTTTTTGAAATTAAGATTTTTGAGTTTATATTTTTTAACATAAAATCAAACGCGCACCCTAATAATTTATGAGTAAGTCATGCTCATGCTTAAGTTTTGTTCACTGAATAATATGATGAATTTCATCTATTTTAAAACTTAGGATTACGCAAATGCAAGTATGACAGATTTTTTGTACAATTCCTACTTAGTATGAACGCATTTAGATCAACATGCTTACTCTTTTTTATTATAGTATAATATAATCAATAATTCAATAAGAGGATATTGTATCCACGTCATTTGTTGATTGTATGGCTTCGAATTCAAAATGTCGGGAGAAGATTAATTGTACGAGGAAAACTGAAAGAGACATAGACCAAAACTTGAAGAATATAATGGGAGCCAAACTTTAAATTAAAGTGCCCAATAATGTGATTGCTGAGGGATCTGAGATTAGCAGACTATTCCAGTCAATAATGTAATGGTAGCTGAAAAAGTTTTTTCGTGTGTCGTTGCGTTATTAACCTAACTTATCAAAAAGTGTTATTCTCGTTACATGAAAGTCTATAAGATAAGACTCATATGCAAAAGCCAGTTTTCCAATGCTTGAATTGAAACTGGGGCTAGCTACATCCAAGAAGCAAAACCAACTGTTTCTCACTTTCTTTCCTGTATAGTCCGAAGAAAGATAAAAACACATAGCAACAACTTTTTAAAATAAAGAGTTAATTCTTGGTTTTTGAGTTGATTACATGAGCATGTCTCAAAGTATATCTACCTTTTTTTAAAACACGCTGATTACTTAATGAAAACTACACATAATTTAGAAGTATATCTCCTACTTTATTTTATTTTATGGATAAACAAAACCTAAAATTGGCACCCCATGCGACCTGCCACCAGCAGAGCGAGGCACAACTTCCCTCACAACAAGGCAGCAGATTGCCATTACACCTGCAAAAGTTACGAATTTTTTGGGTTTAGCAAATATATAATAACAAGAATATATATATATTCAGTTCTCAATGTAGTACTCAGATGCAGCACACTCATGGTGTTCCGGAATTTTATAATTGGATGAATTACTATCTGCAGCTTAAATGTCCCAAAAGCCAGACAATGCGATTCATCCAAGGTAGCTTCAAACTCATAAAGGAAACACAAAGAATTAATGAGAAACATTTTTCTTTCATGTTTGTTGTACGGGAAGATGCTTCATTCTTCGACAATTTAACATGTCATTAAACTATCGTTGATTAAATAAATTATTATCATGTTTTGAAATCAAAATTAACAAATTGATAATATTGATGCATAATGATTTTATGTTCCCATAATTAACAATGACCTATGCTTTTATCCATCTAATCTAGTTTCCTACCAGGAGTGTCTACCCAACACACGTGCTATGCATAATGATTTTCCTTCATCTATATATAATCTCCGCTACAGGTCATAATTAACCTTCACTTCATATCTCTCACTCATGTCCTCCTCAGCATACAAGCAACAGCAACCAAACATGCACGGCGGAGCCACCTCAGCACCACCGCCAACTCCGTCGACGCAGCCCAACAACCTCCTGTCCACGTCATCAGGTGCCACGGCGGATGCCCTCTCGAGGCTCCTCCACCGCCTTCCCCCCACTCTCTCCCTTCCAAAGCGCCGCTCACCGCCCTCCACATGTCCACCTTCCGTCTCCTTATCCGACGTCCAAGCCAACCCGAGTACCCTCTTCTCCTCCTCGTCCCAGCTCGGCTTCTTCCAACTCACCAACCACTCCGTCCTGTCCCAACTCGCCAACTCGGCCGAGTCGGAAGCGCTATCTCTTTTCAACCTTCCTAGGCACCAAAAGGAGTCATTTTTCACCAAGTGCTGGCCTCTGGGGTTTGAAGGGGACGACGATGACGAGGACGACGACGGAGACTCACACGGCGAGTCATTCTGTCTGGACTCGTCGTGTTCTACCGAGTCCATTGAGTTGTGTTTAACTTCTCTGCGTGAGTTCACTCGTGCTTTAGAGAAAGTGGGGCTGGAGATCGTTGAGCTGTTGTGTAGGTCAGCAGGGTTTGAGAATCCTCTGGGGAAGGACGACCCGACCCGGTTTTCGTCCATGATGTGGATCTCGGAGGGTAAAAGTCACCGATGGTGGGTCGGTTTTACCCGCATGTAGTCGGTTTACAGTACCAAATCCGAAGTGGTCAGAAGTACTCTCTGCTGGCGGATTCAGGTTGGGTCTCTGTGTTACCGCCGGTTGAGTCAATTTTGGTTACCATTGGTGACATTGCTCAAGTAAGTTCTCTAAATTCCAATATTAATCATTAAATCAATAATGTTACGATGACTCGATTCATTAATCAAAATATATTTGTTTGTTAGAAGAACTACTGTTTATAAACGTAAATTTAAATAAATAAAATATTGTCACGTCACAAAATTTATATGAGAAATCAGTTGATGAAAGAGAAAAGAATTGTGTTGCGGATTTTTAAAAAGGTGTTATATGAGAAATCACTTGATGATATTTGTGTTATGTAGGTGTGGAGCAATGGGAAATTTAAAAAGGTGAGAGGAAGGGCAGTGGCATGTTTGGGAGAGGGTGAGTGTCGGTGCATATCAATGTCGCTGTTGGTGACTCTTCCTATAGACAGTACCAGTAGAGTGGGTCCTCTTGTTCCAATATCAGCCGTTGATGGTGGTCATGATGAGGATAGAAATGACAGAGATGATGATGATGGTGGAGATCAAAACTTGAATGGGAAGAGTGACGGTGAGAAGGAAGGAAGGTTGTTTAAGTCATTTTCTTTGGAAGACTATGCTTGGAGAGTGTACCACGAGCGGCTCTTTCTCAAAGACCCCTTGGATAGGTACCGTTTTAATTAAGAACTTTTATAACTAGAAGAAATGCAGCATTACTGTTTTGTTTTGTTTGTTTCATTTCTTTTGGGGTTTAATATAGTCGGTTGTTCATTGGTAATCCGTTGAATTGAAACTTAAATGATTTGTTTAATTTGTATATCTAATTATCAGTATTTTTTGGCACGAGAAATAGTCTAAACTATCCGAAATCATAACCATTATAATATCAGCTAATCAAATTATATCACGTAGCATGGAGAGACAAATCATAGATTATATCCTTACATGCACAGGTATGGAGAGACAAATTATGATATTGTTTGCTCTGAATCTTGAGAGAAATCATGCTCAAGTTTTACTAGCTCTACTATTTGCTACTAGAAAATTACCTCTGGAAACTACTAGAAAATTAGAAAATACAGTAACTAGTAGTTAACAAATGCCCCAATGTTTAACGTGCTCCAATGCCCTCCTCAACCAGGAATTTGTAAACGTCTACGAGCATGTGCCTTGACATGATCATTAACATGAACTATGGCATTTCTGGAATACAGAAATGTCCCTAGTGCATTCTCCTCGTAGTTTCCTTGTTGCGATAGTAGACATGTGAGAAATACATCACATCACGATTCACGAACTCTGCTTTGAACCTGAACTCTCCTCGTAATTAAACTTCTGAAGGCATTTGTCCAACTTGCCAAAAATGGTTCTTCCGTCTTGAGATGTATTTGAGCACGACATATAAGAGATGATCTTTCAGCGGACGATAAGAGGAATGGATGATATTTCAGCTGCTTCAAACGGAATCTGCAGTCAATTAAAATAACACATAGGTTGCAATTGAGACCATTGATTAGTTTCTTTTCGTGTAACCAATAGATCTAAAGAGGCTGAAAACATGGCTATATCAATTATCCAACTTATTCACTAACAAATTCACTTAAAAACTAATGAATATTAAGTGGATGTGGATGTGAGAGACTTTTCCTCTATTTTTCTAGGTGTTGTCTTTGGAAACAAAAATAAATAAAAAAGACTTTAGGGAAATAATGAGCTAGCTGGCATTAACTTTTGCAGTAGTCACTTAATACTAGTTTTTAAGTCCAAGTGAGAACCAGATCTAAAGAAATATAGCCAGTTTCCACCCCCTTCTCTCTCACTTCCCTTTCTTCCTCTGCCCAAGTACAAATAAAACCCTTAGCTTTAGAATTCTCAAAGCTATCTTCAATGGCGGTCTCAGAGGAAGCGTCTCAAAGTCTGAAAGTTTTTTTTTTTTTTTTTTTTTTTTTTGGTGAAATGGGGCCAAGAAGGCCAAAACAAAAGAAGCTAAACAGCCACAACTCTAGGCTTGGCCAGGCTGCAAACATCAGCAGCAAGGCTCTCACAGACACAAGGAGGAGCGAGCTCCAACCGATGAAGGCCAGGGACCATACCATGACTCATGTGAGCCAAACCATCAGCAACACAGTTTTGCTCATGAAACACATGAGTGAGAGAACAAACCCAATCTTGCTGCAACATCAACTTGCAACAACTTATCAAGCTAAATAGAGGATGTGTGGAAGCAATGGAGCCAGCGAGAAGAGACAGCACAGAATTAGCATCACATTCCACCTCAATATGTCTGCAACCAATCTCCCAAGCCAGATGAAGCCCCCAAAAAACACCCCAAAGTTCAGCCTCAAGAGTAGAACCAACACCTTGATTGACAGCAAAGCCCGTAATCCAAACCCCTGCAGAGTTTCTAATCACACCACCTGCTCTAATAGCACCAAAACCAGAATTCTTACTCCCATCAGTGTTCAACTTAAAAACACCAGGAAGAGGGGCATGCCAATGCACCTGCACAACACACTTCTTGGGAGAGCTAAGCATAGGCTTACAAGCTATATCATGGATCAGATGGTGGAGATGCAGCTGCGTTGGGAGGAAAGGATGGCGAGGTTCAACCCTTCGGTGGAGATTAACTTTGATACGAGTGGCGAGCCCCCTTCACCTAGTCCTAGCACTGATGCTGCTCGAGAGCCAGAGCCAGAGCCAGAGCCAGAGCCAGCCACTATGGATGCCCCTTCCACCGAGTCTTGAAGGCGTTGCCTTCTTTATGTATTCTAGCTATTTAGTTAAACACTTGATGTTTATTTTGCTTATGTATGAACATTTTTCCTTGCCTGGGGCAAGGTTACTTTGATTTGCTATGATATTAGATTTGTTGTCATTTGATATCAATTGTGCTTAGCAAAATGAGAACCATGTGATTGATGAGAATGAGCCAGGGTCGGGCGTTCATTAAATATGTGCCGGAAGGCAAAAAGTACAAGAGTTGGTTGAGTCAAGGCTTGAGACCAAAGTCTAAGAAAACATAATGTCCTAGGGTCTAGGTATGTTTACTTATAGTAGTACTTGAGGTGATCAACATTCCAAGGATGAGGCAAGGTCTTGCCCTTGGTATCACGAAGCTGATAAGTGCCGGGGCGGTAGACTTTGGTAACCTCATAAGGACCTTTCCATGTTGGGCCCAAGGTACCTTCAGTAGGATTCTTGGTGGCCAAAGAAATCTTGTGCATGACCCAGTCCCCCACCTTGAAAGCCCGGGGTTTGACTCGGGAGTCATAGTACTTAGCGATGCGCTGTTTGTACTCGACGTTGCGCATGTTGGATTGGTCACGAAGCTCATCAATGAAGTTGAGGTTCAGGGCTAGCTGCTCTCATTGGCGTCGGCCTCATAAGTGGAGGTTCGGTATGTGGGCTGGCCAATCTCCACTGGTGCCACTGCTTCGGTACCAAAGGAGAGAGAGAAAGGTGTTTCTCCTGTTGAGGTATGGAAGGTAGTGCGGTAGGACCAGAGAACCTCTGGGAGTAGCTCTGGCCAGCAAACCTTAGCTTTGTCAAGCTTGGTTTTTAGAGTTTTCTTGATGATCTTGTTCACGGCTTCCACCTGGCCATTAGATTGAGGAAGGGCTGGGGAGGCGAAGCAAAGACATATCTTGAGGTTGGAACAAAATTGTTTGAACCTGGCATTGTCAAATTACCGGCCATTGTCCATGACGATGGTGTTGGGGATGCCGAAGCAACATACGATGTTTTGCTAAACAAAAGTTTCAATGCGAGCTGCAGTGATGCTGGCTAAGGCTTCAGCTTCAGCCCACTTGGTGAAATAGTCCACAGCTACAACTGCATACTTGACTTGGCCCTTGCCCTCAGGCATAGGTCTGATGAGGTCAAGTCCCCATTGGGCGAATGGCCAAGGACTGACCATGGCTGTCAATGGCTCAGCTAGAAGTTGTGGGATGTTGGCAAATCGCTGACACTTATCGCACTTCTGGGTGAAGGTCTGGGCATCAGTGTAAAGTGATGGCCAAAAGTATCCATGCCGAATGACCTTATGTGATAGTGAGTGAGCACCTGAGTCGTTGCCACAGATGCCCTCATGAATCTCTCTTAGGGCGTAGGTACCTTCCTCTGGGGTTAGACACCGAAGGTAAGGGAGGCTGAAGCCGTGCTTGTATAGGGCGCCATTGATGATCAAGTATCGAGCGGAACGATAGCAAACACGCCGCGCTTCAACAGGTAGTGTCTAGTTTTGCAAGAGCTGAGTGATAGGGTCCATCCATATAGGGCTGTGATTGATGACACAGATGAGTGGTGCCCATGTGCTGGGCTGGTCCAAGAACTCGATGTGGATGTTGCGACCTATGCCTTGCTCCATCGCCGAGGCTAGCCTTGCTAATTGTAGGCAAAAATTCGGTAATACACCACCGAACACCGTTTCATATTATGGTGGATCTCCACTGCATATGAAGTTAACAACTGGTCAAACATCACCGAAATAGGTGCAATGTTTCAGTGGCATCCCACCAAATTTACTTATCGCGTTCGGTACTGGTGTGCTGAACTCAACCAGGGAACCATCATGAAATTCTAAGCTTGAAAAATGCCAAAAAATAAACTCATACCTCATTCGAAGCCTCTCTAACTTCAATCTCACACTTCATGAATAAATACAATATATTTTTTCACCAATATAAGCATATAAACCTTATTAGGATTGTAGAAACATGATGGTTGGAGGAAAAAAGTATAACTAGGGTTGCAGGAACATATGTGGGGTGTTGTCACATCCCGGGATCGGCTCCGCCATAGCACGATATTGTCCGCTTTGGGTCCCCCTCTCTGCCCTCACGGTTTTATTTTTGGGAGCTCACGAACAACTTCTCAATGAGTCACCCATCCTAAGATTGCTCTAGCCCCAATTCGCTTAACTTCGGAGTTCCTATGACTCCGAAGCCAGTGAGCTCCCAAAAGGCCTCGTGCTAGATGGAGGCAGGTTTGTACATATAAGGCACATCACCCCTCTCCGCTGGTCAATGTGGGATGTTACAGGTGTAGTGAGCAAATTTAATTTTTCTTATAAATGCTTTTTGTCATTAATGGTAATTATGTACAATGGTTAAATAAATTATTCATGTTTAAAATTAGTATGGGGTGCAAAGAGCAAATAATGGGGTGCCAATAAAATCTCTCTTATTTCTTACTTCAGGTATGTAAATTGTCCCATTAGCTGTTACACAGTCATCACTCTCCTCTGAGCCCCTATATATTTTACCCACATATATTATTGAACTGCTTCTATATTACTGCATAGCAAATATTAATTCATTAATCAAACATTACTGCATTACAAACATTAGTGCATAGCAGTGCTTTCCAATTACACAAAACATTGCCCAAATTGACAGAAAAAATGCAGAGCCTAACTTGTTGGATTCCGATTACACAAAACGCTAGCAAAATTTAATAACAGTTACATCATCTCTTGTGAAATAATCTAGAAAAAATAACAAGTTACAACCAACATGTTCAACTAAGAACACAAATGCAAATCAAACCAGCAACTACAGAACTTCACCCAATATCCTCTCCAAATGCTTACTCCTAATGTCATTAAGTCTAAGTTTAGAATCTTTTACCTAAATTTCATAATTTCCCACCCCCACCAAAAACAATCAACTAAATATGTTGAATATTCTTAAGGAAATGACACATTATTGACGGCAGAAATGACGAATTTCCCACTCTCACAAAAAACAAACCAAACCCAATAAAATCAATCCAGCAAGAATGAACTTACCTCTCAAAGTCAGTCGAGAGCTCTGAAGTCAGTCAGCTTGAGAGATTGTGGTGAACATTAGAGAAGACTCTTTGGTAGTGAAGACTCTATCTCCACCAAAATCGAGGAACAACTGCTGTTGCGGCGTCTAGCTACAGAAAGAGAGATGTTACTTTCCTTTCATCTGGAATCTCGTCTGCTGAATGAAAAAGAGAGGGGGTTTTCACTTGAGCCATAGGATCAAAACAGGACAATAGCTAGGTAAGAGCCATTAATCGTCATACTGAGGATACCATATATAGCATGCTTCCCAAGGAGCTGATGATAATGGAGCGACTATAGGATTTTTGGATCTTTCTAATTGTGGGTTTGCGTTAGATTCAAAAAGAGAGGACTCAGGTTCCTGAGTTTTTCAGAGAGAGGGAAAGATCTTCAACTGAAGTTGGCTTTCCAACTGGTCAGATTTGAACCCGGTTCTACAATGTTCCTCTTTTAAAAACTCACTGTTGGATTTCATCCGACAGCTCTTAGATACCCCACAAAGACACCCCTTATAACTTCCCCCGCACTACAGACGCTCCCCTCAAGGACATGCCATATCATATCTTGGCTTAGAAATTAAGGGCCCGTTTGGTATCCTACTTGGATCCAATTTTATAAATTCAAAAACAGATTTTAAGTCCAAAACCCCAAAAACCCGTTTGGTAGACCCATTTTTAAAAACCTAAACCCCAAAAAATCTCAAAAACACCCCAATTATTGAAACAAAAAAAAGTGAGATTTTCCAGTTTTTTTTTTTGGAGTTTCACTAAAACACCCAAAATGGGGGTTGAAATTATAAAAAAACCCAAGCACTATTTAAACATATAAACACACCCAAAACCCATCATTACACACACTCAAAACTCATTTATAAACACACCCAAAAAGTTGACTTTAGGGTTGATTTTGGGTGTGTTTCTATGTTTAAATAGTGCTTGGGTTTTTTTATAAATACATGTCTAGGATTGGGCTTATTTATAAATTTCTATTTTTTTTTCTCTCTCTTCTTTCACGTCTCTGTCCTCACTCTCTCATCTCTCTCAACTACCATTCTTATGTAAGCCGACAATGTCAACGACCTAGATCGTCGTCGATGACAGCATGCACAGGCCCAGCTCTCGGCCCAGGCATCTCGGTCGGTCTTCGTTTTTGCTCCACCCCCTTTTTCTTTTTTTTTTTTTTTTTTTTTTTTTCATGATTCTTCACTGTTGGGATTCGTTGGTTCATCAGATAAAGAGAGACGTAGAAAGAGAGGTCCTGGCTTCTTTTGTGCTTTTCCTTTCTTTTAATTAAAAATAATAATTAATTGGAATAAGTTTTAAGATCTTAAAAATAGGTTTAAAGTTAAATACCAAACAAGTTTTCAGATCTTAAAATTTGTATTTGAAAACTCATATTTTAAAAAGAATCATAGTTTTGAAGTTTACTTTTTTAAATAGGATACCAAACGAGCCCCTACTTGTTTTTGAGTTTTTTAGACTATTTCTCATGCCAAACTGATAATTTGTCTTATATTCAGAATCATTAGTCTTATAATTTATTTAGTCTAAAATGTTTTAATTTAATATGTATTATTTAAGACTTGAAGACCAATTGAGCTTGTCGATCATACATATATGGTATTAAAATATGGATGTCAAATATAATTTTAATAATGTTTATTAAAATATCTTAATTATAAAAAATGAATAAAAAAAATTATTTTCAAGAATTCAACCAAACAAGTTTTCAAATTTTAAAGATTCAAAAACATTTTTCAAGTTGCAAACCAAACAACTTTTTTAATCTTAAAAAATGAAGTTGAGAACTCCTTGTTTTTAAGAAAAATAACAAATTTTGAATTCTCTACTTGGATAGAATACCAAACAAGCCCTAATGTTTTGCATTGCATTTGTTAAAGTTTTTGTTATCAAATCAGAGATTATATCCTTATGTACATAGTTACTAGACCCATATGGAGAGACAAATTATGATATTGTTTGCTCTGAACATAAATCTCAAGAAAAAAATAAAGTTTATATGAGTAAGTCATTCTTAAGTTTTGTTATATCTTACCAAGCTGCTACTACGTCGTACTCATCTGAGATACGATCCACATACAACATGCAGTGACTAGCAAAATTATCTCTTAAACATATGTAAATTACTAGAAAATTCGAAAATACAATAACTACTAGTTAACAAATGCCCCAATGTTTAGTGTACTCCAATGCCCATGTTAACCAAGAATTGGTGAACGTCTACGAGCATGTGTGGGAAGAAGGAAGTGAGCTTCTCTACTATTTGCTCTTGGTCCTGCAGAAAAATGAAGACTTAACATACATTAGGAGACATTAATATATAATTATACTTAAAACAAAAATCAGGTTTATCCTAATACCATAAGAAGCCGTTGTAGTTGCCTTGGTATTTCCCCGTTGTCTTCGGTCTAGAAGTCTCCTCCATTATATAACTGTAACTGAAAAGGTAGGTGTAGGTTTTGTTAGGGCCCTAATTTTCATCTACTACTCCACATCCACATCTACATCCACATCCACTTAATATTCATTAGTTTTTAAGTGAATTTGTTAGTGAATAAGTTGGATAACTCATATATATAATGGAGGAGACTTCTAGCCTTGGATTAGGAATACTAGATGTAGGTTTTGTTAGGGCCCTGAATTACTCCATTACTACCATGTACCTATATGCATTAAAAATAAAATAAAATAAAATAAAAAAGCTTGCTAATGAGTTTGTTGCTGACCCTGCCATTTTTGCTGACTCTGCCATTTTTAGAAAATGTGTAAGCTCTGAGTCCTCTTGCAACTGCGGGTCATTGATTCCAATGATATTTTTCACCAAAGATATGAAGTTGGTTATATAATCACCCGCGGCCAAATTGTTTGTATGCGGAGGATCTATAAGCCAAGCAGTCGTATGCTCCTCATCACAGCCACCAGTCATGATATCTACTGACCTCAGGTAACCATTGGTTATATTTTTTTTATTCAAATCGTAAATAGCCTGCATAATATCTCTGAAAAAAAAACATACTCACATTAATAACATAAAAGATATCTTTTAAAAAAATTTATATCACAACATATTCAAAAAACTGACCTAAAGACAAGCTGATATTTGCGTGTGATTTGACCCCTCTGTAAAGGCGCCATGTAGATGCACAGTTGCTCCAGTGTGCGCCTAGTTCTCAATCCAGCATTCAAATCTTACAGAGTTTCGCGTGGTTTCGCAACCAATTCGGCAAAACTAATTTTCTTTGAACCTGAAGAAGAGGAGGCATTTCCATCCATACCCTTCAAAGAGCAGCGGAGCAATAATGAACTTTGGCCTGCAATAATTCAAAGAGTAACAGAAAATCATTTAGGGGTGGTTCCTTCTACATCATGAACTTCGCACTGTAAATCATTTAGGGTTGGTTCCTTTCTAGTTTCCTTTTCATTCATTCTATTTATTATAGTTTTAAAACTTCTTTTTTGTACACTATGGTTTGAAAGAGCAACGGAAAACGCAAAACAGTACAAATATCAATTATAGCCACAAACAAAAAATAACTTAAAGAGAAACTCAGAAATTACCTTTGCTGGAAAGAGAGCTGAGAGGGGCAGTTAAATCGAGAGAGGAGAGAGAGAGCTTAAGCTTCCAGAGCAAGAGAGGCAGTGAGATCTGAGAAAGGCAATTAGGTCTGAGAGAGGAGAGAGAGCTTAAGCTTCCAGAGCAAGAGAGGCAGTGAGATCTGAGAAAGGCAGTTAGGTCTGAGAGAGGAGAGAGAGCTTAAGCTTCCAGAGCAAGAGAGGCAGTGAGATCTGAAAGAGGCATTTAGGTTTGTCGTCTGCTTTCAAAGAAGAGAGCTTAAGCTTTAGATCGAAAAAGCCAAATGTCTGAGAGAGGAGAGAGAGCTTAAGCTTCCAGAGCAAGAGAGGCAGTGAGATCTGAGAAAGGCAGTTAGGTTTGTCTTCTGCTTTCAACGAAGAGAGCTTAAGCTTTAGATCGAAAAAACCAAATGTCTGAGAGAGGAGAGAGAGCTTAAGCTTCCAGAGCAAGAGAGGCAGTGAGATCTGAGAAAGGCAGTTAGGTTTGTCTTCTGCTTTCAACGAAGAGAGCTTAAGCTTTAGATCGAAAAAGCCAAATGTCTGAGAGAGGAGAGAGAGCTTAAGCTTCCAGAGCAAGAGAGGCAGTGAGATCTGAGAAAGGCAGTTAGGTTTGTCTTCTGCTTTCAACGAAGAGAGCTTAAGCTTTAGATCGAAAAAGCCAAATGTCTGAGAGAGGAGAGAGAGCTTAAGCTTCCAGAGCAAGAGAGGCAGTGAGATCTGAGAAAGGCAGTTAGGTTTGTCTTCTGCTTTCAACGAAGAGAGCTTAAGCTTTAGATCGAAAAAGCCAAATGTCTGAGAGAGGAGAGAGAGCTTAAGCTTCCAGAGCAAGAGAGGCAGTGAGATCTGAGAAAGGCAGTTAGGTTTGTCTTCTGCTTTCAACGAAGAGAGCTTAAGCTTTAGATCGAAAAAGCCAAATGTCTGAGAGAGGAGAGAGAGCTTAAGCTTCCAGAGCAAGAGAGGCAGTGAGATCTGAAAGAGGCATTTAGGTTTGTCGTCTGCTTTCAAAGAAGAGAGCTTAAGCTTTAGATCGAAAAAGCCAAAGGTCTGAGAGAGGAGAGAGAGCTTAAGCTTCCAGAGCAAGAGAGGCAGTGAGATCTGAGAAAGGCAGTTAGGTTTGTCTTCTGCTTTCAACGAAGAGAGCTTAAGCTTTAGATCGAAAAAGCCAAATGTCTGAGAGAGGAGAGAGAGCTTAAGCTTCCAGAGCAAGAGAGGCAGTGAGATCTGAGAAAGGCAGTTAGGTTTGTCTTCTGCTTTCAACGAAGAGAGCTTAAGCTTTAGATCGAAAAAGCCAAATGTCTGAGAGGAGAGAGAGCTTAAGCTTCCAGAGCAAGAGAGGCAGTGAGATCTGAGAAAGGCAGTTAGGTTTGTCTTCTGCTTTCAACGAAGAGAGCTTAAGCTTTAGATCGAAAAAGCCAAATGTCTGAGAGAGGAGAGAGAGCTTAAGCTTCCAGAGCAAGAGAGGCAGTGAGATCTGAAAGAGGCATTTAGGTTTGTCGTCTGCTTTCAAAGAAGAGAGCTTAAGCTTTAGATCGAAAAAGCCAAATGTCTGAGAGAGGAGAGAGAGTTTAAGCTTCCAGAGCAAGAGAGGCAGTGAGATCTGAGAAAGGCAGTTAGGTTTGTCTTCTGCTTTCAACGAAGAGAGCTTAAGCTTTAGATCGAAAAAGCCAAATGTCTGAGAGAGGAGAGAGAGCTTAAGCTTCCAGAGCAAGAGAGGCAGTGAGATCTGAGAAAGGCAGTTAGGTTTGTCTTCTGCTTTCAACGAAGAGAGCTTAAGCTTTAGATCGAAAAAGCCAAATGTCTGAGAGAGGAGAGAGAGCTTAAGCTTCCAGAGCAAGGGAGGCAGTGAGATCTGAGAAAGGCAGTTAGGTTTGTCTTCTGCTTTCAACGAAGAGAGCTTAAGCTTTAGATCGAAAAAGCCAAATGTCTGAGAGAGGAGAGAGAGCTTAAGCTTCCAGAGCAAGAGAGGCAGTGAGATCTGAGAAAGGCAGTTAGGTTTGTCTTCTGCTTTCAACGAAGAGAGCTTAAGCTTTAGATCGAAAAAGCCAAATGTCTGAGAGAGGAGAGAGAGCTTAAGCTTCCAGAGCAAGAGAGGCAGTGAGATCTGAAAGAGGCATTTAGGTTTGTCGTCTGCTTTCAAAGAAGAGAGCTTAAGCTTTAGATCGAAAAAGCCAAATGTCTGAGAGAGGAGAGAGAGCTTAAGCTTCCAGAGCAAGAGAGGCAGTGAGATCTGAGAAAGGCAGTTAGGTTTGTCTTCTGCTTTCAACGAAGAGAGCAGAGGAGAGAGAGCTTAACCTTCCAGAGCAAGAGAGGCAGTGAGATCTGAGAAAGGCAGTTAGGTTTGTCTTCTGCTTTCAACGAAGAGAGCTTAAGCTTTAGATCGAAAAAGCCAAATGTCTGAGAGAGGAGAGAGAGCTTAAGCTTCCAGAGCAAGAGAGGCAGTGAGATCTGAAAGAGGCATTTAGGTTTGTCGTCTGCTTTCAAAGAAGAGAGCTTAAGCTTTAGATCGAAAAAGCTAAATGTCTGAGAGAGGAGAGAGAGCTTAAGCTTCCAGAGCAAGAGAGGCAGTGAGATCTAAGAAAGGCAGTTAGGTTTGTCTTCTGCTTTCAACGAAGAGAGCTTAAGCTTTAGATCGAAAAAGCCAAATGTCTGAGAGAGGAGAGAGAGCTTAAGCTTCCAGAGCAAGAGAGGCAGTGAGATCTGAAAGAGGCATTTAGGTTTGTCGTCTGCTTTCAAAGAAGAGAGCTTAAGCTTTAGATCGAAAAAGCCAAATGTCTGAGAGAGGAGAGAGAGCTTAAGCTTCCAGAGCAAGAGAGGCAGTGAGATCTGAGAAAGGCAGTTAGGTTTGTCTTCTGCTTTCAACGAAGAGAGCTTAAGCTTTAGATCGAAAAAACCAAATGTCTGAGAGAGGAGAGAGAGCTTAAGCTTCCAGAGCAAGAGAGGCAGTGAGATCTGAGAAAGGCAGTTAGGTTTGTCTTCTGCTTTCAACGAAGAGAGCTTAAGCTTTAGATCGAAAAAGCCAAATGTCTGAGAGAGGAGAGAGAGCTTAAGCTTCCAGAGCAAGAGAGGCAGTGAGATCTGAGAAAGGCAGTTAGGTTTGTCTTCTGCTTTCAACGAAGAGAGCTTAAGCTTTAGATCGAAAAAGCCAAATGTCTGAGAGAGGAGAGGGAGCTTAAGCTTCCAGAGCAAGAGAGGCAGTGAGATCTGAGAAAGGCAGTTAGGTTTGTCTTCTGCTTTCAACGAAGAGAGTTTAAGCTTTAGATCGAAAAAGCCAAATGTCTGAGAGAGGAGAGAGAGCTTAAGCTTCCAGAGCAAGAGAGGCAGTGAGATCTGAGAAAGGCAGTTAGGTTTGTCTTCTGCTTTCAACGAAGAGAGCTTAAGCTTTAGATCGAAAAAGCCAAATGTCTGAGAGAGGAGAGAGAGCTTAAGCTTCCAGAGCAAGAGAGGCAGTGAGATCTGAAAGAGGCATTTAGGTTTGTCGTCTGCTTTCAAAGAAGAGAGCTTAAGCTTTAGATCGAAAAAGCCAAAGGTCTGAGAGAGGAGAGAGAGCTTAAGCTTCCAGAGCAAGAGAGGCAGTGAGATCTGAGAAAGGCAGTTAGGTTTGTCTTCTGCTTTCAACGAAGAGAGCTTAAGCTTTAGATCGAAAAAGCCAAATGTCTGAGAGAGGAGAGAGAGCTTAAGCTTCCAGAGCAAGAGAGGCAGTGAGATCTGAGAAAGGCAGTTAGGTTTGTCTTCTGCTTTCAACGAAGAGAGCTTAAGCTTTAGATCGAAAAAGCCAAATGTCTGAGAGAGGAGAGAGAGCTTAAGCTTCCAGAGCAAGAGAGGCAGTGAGATCTGAGAAAGGCAGTTAGGTTTGTCTTCTGCTTTCAACGAAGAGAGCTTAAGCTTTAGATCGAAAAAGCCAAATGTCTGAGAGAGGAGAGAGAGCTTAAGCTTCCAGAGCAAGAGAGGCAGTGAGATCTGAGAAAGGCAGTTAGGTTTGTCTTCTGCTTTCAACGAAGAGAGCTTAAGCCTTAGATCGAAAAAGCCAAATGTCTGAGAGAGGAAAGAGAGCTTAAGCTTCCCGAACAAGAGAGGGAGTTAGGTTTGTCGTCTGCTTTCAAAGAACAGAGCTTAAGCTTTAGATCGAAAAAGCCAAATATTTAACCCCGAAAAAAAAGCCAAATATTAATAAATTAGGTGAGTTAAGTGAAGTTGTCGTCTTCTTACAAAGAAGAGGGCTAAAGCTTACAGACACGTGTTCTAGTTGAGCTCAGGTTAGGATAATATCAGGAGCAAGTTAAGCAATAAGTTAGGAAGTTAAGATGTCAGGTGCTAGGCACGTGTGTTAGTTATGATTGCTGAGCTGTGTTTGTTATCATGTTAAGCCTCCCTTAACTGGAGAAAAATGCTTTTTCTTTTGTAAGTGAGAAATCTCCAATTCAATTCTCTCTGTTTCTGACAAAACAACACCGGTCTTTATTTAGAATTTGTTTTTTTCAAAACTTTGTGACTCATCCATGACTCTTGGTTTGGTTTCTTAACTGGGGTAAAAGTCGGCTTGTTTCCGTTGAACCGGGTAGTTTACTTAAGAGAGACTCCAATATAAGCCCATACAACTGATATCCCCTAGACACAAACCCATTTGTCTATATAACTACGTTGAAAACCCAAATTCAAATTTAAATGACCAGTAGGATATAAGAGGTCGTAGTATTTCTATGTTTTTATATCGTTGCCACTAAACTTCATATTTTATTTATAATTTATTTCAAGCATTTCATTAACTGCCATAATTGTAATTAATATACTCCCTATTAATAGCATATCAATCACCCCATTTCTTTTAGTTGTCATTCCCTCTCACATCTCGCCCCCTAAAATTGCAAACAAAAAAAAATATGTGAATTACATATCCAATAATGTACCTATGAAAATATAATATAAATATATACATATAAAATATAGGTATATTATTTACCCAAAAAAAAAAAAGTCAGTTACTTTGTAATTGCGTATATTTTTCATAATTAAAAATAGGTACACAATAATTTATATAAAATATAGGTACATTATTTGAAGAGGAAAGATAGGTACATTATTAGAGGAAAAAAATTGGTAAGTTATTTGGAGAGAGAAAATAGGTTCATTTAAAAAAATTACGTTTGATAAAAAAATAATAGGTACTTTATTCAGAGAAAAAAGGCTATATTATTTATAGTAAAAAATAGGTACATTATTTAGATAAATAATAGGTACTTTATTCGTAGTAGGTATATTATTCAAATGGTAGGAACATTGGATGACATATAATACCTAAATCCTAATTGTAAGTACATTAAAATTAATGTAGGTATATTGGAATAGATAATTATGTACACTTTTCATACTAGGTAAATTATATTTTCATAAAACAAATAGGTACATTATTTTTTCAACATAATTAGTATGTACAGTTTTATTCATAAACAATTATAAAGTGGATTATTAGTCATGTATAATTCATAAAAAGAAAATAACATAAACATTTTATTAAACAAACCAATTACCCAAATTTGAATTTATTGTTAAATTTTTTTTAAAATGTTCCAAAATTAATTCCTACATCTATTACAACCATTTGGGGATATTTCCAAATTCAACATCTGTCATTATATACAATCCAATTAAAAACTGTTTTCATATTGATTCCTACATTAATATACAAAATGCAATAATGGCTTAGTTGGGGGTATTTTTGGAATCTGAAAAGTACAATAAATCAGATTTTATGCTTAATTAGGTAACTTGCTGAGTTGGATCCTAGTCATGGGTTTTTACTTATACAAATTGGGTATTATTTATAGGAACAAAAAGTGAAGGGTTTTAGGTATAGCAAATTGAATTTAAAGGGTGTAAGTCAAATTTACTATAATCAGAAAAATAAGCAACAAAATATCCCACGTCTAACAACCCTAGACTATTGGGATTCTCCTAAAGATTAGGTCAAACACTAACCATGTTTCCTGACAAATAGGGATTATTAGCATAAGCAAATTAACTAAATAAATCAAATAACAATAATGGATAAATATCCAACATTCCCTCCCTTAAACTGAATGCTATTCAAGCAATCAGTTTACAGTAGAACCTGACAAAACTCCTAGTAGACCACGCAGCTTCTCAAATGCTTCTAACTTCAGAGGCTTGGTCAATATGTCTGCAATCTGATCTTGACTTTGACAATGAACTAGATCAACAACACCTGCCTTTGTAAGATCATGAAGAAAATGAAACCTGACATCAATGTGCTTGCTTCTTCCATGCAGCACTGGATTCTTGGAAAGTTTGATCGTTGAACTGTTATCACAGTATATCAGTGTAGGCTTCTTCTGAATGCAATGTAATTCCTCAAGTATTCTTCTTAACCATACAGCCTGACAAGCACAAGAAGCAGCTGCTATGAACTCAGCTTCGGTTGTAGATAAAGTGACAACTTGCTGCTTCTTTGAAGACCATGAAACAGCCCCTGAACTTAACATGAACACATGACCAGATGTGCTCTTTCTATCTTCCAAATCCCCAGCATAATCACTGTCACTAAATCCCACTAACTCATTGCTTTTTCCCTTCTTATAAAACAACCCATAATCCACAGTACCTTTCAAATAGCGGAGCACTCTTTTTGCAGCCAGATAATGAAGTTCAATTGGTTTCTCCATAAACCTGCTAAGGAGACTAACAACATACATTATGTCTGGTCGAGTGGCTGTCAAATACATTAGACTTCCAATGATTTGCTTGTAATAGGTGCTATCAAAGCTCTCTCCTTCAGCATCTCTTGTAATCTTAAAACCTGGTACAATTGGATTTTGGACTGGATTACAATTTGACATTCGAAATCTTTCCAGAACCTCCTGAGCATATTTCCTCTGGCTAATAAAGATTCCACAAGATGATTGCACTACCTCAATACCAAGAAAGTAACGCATCTTTCCCAGATCAGTCATATCAAATTCACTCATCATGGATTATTTAAATTCAACAAACATGGCTTCATCATTTCCAGTGAATAACAAATCATCTACATACAGACAGACAATCAAAAATTTACCTCCTTCTCCAGATTTGACGAACAAAGTATGCTCATGAGGACACTTTTGGAATCCTGCCTTAGAGAAGTAAGCATCTATATGACTGTACCAAGCTCGGGGTGCTTGTTTCAGTCCGTATAATGCTTTTTACAGTCTGAACACCTTCTTCTCATTCCCCTTTTGCACATAACCTAGAGGCTGGTCAATGAAAACTTTCTCATTTAACTCACCATGCAAGAAGGCTGATTTCACGTCAAGTTGATAAACTGGCCAATAGTTCTGTGCTGCCAATGATACCACCAAACGAATGGTGTCAAGTCTTGCAACCGGTGCAAAGACTTCAGCATAATCAACATCATATTCTTGCTTGTATCCCTTTGCCACCAGTCTCGCTTTGTATTTGTCAACCTCTCCTTTCTCGTTAAGCTTTGTTTTGAAGATTCATTTAACCCCAATGGTTTTTTCTTATGCTGGAAGATCAGTCAATTCCCATGTATCATTTTTCTCGATTGCCTCTATTTCTGCATCCATAGCTTTCCTCCACTTTATATTATTAACAGCATCCTCAAAGAGCACTGGATCACTGTCTGCGAACAAAGCATGATGAGCAACATTATCATCATCCGATAATTCATCTCCGCTTACATAGTCTATCATCCAAACAGGCCTTTTTCTGATCCATTGAGTATCTGAGTTTGAAGGTTGGCCTTCAGAAGGTTCGTTTGCTGAAACATTTGACATCGTATCTCTGTAAGTTTGTGCTTCATGTTTTGTTATGTTTTCACTTGCTGGAACATTTGGCAAGATATCTTCTAGAATTTGTGCATCAGTCCTTCTTTCGTCATTAATATCTAAATCAAATGGAATTGATTCAGATACAGTGTTGCTCCAATTCCAACTACTACCTTCATCAAACACAACATCACGGCTGATAATGATCTTCTGAGTGACTGGATTGTACAGCCTATATGCCTTTGATACTTCACTAACACCAAGTAGGACACATTTCACACTTTTGTCATCAAGTTTGCCTCTTTTCTGATCCGATACATGTGCATAGGCTAGACATCCAAATATTCTGAAGTGATCAACAGCTGGTTTGCATCCGGTCCATGCTTCTTTAGGTGTCATGTTTTTAACTGCAAGTGTGGGGCTTCTATTCAAAATATGAACACTCCAGTTGATAACTTCTGGCCAGAACTTCTTTGGGATGTCTTTCTTTGTCAACATGCTTCGTACCATATTCATAATAGTACGATTTATCCTCTCTGCCACCCCGTTTTGCTGTGGTGAATAGGCTGCTGTAAGCTGTCTACGAATTCCATTCATTTCACATAAGTTAGTAAATTCATGTGATGTGAATTCACCGCCACGATCAGTACGAATAATCTTTATGCAATTTCCAGTTTCTTTTTCAACATGTGCACGAAATCTTTTAAATGCAACAATGGCCTCAGATTTTTCCCCCAAAAAATAAATCCATGTCTTACGACTAAAGTCATCAGTAAATGTAATGAAGTACCTTTTGTTGCTGTTTGACGTTGGGTTAATTGGTCCACATATATCTGAATGAACCAATTGCAGTACTTCTGTAGCTCCCCATGTACTCCTTTTTGGAAATGAGTCACGATGCTGCTTTCCAATAATGCAATCCTCACATACCTTTGAAGGAGTCTGAATTTGAGGCAGTCCGCTTACCATCTTCTTTTGCTCCAAGGTCTTCAATCCATTAAAGTTTAGGTGCCCATAACGATAGTGCCACATCCATGTTGTGTCTTGTGTGGTTGAAGTGAAGCAAGTTTGATCATCATGTGGAATCTGTGTGTATAGAGGGAACATCCGATTTGTTGTCATTTGGGCTTGTGCAAAAAGCCCCTTCTCCGGATGATGAATCTGACAGTTGTCCTTCTGAATAAGGATTGCGAAACCCTTTTCTTGTAGCTGACCAAGACTAATCAGATTACTTTTTAGTTATGGGACATAAAATACGCCAGTGATTGTTTGCATGCTACCATTCAACCGAATTTTAATATTCCCTTTACCCATAACACAGATGCTAGAATTATTTCCAAGCTTCACATTTTCTCTAAAATTTTCATCTAGATCAGAGAACAAGAGTTTATTACCACACATATGATTACTGCAGCCGGAGTCTAAATACCAAGTATCACCTGATGGGTTCTTCTTTTTGTCGATGTAAGCCATCAAGAGAATTTCTTCTTCGGTCTCAGCAAGATTCACCTTAGTTTCCTTCTCTTTGTCAGGGCATTCATATTGATAGTGCCCAAACTTTTGACAGTGAAAGCATTCCACACTTGCCTTGTCAAATTGTGCTCCTTGATTGTAAGAAAGCTGGTGTCCTCTGCCTATGCCTCTTCCTCGAAATCCCCCGCGTCCTCTACCTCTGCCTGGAAATGTTCCTTCATGAGTGGTGATCTTCAAGGCTTGCTCCTCCACAACATGACTAGTCATCCTTTGCTCATGAACCAACAATGAACTTTTTAACACATCAATCGAAAGGCTGTCAATGTCATTCGATTCTTCAATGGAACACACCACATAGTCAAATTTGCGTGTCATTGAGCGAAGAATTTTCTCAATGACTGCAACATCTTCCATTTTTTCGCCATGAATACGCATCTTATTTGCGATCACCAATGTCCTTGCAAAGTAATCATTAACTGACTCTCCTTCCTTCATGTGGAAAATCTCAAACTCTTTACGAAGAGCTTGAAGTTGGGCACGTTTTACTCGTGCTGTACCTTGATACTTCGTCTTCATGGAATCCCAGATATCCTTAGCAGTATCCTTCTTGAGGATCGTTTCCAGGATGACACGATCTATTGCTTGAAACAGGTAGTTCTTTGTCTTCAAATCCTTCAATCTTTGCTCCTCCAATGTCTTTCTCTGCGTCTCTGTCAAGAGAGCCCCACTAGTGGGCTCTTAGATGCCGGTTTCAACCAGAGTCCAATACTCCTTGGATCGCAAGAAATTTTCCATTAGCATACTCCAATGATCATAATGACCGTCAAAGCGTGGAATCGCAGGTTGCACAAAATTGTTTTCAGACACCATTGAGTCTTGCTGCTGCAAGATGAAAGCTGCTGCTTTTTCAAACCAGGCCCCAGTGGGGGGCTCTGATACCAATTGTTAAGAACTAGAAATTCGAAAGCTAAAGAGTGCAAAAGTCTGAGAGAATATATCTTATTCATTGACTCCAAAGACTGGCATAAATAGCCATACAAGAAACAAGTAATCAGAAAAATAAGCAACAAAATATCTCACGTCTAACAACCCTAGACTATTGGGATTCTCCTAAAGATTAGGTCAAACACTAACCATGTTTCCTGACAAATAGAGATTATTAGCATAAGCAAATTAGCTAAATAAATCAAATAACAATAATGGATAAATATCCAACAACGACGATGACGAGGACGACAACGGAGACTCACTCGGCGAGTCATTCTGTCTGGACTCGTCGTGTTCTACCGAGTCCACTGAGTTGTGTTTAACTTCTCTGCGTGAGTTCACTCGTGCTTTAGAGAAAGTGGGGCTGGAGATCGTTGAGCTGTTGTGTAGGTCAGCAGGGTTTGAGAATCCTCTGGGGAAGGACGACCCGACCCGGTTTTCGTCCATGATGTGGATCTCGGAGGGTAAAAAGTCACCGATGGTGGGTCGGTTTTACCCGCATGTAGTCGGTTTACAGTACCAAATCCGAAGTGGTCAGAAGTACTCTCTGCTGGTGGATTCAGGTTGGGTCTCTGTGTTACCGCCGGTTGAGTCAATTTTGGTTACCATTGGTGACATTGCTCAAGTAAGTTCTCTAAATTCCAATATTAATCATTAAATCAATAATGTTACGATGACCCGATTCATTAATCAAAATATATTTATTTGTTAGAAGGACTAATGTTTATAAACGTAAATTTAAATAAATAAAATATTGTCACGTCACAAAATTTATATGAGAAATCAGTTGATGAAAGAGAAAAGAATTGTGTTGCGGATTTTTAAAAAGGTGTTATATGAGAAATCACTTGATGATATTTGTGTTATGTAGGTGTGGAGCAATGGGAAATTTAAAAAGGTGAGAGGAAGGGCAGTGGCATGTTTGGGAGAGGGTGAGTGTCGGTGCATATCAATGTCGCTGTTGGTGACTCTTCCTATAGACAGTACCAGTAGAGTGGGTCCTCTTGTTCCAATATCAGCCGTTGATGGTGGTCATGATGAGGATAGAAATGACAGAGATGATGATGATGGTGGAGATCAAAACTTGAATGGGAAGAGTGACGGTGAGAAGGAAGGAAGGTTGTTTAAGTCATTTTCTTTGGAAGACTATGCTTGGAGAGTGTACCACGAGCGGCTCTTTCTCAAAGACCCCTTGGATAGGTACCGTTTTAATTAAGAACTTTTATAACTAGAAGAAATGCAGCATTACTGTTTTGTTTTGTTTGTTTCATTTCTTTTGGGGTTTAATATAGTCGGTTGTTCATTGGTAATCCGTTGAATTGAAACTTAAATGATTTGTTTAATTGGTATATCTTTTAAAATAGTGATGGATTATGGTGGAGATTACACGACCACAGAAACACCCCAGGCCGTCTGCATTACACCAAAATATGGCATCAGCCAATTACAACAACCTTGGCAATTACCAGCTATGAAATTCGCAGTAATATAATATGGCAATAACTTAATTTTTCCATCTTCAACATCGTACTTCAGAACAGAGACGATTGCATATTCGCTTCCAATGTACCTGGCAGTAATGATAGAATAATACACAATCTACCAACTTGTTAGAGGAACAAAAAAGAAGGAAAATTTCTGTCAAACTATAATGCCCACTTGTTAACTTTGCGTGACAATGCGCATACTGAGAGCTTCTGTAAATTGGGAAATCCGCCTAAAGATCTTCTACTATTTTGAAGAAATGACACTTATGCACCACAAAATTTGGCTTTTGAATTTGAGCAGGGAAATTTGGAGGCCTTAGGACAATATGTATAAAGTGAACCAAATATACATCAACAACTGAAGTGATGAAAATCTTGTGACAAGTAGAATACACATGGAACATCTATAACATAGAAAATACACATTATCTATAACATGATACTTGATAGTTGTGAAAACTCAGTGTTCCAATTGCCAACAGGCTTTGTGGGAGATCAAGTGCGAGAATGGATGCAGTGGATGGTATCCCCATAGTGAACCGTGACGCTTGTCTCACCCTTGCCTGAACCACATTATGCCAATAAAGAATATCATAAAATGTTTCAGCTCAAGAATTACAAATTACAATACACATACACACCAACAATTTTGATCAACAGTGAGCTCTCTGTTTCTCCTTCAATTTTTTTCCTTTTTCAGTGATGAAAACTTAAAATTCAGTTAGTATTCAAATTCGATCAGCGTCCATTGCAGCGCGTCAATGATTTTCACACCAAAACAATCAAAGATAAATTCATACATTCACAAATTCAATCAATTGTTAACAAAATGAAACGTGAAGCTGCTTGTGGTGATGACTTGTTGAAGAGGTTAGCGAACATAATGATTCAACGACGAGTTTTGGTGGAGAGCCTCAGCTGTTTGTATTTCTTCCTCTGCTTTTTGGCTTAAGAAAAAAAATATAAAAAAATAAAAGTTGTTGGTTCAGTTTCTTGGTTTCAGGTGTGGTACGGACGGCGATGATGGCACGCCTCATAGAGGACGTTTATTGGACGGTGATGCGGGGGTGGAGGAGGGTTCGCTGACCGTCGGATGCTTTACCTTTTAACGTGTGTATTATTATTATTATTATTATCGTCCTATTAATGACGTACATAACTAATTTCTCTCTTATCGTCCTATTAGGAGACATTAATATATACTTATACTTAAAACAAAAATTAGGTTTATCCTAATACCATAAGAAGCCCTTGTAGTTGCCTTGGGGATGTCCTCTCTATGTCCTGCAATAATTGAACAATAACAAATGAAAATGTAAGTAAAGGAATTAGGGATAACCTTCCAATGGTCAGTTATTACAGATTTACAGTTCTTGGCGTTTAATTTCCTGAATTGAATGGATTGTATGCTTGACATAGAACCAAAGTACCAGAACAAATAAAAATGCCAAACCCAAGTTCACCATTATTTTCCTTGGCTGCTGCTTCATCTCCATAACCAGCCCATCCACCACCTGCTTATAGTTATAGTTAAAAGAGCACTTCTCAACACCAGCATTGTCCTCAGGATGCCAAATATTGCTCTTCTAATCCTATCATCAGTTTAGGTAAGAAAGTATTACAGGGATAATCAAAGCTTTCGCAAAAGATTCCTCCAGTTATATTATCTTTCAAAATGAAGTTTCCGGAGTCTAAAAGCACTAGCCGGGCTGCACGCATGGGTCTTACGCCTAGAGGAGTAATCGGGGGCCCATCTCTTTTTTTGTTTTTTTTTCTTCAACATATGAATGCAATTTTCCTTCTCAAACCCTAACTCTAACAAGAGCCATCTTCCAGCCCCTCTCTCTCGCTCAGACGTCTTCTTCAATCCTCATCTCTCTGTCTCTCGCTCATAGCACCATCGTGATCTCTTCCCTGACCTTGGAGATTCCAAAATGGCGTTTTTTTTTCTGGGCACAGCGCCCTCCTAGCCCGCCCGCCTAGACCGCCTAGAGCCCGCCTAGCGACCGCCTAGCCCAGCCTAGCCCGCCTAGCCCCCTCCTAGAACATAGAGATCTTGGCCACCATCTGCATATACCCTCATGTCGCCACCTAGACCGCCTAGAGGCCGCCTAGCGAGCCTAGCCCCCGCCTAGCCCGCCTAGCCCCCGCCTAGCCCGCCTAGCCCCGCCTAGAACATAGAGATCTTGGCCACCATCTGCATATACCCCAGGTGGTGAGGCGGCCGAGGCGGAGCGAGGCAGAACAGCGCTGCTGTTTCTGCGTTCTGCAAATAGCGCGATGGAGAAGATGAAGTTGTGTGTTTTTTTAAGGTTTTCTTCAATGGAACGACTTCGTTTTAAGGTTTTGGTTTCTTTATTTTAAGTTAAACGCACGTTTCGACTCCCCAATTATAACCTGAACCTATATATATATATATATATATATATATATATATATATTATATACTATAACATTAATATTATAATGTTAAGAATGAAATCAGACTCCAGGATGAATTGCACTTCAAATTATAGTGTATACCTTATTTTCCTCTTTCTCGAAGAAGCGTTCCTTGACATGATCATTAACATGAGCTATGGCATTTCTGGAATACAGAAATGTCCCTAGTGCGTTCTCCTCGTAGTTTCCCCCATTGTAATACTAGACATGTGAGAAATACATCACATCACGAACTCTGCTTTGAACGTGAACTCTCCTCGTAATTAACCTTCTGAAGGCATTTGTCCAACTTGCCAAAGATGGTTGTTCCGTCTTGAGATGTACTTGAGCACGAGGTATAACAGATGATCCTTCATCGGACGATAAGAGGAATGGATGAAATTTCAGTTGCTTCAAACGGAATCTGCAGTCAATGAAAATAACACATAGGTTGCAATTGAGACCATTGATTAGTTTCTTTTCATGTAACCAATAGATCTAAAGAGGCTGGAAACATGGCTATATCAATTATCCAACTTAATACCAACACTTAAAAACTAATGAATATTAAGTGGATGTGGATGTGAGAGACTTTTCCTCTATTTTTCTAGGTGTTGTCTTTGGAAACAAAAATAAATAAGAAGGGTGGGATTACCCTTATCCTTCCTTGTTTCTCACTTTTCTTTCTCTATCTTTGTCTGTCTGTAATATTTTTCCACCTTTTCAGTTATAGTTTATTTTTCTATTCATGTCTTTGTTCTTTCTGTTTCTGCATTAACTTTTCTTTTTCTTGTCCAATGGTGATAAGTTGTTGAGAATTCTGTTCTAACAAGTTGAAAATTAAAAGGAAGTTATTAATTTTTCTTCTTCTTTCTCATTGTGATGTATTTACAGGGATATAATGGTGGAGACTTCTAACCTTGGATTAGGAGTATTATATGTAGGTTTAGTTAGGAGAATTTATCAAAAATAGTCAAAACTTACCCTTCATTTCAAAAGTACAGTTTTTGTAAAATATAATGGTGGCGATGATCTGTTCGTCCACCACTCCTCGATCAGAATGAAGGGTTTTAGGACCCTCAGCAATGGCGAGTCGGTCGAGTTCCATATCAAATATGATAGCGATGGCCGCACCAAGGCCGTTGACGTGACTCGGCCGGAGAAGGGTCCCGTTCAGGGAAGACGTGGCGGTGGCAGTGGTGTGTATGGGTTTAACGATGATGGTGTAAGAGGAGGAGTGGGTAGAGGTTGCAGAGGAGGCGGTGGGTATGGCAGTGGTGGGTGTGGTAGAGGCGGTGGTGGTGGTAGGGGCAAAGGTGGTGGCGTTGGGTATGGGTTTAACGGTGCCTCAGCTCTTTTTCCAGCGAAGGTAATTTACTAATTTCTCTTTGCATTATTTTTATTTTTGGCTCTTTTAAGCTGTTGATAAATTGATATTTGTATTGTTTTAAGCTGTTGATAAATTGGTATTTGTACTGTTTTAAGCTGTTGATAATTGGCATAGTGTACAAAAAGATGTTATGAAAGGAAACAGATCCATAGTTTTTTTTTATTATTTTAATGTGACCCCTAATTTCTCTTTTAAGCGGTTGATAAATAACCAAAAATTGACCCCTAATTTCAAAAATGTCAGTTTCTATAAAATATTTCAGTATTACTAGTATTTGAAGATGATTTGTACTACTTTTAAACCCATACCCAACGCCGCCACCTTTGCCCCTACCACCACCACCGCCTCTACCATACCCACCTCTACCATACCCACCGCCTCCCTGCAACCTCTACCCACTCCGCCTCTTCCACCACTATCGTAAAACCCATACACACCGCTGCCACCGCCACGTCTTCCCTGAACGGGACCCTTCTCCGGCCGAGTCACGTCAACGGATTTGGCGCGGCCATCGCTGTCAGATTCGATATGGACCTCGACCGACTTGCCATTGCTGAGGGTCCTAAAACCCTTCATTCTGATCGAGGAGTGGTGGACGAACAGATCGTCGCCGCCATCGTTGGGGATGATGAAGCCGACCCCTTTTGGTCATTGAACCACTTCACGGTACCGCTCAGCCTCTCACTCATCTTCGTCTTTGAAATTTCTCTTTCTGTGAAATTACCAAATCAAAGCCCCAAGATAAATTTAGGAAAATTGGTATCTGGTGTGAGCCTGAATCTTATAGGGAGAGAAGAAGTGAAGAAACTGAGAGAAGAGAGAAGAGTGGCCGAGTGAGAGTAGTGAGGCTGCTCTGTGGCCAGTTAGAGTTTTTGGGATCTCTCCCTTTGACCCTTAAACCCTAACCGTAAGAAAAAAGATGACCCTTTTTCTTTTTATGAAAAAAGATGATTTTTATATGATATAGAAAGATAATGAAAATATATATATTATAAAAAATAGAACCTTTTAAAATATACTTCCAATCCAGAAAGTATGACATCAAACAATGGTTAGGTGATTTAGTCTCAATCAGTTCAGTCCAAAATATGAAGCCCAATCCAATCTTATTCCAAGTCCGTTTTGAAAATCAATCGGGCCTCAATCTTTAGGGAAAAGTTTGAGGTTGTAAACTCTTGTAAATTATAATAATCAAAATAAGCACAGACCGTAATATGTTGTTTTTGCTTTTGTAGAAAACATGACATGAGATGGAAAATTCTACATAGCCACGGTAGGTTTGTAAATCTGCACGTTTCATGCTTTTCAAACATTATTCATCTATCATAAAACATCACCTTTTTTTTGGGTGAGTCAAAAAATGTAATTAAAAAATAGAGAACGAAAGTTGAGAGTATTAATATGGAGTCCACCGTATTCTATTGGATACTATATATGGTCTTATGTATCTATATTCAAACCAAACTTCAAGAAATTACTGAAATTGCTCCCTCTAAATTGACATTAACATGTGTATGAATAAAACAAGCAAAATTTTACGCCAATAAAATATAACTGTATTACTCACCATACTAGACTGAAACCTCAAAATCCAATTTCTGAGAGAGAAAAAAAACAGGGCAAGATTTTACAAATTAAGAGACGATAAAACCTAGTGTAATTAGGATAATTAGAAATGTACATTAATTAATCGGGTATACTAGCGATTTGCCCCATGAACTTGTACCTAACTTTTGATTGACCCCCGATCTTTTTTTTAATATAGAAAATTAAGGATATGAACTTCTTCTTTTTTCCCCAATTTCCCCCATGCAGTTTAAATCTGCAACATTTCATCCAATTTGCCGTTAAATATGAGGGTAAAATGGTTATTTTGTACATTAAAAATAAATAAAAAATGAAAAATAAAGTAAAAAACAGAAAATTCATGTTATCTGTTTCATGAATTTTGTACATTAACAAATTGTTTTTAAAACCCTACCAAATGTTATTGTATTTTATCTGGTTCTGCCACGTGGAAGTTATGAAAATCCATGTAATAATATTCATCTCATGTGAATTGAGAGGAGAAAATCATTGGATGAAATATTGGGCTTAGAATACTAATGGGTTTAAGCCCATCCTGAAGGCCCGTAGGGATAAAGGTTACAGACTTCGCAACAAAAACTACGTGCTGTCCTGTTTGTTATATATGGTTTGTTTTCCTCAAACAATCACAAGAATCCGCTGTAGCACATCGAAGCCCGGCAGCAGAAATTTGTTTTCTCTTTCACAGCTACATTCCTACCATATGCGAAAACTATAAGGCACAGCGGAAAGAATATATACACTTCTCTTGGAGCCTTTCCATCGGATGAGCCCAGCCCGAGGCTAGGGGGAAAAGAAAAAAAAATTGTGTTCCAGCGGAGCAGCCCAGGCCCGGGGGGGGTGTGGGACCCACCACCCCGAGCTGGCCCGAAGGCAACTTCTGCCTGAGGTCCAAAACGAGGGGGGTTACTGTATCGCTACAGTACTGCTACAGTACCCCGCTACAGTATCGCTACAGTACCTCGCTGATTTGATTTTTTTCCTGTTGCCACGTGGCGTCGTCTGGGCTCTCCGATATGATTTTTTCCTCCAATCCAACGGCAACCAATTTTTTTGCAATAAAATACTGGAAAAAATTCGGAAATTTTTTTAAAAATACCCAAAAATTAATGAATTTTTTCTATAAAATACCAGCCTTTTTTTTTAAATTTATCTGGAAATTGAAAATTTTATCCGATTATGAGATATGAATAGTATTGACACGTAGGAACCCGAAAATATTATCCAAATTAATTATTGAGGTAAAAAAAGTTGTGAATAAAACAAAAAATGAATAGTAACTGCCCTTAGCAAGGGCAACGGGTGGAAACACAAAATTCGGATTTTGCAAGGGCAACCACTATTCACGTGAATAGTGGCTGCCCTAGGTCCCCCCCTTGCCATGGCTGAGGGCATTTCCAGCAGCCCACTCGGGCTCGGCTGGGGGGGGGAGCCCAAAAGCAGCTTCCATCAACAAGTGCTGGCCCGGGCAGTGTGGGGTCCACTTGCCTGGGCTGGCCCCAAGGCGAAGGCAGCCTGAGCGAGAGCCCGAGTGCGAGCTGACGTCAGCACGCGGTTTTAAATTTTTTTTACCGTTGGCGCGTGCAATGCACGCGCCAACGTTAAAAAAATTCAAAATCGCGCGTCAGCTTTTGCGCCCAACGTAACGTGCGACGTGGCAGCCTCTCGTCCTTCCGATTTCGCCTTGTCAGCCAATCCGACGGCCTGGAATTTTTCCAGGCAAAAATGATGAAAAAAAAATCGTAAAATTTTTAAAAAAATCCCAAAAAATACTGACTTTTTTTCTATAAATACCAACACCTACTCTTCAGTTTTAACAACAAATTCTCATACATCTTCTCCTTCTCCAACTATTTTCACTTTCTATTTAATATTTTCTTCACTTTTTACTCTAAATTGTTTTCATTTTTAAGTATAATTTTCTCTATCATTATGGCTTTTTCTCAAGAAACCGGAGGGGCATGGAGCATCATGGAAGATGTCTTGTTGTGTGAGTGTTGGATCCAAATTAGTCATGATCCCATATCGGGTAATGAGATGAAATTCAGTCAAATGTGGAAAAAAATTCTTCACGAATTTGTTGAAAGATCGGGTTCCACCCGTACGGAAAGCGCATTGTCAAGTCGGTGGAAACTTCTCAACAAAGAGTTGGGGAAATGGAGAGATGCCCTCACAAAAGCGATGAATAACCATGCAAGCGGGGAAAATCTAAGCGATGAGGTAATTACTTGTAATTTTCATTTTATTAATTTTAATGTCCTATTAATTTTAATTTTAATGTTTCTTGCAATTGGTATATTTTGTTAATATTTCTTGTATTTCCATATGTATTTAAATGTTTCTTGCATTCTTTATATTTTGTTTATATTTCTTGTATTTCTAATATTTATATAAATGGTTGTTGCATTCTCTATATGTTTTTAATATTTCTTGTATTTCCATATTTATTTGAATGTTTCTTGCAATTTTTATATATTTTTTTTATATTTCTTGTATTTCTAATATTTATTTGAATGTTTCTTGCATTCTTTATATGTTGTTAATATTTCTTGGATTTTCATTCATATGTTTATCTTTTTTGCATTACCAATTTTTTTTTAAGTTCCTTGCTTATTCAATTTTTTTTATATAGATTGTGCAAGCTCAAATGTTCTATGGTGCTACTGGACTAGGGAAAAAAAGTTTCACCCATACCCAATGTTGGGAGGTGGTGAAGCATTGTAAAAGATTTAGCATTATTCCAACGGCTCCAACGGTGGTGTTAAACGAGACGCCACTTCATGATTCACAAGCTTCGGATTCGCCTATGGAATCCCCTATGAGTGAAGACTTACCCATTCAAAAGGAGCCGAGGCCTATGGGGAGGAAGGCGGCAAAGGCAAAGAGAGGAGTTAATTCTACGAGTAATACCTCTAAATTTTTAGAGGAAATTGCAAGGCAAAGCGCCTTGAGAATTGAAATAGACAAGAAAGTCCAAGAAGATGATAGGGCAATGGCAATAGAATTTGCTAAAGAAAGGGAGTATGTACGCAAAGAAAGGGAGTATCGACGCAAAGAAAATGAAGAAAGGAAGGATCGGGAAACCATGGCCATGGATACAAGCCACATGTCTCCTGAAACAAAACAATATTGGAAGCTAGAACGAAAGGCTATTATGAGACGAAAACTTTTTCGTGATGATGGACCTAGCAATACGGATTGGTTAAATGATGAAAACCCTTAAGTTAGTTTGCTTGCCTTTTCATTTCATTGTATTTTAATGATTTGTTTTAAAAATTAGTTGGAAGTCATGTATTTTATTGTATTAGTAGTATTAGTTTTCTTTGAGTTACCAAAGAAACTATTAAATAAAATTCCTTTTTATTCAAAAAATTCAATTTATAAAAAAAAACTAACCACAACCAAAGCATTAAATTTGAAAATCTGAAATTTGAAAAAAAAATTTATCTGAAATTTGAAAAAAATCTTATCTGAAAATCTTATCCGAATATTTTATCAGAAAATCTCATCCGAATATATTGTCCAAATTAATGTTTAGGTAAACAAATTTGTGAAAAAAAACAAAAATTGAATAGTACCCCCCCTTGCCATGGCAACTGCTGGAAGTGGAACTTACTTTTTGCAAGGGCAGACACTATTCCTGTGAATAGTGTCCCCCCTAGCCCCCCCCTGCCATGGCAAGATTCCAACTGCTAAACTAAGGCGTCATTGTTATTATAGTTGAAAATTATGCGGTGCCCACATTCGCCACATTTAAAAACACTATTCTAGTACTCGTCTTCGTCTTCATATGTGGTGTAACGTTTGCGGAGATTTCTGCTCTTCGATTTCTCAATGCTCAGCCATGTTAATTATTTTGTTGCACATATAAAATCTCAGATTTCATCTAGGAAACTATTTTATTTTGCTCATGTGTCAGGGATGGACAGTTAAATCCATATATTTATATTTCTCTTATCTGTTGTCTGCATATATTATCCTAATTCCTAATAATATCCATGGTAATTTGGATCTGCAGGAAGGGATGGCATATGATTTGATAATCGGGACCACGAAAATTGACTGAAACATTTGTGGGGAAAGTAATTAAGCTGGATTTACTTGTGAAATTTGCTTGTTTTATTTTCTTCAATTGCTCCATTAACTCAGGGTTTTTTTTAATTTTTGTCATACATCTGAGTAGTTTGAGTAGTGTCGGCACAGAGCTAAGCTAACTGATAGGTAGAATTTTCCATGTCATGTTATGTTGCTACGAAAAAACAAAAACAACATTATGGTTTGTGTTCATTTTGATTATATGAAAAGACACTGTATTCTAATTAATTTTATCATTACTTGACACACCAATAACTAATTGGTCATGGAGTTAAAAATCTGAATCAATATTACAAGAGTTTAGAGGTTCAAAAATTTCCCCATATATTAAGAAAACATAAATAATAAGATCACAAACTTCCTCTTGCAACTAGTGGAAAACTAAGCGCTTTGTGTTTCACGCTCAATAATAAACTTTGTGTACCTTTGTTCTTCTACTTCTGCCAAATCTCCATAATTCTTTAGAGAAATCATGTTGTCAGTACAACTATAGACCATCATAAAATCAAGTCTATCTTTGAATAGCTTCACGGACATACGTGTGAGGTCCACAAAAAATATATTTCTCAAACAGCAATAGTTCTCATGGAAAAATATGCCGTGCTCCCACTCACCAAACTCTAAAAGCTCATACGTATGATGCCAAACACGAAGAGGATGTTGTTGCATATCTATTTTGTAATTTAGCTTCCACTCATGTTTCTTCTTACCATCATAATTTTTCAATACCAATACCCATATCTCTATATTTGACGAAGAAACATCCACTAGGGCCAAAGATCCCCTGAAAGTAAGCAAGTGAACAAAAGAAAAAAAATCCAGATTTTCATTTAAGGCGAAGGGATGAGGAGTCAAATAGAACTCCTCGTTCTTGAAGTCAAAAGAAAGTATAAGTCTCGACGACCCGTGGTTGTTGTCATATTCACTAACCAGCCAATGCACGGCTTCATATGTAGATGATGCCACATCTCTTGATGGATAGCAAGGAGGAGCTAAGGGTAATTCCCGCCATGAGCTTGTCCCCAACACAAGAACTTCAGCCGTCACCACGTAGGTCTGGTAGTCCTTCTTTAGATAGCGGGAGACGCGGACAATCTTGTAGGTGTTGGTCATGGTATCAAATCCCATGCCGTAAGTATCGCTATTGCTGAAAATATTGGCTGGAGCTTGGAGTTCACTAGTTGTTGGGAGCATTAGAAATTCTCCCTTGAAAGGATTCACCAACAAGCATGACCTTTCATTTTTCGTACTAAGACTAGTAAAGCCAAACAAGTTGCAGAAAACAAAATCCTGCTTATGAAAATACTGTCGGGACTTGAATTCGGAAATAATTGCAGGTTTGCTCTTTGTCAATAAGTCGTTGCCATCATATTTGAATGTCTGCATTCTTTGTTCTTCAAAGCGATAGTAAGAACGAAGAACAAGTCGAGGTACTTGATGAACATCATCAAGTAAACGACGCCGCATGTGCATTGTGGCAAACGAGACGTCATCAACCGTCTTTAATAAGGCCTTGGATACACATCTGATGCAACAAACCGATTTTACCGGTAGCCTCGAAAGGATGTCAGTAAGAATATCTGTGGGTAGGACGTCTATCATCTTCATCTTCAACTCTGGCTTATTCTTCAACTTCTTGTTAGATATTGGAGTTTGATTGTAGGGGTTGGATCCGCAGGAAGTTGTTCACTTGATCAAGAGTAATGTACGGATTTTGAAAATTTCTTCTCCAAAATCCTTATAAAAATATTTGTTATATGTCTTCAATTGCTCCTCCGGCACACCTATTTATATACATATAGATATCTTCCAAGATTTTAATAATTCAATGTCTTAACTAGGGAAATACAATTAAATTAGGAAATAAATTAATGCATATTTATAATTATCCTAATTACATTAGGATAATTATTTGGAAATAAATATTTGTTCTACTTATAATTTTCTTTTTCTTTTTTTAATATAAATGATAGTCTAAACTATAATGATTAAAAATTGTTTTACTTAAAGTTGAACTTTGGTATCATTTTGTTGGTGCCTAGGCGAAACTTAGACTAGAAAGCCATTCATAAGGGTGGGATTTTAAGCCGGCACTTTGATGGAATTAGGATTTTGATATGAACCCAAGAAAGAAAGAAAAACTGATTAACCCCACCACATTGTGTATGTTAATTAAAGGTCTAATCAACTTGATCACAACTTCCTTTTCAAAAAAGGATGAGGTCAAATTTTATGATCCACCACTGAAGGCTGATTTATTCCTTTCTCCCTTACCCTTTTTATTTTATTACTTATTTTTCTTTAGAAGAACAAAACTCTCTCTCTCTCTCTCTCTCTCACACACACACAGATTCTCACCCAACAAAGATTAACATAAATAGTTGACAAAACAGAGTCTTCCACTTTGACTTTGAATTTATTAATTACTTGATTAAAATATGCTTTATGATATAACTAAAAAGCAAATAGTGACTGCCCACGTCCCCAAGTACATGTACATGGAATGGAATAGCTTCCCTATCTTTGCCGTGAATCCAAATCAAAGATCACGACTGTTGGCCGGCCCAGATGATATTTGCATGGCTCACTTAACTTTGAAAACTCATCACAAGCCTCTCTCAAGGACAGGCCGTATCATATCTTGGCTTAGAAACTAAATAAAACCATGAAAATGAAAACAAATGAAAAACATGTTCTTTGATTTCCAAGGATTTACATGCATAAGCAATTTACAAGTCTTTAATGTCATTTTCTTGGTAAATTTTCTGTCTGCTTTGTCTGGGACTTTTTTGCTTGTTTTGTCAACAGAAACAATTGTTGCACATTTACAAGTCTTTAAGTAATACACTCTTCATGGACCTACGTGTCAAATTCACAAAGATTATACTTCTCTACACAAATAGTTCGCCTCATGGAAAATATACCGTACTCCCACTCACCAAAATTGAAAACACTAGATGCATGAGTCCCAAGATGAAGAGGATATTTGTGCATATATATTTTGTAATTTTGCACCCACTCATTTTTCTTGTTATCATTATAATTTTTCAATGCAACACCCATATCTCTATTTATGACGAAGAAACATTCACTAGCACCAAAGATCCCTTGAAATTAAGCAAGCGAACAAAAAGCAAAAGATACAGCTTTATCTTTAAGGCGAGGGGATGAGGAGTCCAATAGAACTCCTCGCTCTTGAAGTCAAAAGAAAGTATTTGTACCGACGATCTGTGGTTGTTGTCATCTCCTTTAACCGGCCAATGCATAGCTCCATGTGTAGATGTTGGCATACTCTATGATGGATAGCAAGGGGGACTTGAGGGTAATTCCCGCCATGTGCTTGTCCCCAATACAAGAACTTCAGCCACCACCACTTCGGTCTAGTAGTCCTCCTTTGGATAGTGGAAGACGCTAACAATCTTGTAGGTTTTGGTCATATGATCAAATCCCATGCCATAAGTGTCATTGTTACAGAAACTATTGGGTGGAACTTGGAGGTCACTCTTTGTCGGAAGCATTAGAACTTCTCCCTTCAAAGGATTCACCAAGACACATGACCTTCCATTCTTCACATCACTCCTAGTAAAGCCAAACAAGTTGCATAAAATTATAATTGTGCTCATAAACCCGTATGGACTTGAATACAGAAGCAATTTCATGTTTGCTCTTTGTCAATAAGTTGTTTCCGTCCTCGTATTTCAACGGGTGTATCCTTTGTTCATCAAAAAGGAGAGCGAGAAAGAAGAAAAAGTTGAGGTACTTGATGTATTTTTGTGGGTAAGGCATCTATAACTCTGGCTTCTTCTCCAACTTCTTGTTAGATATTGTAGTTGATTGTTTGTAGGGATTGGATCCGCAGGAAGTTGTTCAGTTGATCAAGAGAGTAATGTATAGATTTTGAAGATATCTTCCAAGATTTTAATTCAACGCATTAGGAAATCCAATTAAATTAGTGCATATTTCTAATTATCCTAATTACACTAGGTTTTATGATCCCTCAATTTGTAAATTCTAGCTCGTTTCAGGAGCGCTACAGAAACAAGGGAGCCTTGATATTGTCTTGACCTCAATCTAATGCATCTTCTTTCCATGTATTTGCAAAATAGACATTCGTATGACTAAATAAATATGCAGAAAAGAATGGAATACATACGCTTCTCTTGCCACCTTACCTTGGAGGCTTACAACATATCTTAAATCTTCCGTAAGTCCAAAGCTCATCTACTAGTTCAAATGCTAACACCGTCTTGTAATGTCTCACAACAACTGACAAATTAAACCTATCCCAGTCAGTCCATTCAACTTTTTCTCGGATTCTGCCACGTGGAATTTATGAATATCCATGTAATAATAAGTCATTGAATAAAATATTGGGCTCATTAATATACTGATGGATTTAAGCCCAAGCTGAAGGCCCGTAGGGATGAAGGTTTCCAGACTTCGCAACAAAAACTACCTATCTTTATTATATATTGTTTGTTTTCCTCTTGCAATCACAAGAATCCGCTGTAGCACATCTCCCACCGGCGGCGGAGATTTCTTTTTTCTCTTTCACCGGAAATATAGAAACTACAAAGTAAAATAAGAAAAATAACTAACAACCTGTCATAACAAATCATATTTAAACCCTACCCAAATGTTATTGTATTTTCTCCCCCATTAAAATGTAGTCAACTTCTAACAAATTTTGAAGTCAAGTTGACCAATTTTTTTCCATACCTAAAATCGATTAATAATCCAAATCTTCCCTCGTTCTCCTCTTCAAATATATAAATTGCATATTTTGCCTTTATATAAGCGATATTATACTTTTAATCTAATCTAAACTACGGGAAGAGGAATTTGAAATCGGTTCTAGAGTAGAGAGCATATCCGTTCTAACCAATTTAACTAAGCCCATATCTGTATATTTTGCCTCTTAATATACAAAATTCCCTCCAAAAGCCAATAGTATTTTCTTAAATCAATAGAATAAAACCTTAAAATTTATTTTTTCAATTATATATACATTGTATTTAGGCTTTATCTAAACTATTTTAGAGGCTATAATTATTTCGCCCCCACACCATTTGTAATTTGATGTTTCCTTTGTCTCTCTCATATTTCAGGTGTTAGAAAACCATCGCCGTCATACCATTTTTTATTTCCATGCAAGGACAGAACTTATTCTATTTCTTTCTTTTTTTAAATGACGTATTTGGTTTTTATTTTTCATTTTCATGGATTAACATGAGCTGTAAAATGTCTGCGTTGAAGTGGTTTTGCTGAAGCAGTTGGCTTGACTTGGAAAATAAGCAAACTCTCCACCCATCAAACTACCACGCAGATGAAGTACACAGCACAAACCAGAGAATGTTGGTATACTCACTACACGAAAACATAAAAAATAAAAGTAATAAAAAAAAAGTGTTCCTTAGCCTTTACTTTTCTCAAACATAAAGTTATTCATAATTATTAGGATTTGTTGCTGTAAAACAAATCATTATGATCAAGAGCCTTCTATGATGCATCAACTATACGCTTGACCAGTTGAAGCTTTGTTGTTGTTGGGGACAAAGAAAGCTCACATGCATGCTATGCCTAGACCATTCAAGACTCAATTTTAGAACCCTATTTTCATATCATAAGAAATAACTTCAATTTACCAACATGGCCTAGTTAGTGGAAAATGCCTTAATTTGCAAACCAGTTGTCGATGGTTCGAATCCCCATAGTACCTTAGTAGTGTGTGTGTGAAAAACTTTATTCCTTTATAGTTTAGACTATCGCTTCTATTAAAAAAGAGAAATAACTTTAATTTACATGGACATAAATAAAAGGGTATGATTAGGTGACCTTTTTAAAAACTAATGCATGATTAGATGACTTTGGGCAAACTAATCATAATGAATTTTACAGTTTTAGACTTCAGACAAATTTTTTTTAATGTCTATAAAAAAAAACCCTTTTGTGAATTTAGTTTGTTCATTAGCAAATGTTATAATTTATGAGTTAGGTTGAGAGTAATTATTATTTCCTATACCCTCTACTTCCTTATCCATGGCATAATAGGTTGAGAGTTGTATATTATTATTGAGAGAAAGTGGTTATATATTACAATTATTACCAAACCAATATTGACTATTTTCCTAAACAAACAATCCTTAAACAGGAGTTCCATGCATGAATGGATTTTTAATAATAGCCAGCACAGGCTCAATCCAAAAAGGCAAAGCACATTATGGCCAAAGTTCATCACTCCTAGAAGAATTTCAAGCACTCTTTCAACACAAAATCATAGTGTTGTGGACATGAATTAGTGAAAGGTGAAGGATGAAAAGGGACGATGCTCATAAATCTATATCCATGGCCATCTGATTGAAACTATCCATCCTGCAACAGTGTTGACCAAACTATATATTATTAGCCTTTTTGACTTCATAAAAATTTGAACTTTTTAAGAACCGTGTATGACTGTTGAAGCTTCCCCATCAAAATCTACAGACAAAAACGACTGCCTGCCTTTGAGTTGAGTGCTTAATTCCATATCATCACCACAACCTGCAGATCATTCTCATCTAACTGAGACTAGGACCAACTTGGCAAAGCTTTGAAATTACTTCTGTCTATCTCCCCCCCCCCTCTCTCTCTCTCCCCCCCCCTCTCTCTCTCTCTTTGGGCCAAGTTGAAGGAATTAGTTAGCCATGGCTTATAATAGAAATAAGCAAGCAACTGAGAAAGACAATTCTCCCTCCACCAAAAGCCAAAGCCATTTCTTCAAGATAACCCCATTTCACCAAACACCCAATTAAACAAACTTAACCTAATAATACTAAATCCGCAAACTCTCTTAAACTTAACTTCATGTTGTTCATTTCTTTCTTATATTTCCTTCTTTCTCCCTCTCCCACTCCATCTCTCACCACCTCTTCTTACTCCACTCTCTCTCTCTCTCTCTCTCTCATGCAGCTACCTCGCAGAAAAACGGCATTTCCCCTTGAATCTGTGTCAATGAAGGCACGCAAGAACAACAACCTCCCCATATTCGTGGTGGTCTTCTCAATATTCCTCTTTGGGATCTTCATGTACAACGAGGATGTGAAGTCCATTGCCGAATTTCCATTCTCAACGCCTAAGGCCCAGGAGCTCCAAGAAGATGAGTCAAAACAGAGCAACCCTGTTCAAGAATCAAAACAGAGCAACCCTGTTCAAGAAACAAAAGAGAACACCCCTGTTCAAGAGACCAAACAGAGTGACTCTGTTCAAGAAACCAAACCGAGCGAAATCCAACACAGGGTTTCACTGAGTTCAAGAGCTCAATTGGAAGAAACCCAGTTGGAGAATAGCTCCGAGGAAACCCAAGAACCGGTTGATCTGAAATCCATCACGGAAAAAGACGATGAGCAGAAGATTGAATTGTTGGGTTCTCAACAACCAGAGGAAGAGGAAGAAGAGGAAGAGATTGAATTGCCTCCAGAAGACTGTGATTTGTTTAATGGAGACTGGGTTTTCGATCCTGTCACCCACCCTCTGTACAAAGAAGATGAATGCGAGTTTCTCACAGCGCAAGTGACTTGCATGAGAAATGGAAGAAAGGACTCTCTGTACCAACATTGGAGATGGCAGCCCAGAGATTGTAATCTCCCAAAGTAAGTATATATGCCTTTGATTCTCTGATTCCATCTTTTCCTATTAATTTTGATTTTAATTTTAGTTTCTATGTTTAATGATGTTGATTATTTTGTGCTTAAGGTTCAATGCAAGGCTGTTGCTGGAGAAATTGAGAAACAAGAGGCTAATGTTTGTTGGAGACTCATTGAACAGAAACCAGTGGGAATCCATGATATGTTTTGCTCAGTCTATCATTCCTCCTGGCAGAAAAAACTTGACAAAGAATGGCTCTCTCTCTGTTTTCAGAATTGAGGTGCATAAAATCATCTTCTTCTTTACCCTTTTTTTTCTTCCTGTTCCCTGATAATTTACTCAAGCAGAAAGTTATTTACACATGGCCCACCTTAGCTTTGTAGAAAAAGAACAATTTTTTTTTGGGTGGAGGTTTTTTTTCTTCATGCATGTAAGTCTGTCTGGCATTCCAGCAAGCCAACAGCTCTAGTGGTTAAGAATTGGCATCTTTATGAGCAGCAGACACATATTTCTGAAACTGGCTTATGATGTTTTGTTGTTTTTCTCTTCTTTTTATTTATAATACGTTTATTTGTTCATGTGGTTATAGGACTATAATGCTACAGTGGAGTTCTACTGGGCTCCATTCCTGGTGGAGTCAAATTCAGATGATCCCACAATGCACAGCATATTGAATCGTATAATCATGCCCAAATCAATCAAGAAGCATGGAGAAAACTGGAAGGGTGTGGATTTCCTCATCTTCAACACATACATTTGGTGGATGAACACTTTCAAAATGAAAGTTCTGTAAGTAGCTCATTTAATCACCTCAAAACATGTAAATAAATTCTGCCTCCAAATGAATAATGCTAATTTTATTTGTTGTTTTTAATGACAAAAGACGAGGATCGTTCGATCAAGGGGCCACGGAGTTTGATGAGATCGAACGGCCTGTAGCGTATCGGAAGGTTATGAGGACATGGGCTAAATGGGTGGACAAGAACATTGACCCTAATCGGACCACTGTCTTCTTCACCAGCATGTCCCCTCTCCACATCAAGTAATTTCCACACTCCTTATTATTTTCTTATGCTTCAAAATGTGGAAACAGTTTTGCCAAAATATTTGCATTTTTATTTTTTTAAAAAGAAAACGTAAAACAAAAGCATAGATAATAATTACGACTTAATATTCTCTGCATTTACAAGAGAGCCATTTGTCTCACTGGTAAGATAATACCAAGAAACAACTGTAAGTGTGTTCACCACATGGGCACTCAAGAATCTCTGTTTGGTGATTCTTCATTAGGGCCCTAATTAACTAATTTGTAATGGTTTTAGATTTAAACAAAGATTAGAAATTTAGTGCCAACTTTTTACTGTAACTTTACCCGATTGTAAATTGCAATTTACCCAACTCTTCTTTCAATCAATTCATTGTGAATTTATGAGGCAAGTCTTAGTCCTGGGCCAAGTATTCGTTGAGAAAGTGCATCTAGCTCAGCTAACAATACTTTTTCTAATTGTCCAGAGGTTATGTGAAAGGGAAACAAGAATATAATAATAACCCCATTAGGTGAGCATGAGCTTTGGTGGTTGATAGTGGGTGTATGAACCCCAGAACCTTTGATTAGACCTTAATATTTGGTTTTGGTTGGTTAACCGCTACATATTTCCAAATAACAATTATTGTATAAAAATATATGTTATAGGAGTAGTTGTGCTAGAGTCAGTCGGAGCAAGCTCACACTAGCATTTTTCATATAATATTATTGACATAATGAACATTATGTGCGTGTTACACGAGTTATTGTGCCAGTGTCAATTAAATGTTTAGTTTTTGTGCTAGCGTTAGTCGTACATTGAATATTATTGATATAATTAACTAATATTGTGCATGAAATGAAATGTAACAGGAGTTTGGATTGGGACAACCCTGATGGCATAAAATGTGCAAAAGAGACGACACCAGTTTTGAACGCAACTACTCCATTGGAGGTGGGCACAGATCGCAGGCTGTTTGTGATTGCAAGCAACATAACTCGATCAATGAAAGTGCCTGTTTACTTTCTTAACATCACAACCCTCTCTGAGTTTCGCAAAGATGCACATACCTCAGTCCATACAATCAGACAAGGCAAAATGTTAACACCAGAGCAGCAAGCAGAGCCAGAAACTTATGCAGATTGCATCCATTGGTGCCTTCCTGGGTTGCCCGACACGTGGAACGAGTTTCTCTACACACGTATCATTTCCCGCTCTTGACACATAGGAAAAATTCGTACTTTATAATTTTTTGTTTTAATTTTGGGTCCAGTTCATGTAATTTCTCCTCAGTTTCTTCTTTTAATTTCTTATAGCTTGAATTTTAGCGTTCAACCTTTTTTTTTTCTTTTTTTTTTGGTTCATTTTTCAACCAATTCTGACTGAGGTGAATGCTATTGTTCTGCCAAGTCTCACAATTTGCTAAGGCTGAAACGCCACCTGAATTGTATAATTCATATTCGAAAGAAAAATAAAGAAAATGCAAAACATTACTTCACATGTTAATTAACTCCTTTTCTTTTTAGTGTATTTATGTTTATTTACTTTTTAAACCAATACCACTGCGTAATTGTGTTAATTAGGCAAAACTTATGATGGAGCTGTTTTCGTTGCTTGAGAGGGCGGCTTTGACAAATAACGGGGGAATTCATCGTTGGTTTTTGCTTAGTTCTTACATTTCATAACAATTTTACTTCCCAAGCAAATAGAACATCATAGATCTTAGCATAGCATGCCATCTCAACAAGGAGACATTTACCGTTTACCAAATATTTGCCCGTACATAATTTTTCCTATTGGTTTCTTGTGATGCACACCATATGAAGGGAATTGTTTATGAATTAATTGGAGAAATTAAAAAAATAAAGATTCCATGGAAAAGTAGGGGTTTATGTGCATTTATGCCATTTTATTATGGTAGTTTAAAACCATTTTAATGGCTTAAACATAAAGGTGGAAATAAAACGAAATTTAAGTGCTTATCCATTTTTTTCCCCCTAAGATGATGATCAGAGTTCAAAGTGATGAAATTAATGCATAGGATAAGTGAAGTATGCAAAGAGAATTCTCAATTATGTTTTCTATTTTTGTTCTCATAACACCTCTTTGCTATTTCTCACTCATCTTTTTTGTTTTCAACATTTTTCTCACATCTACAATCGGACATTTCGAATCTTGAAACCAATGATTGAGAGATGATACTACTAATATAAATAAATTTCACATTTAATTGTGTCATTTTACATATACATGTAGATAGGGGATATTGTATCCGCACATGTAGACATGCAGATGAATGTGATTTGCTCCACGATATTTAGTTTTACTCGAGTGGGAAGCACAGAACAAGACCATACCTGGAGTCTGGAGATGAACATTCTGTAACAAATGGTCTGTACCATCCATGCCTCATCGGCTGCCCTAAGATGAAAATAACTTATCTATCTCAGCAATGGCATTGATGTGGGTTCTCGGAAATAGTAAATGCAATAAAGGGACCAAAGATGACGACATGAGCTTGGGCTTGACTTTCTCCACGGCCACCTTAATTACGGACGGAGACGGTACACCAAACCACTGAACGTACCAAGAAAGGAGTAGTTGGCGTTTATCTCCCTGGGATTCCCCGTTCGGCCACCTCCCGGAATGCACATAATTACAGAAATCATCCTTCAAGTCCTGAGAATAGTTTAGGAGCTCTTCCACCTGCTTCCTAAGACATGCTATAAAGTTGGATTGAACATTGCCACCTCTTGAAGAGGTCAATCTTCCGCTCAGCAAAGCCTCATTGTATGCTAGTGCAAGCTGCAAGCAGAAGGGGGTAGATGAAAAAATACAGTGCAACAAGTTATGTCATTGATAAAACAAAAATTGATTATTAACAAAAGAAAAAAAAATCGATGTGATTTTAACCAATTGCACATTTAACTTGTTTTTCTTTCTTTCTTTCTTTCTTTGGTTAATATCCACATTGCATATTCAACTCATCCTAATTCAATCAGTGATCACCTTGGTCTAAAGTGGCTTAAAATATCATCCTTATGAAATGGCTTTGTAATCGAAGTTTCACTCGGGCACCAACAAAATAATACCAATGTTCAACTCTATGTAATTAAAACAATTTTGAATCATTGCAATGTAAGGTATAAGTCGGAAGAATTTAAATGTCTATAGAATGCCACCTTAAGATTAGAGATAGCGAGTGAGTCACATAAAACAACAGAATCACTGCTAAGTTGCCTTGCCATTGATCCAATTGCCGTGTATAATGACAAATAGACCTGCATAATTTTCAGGAGATCACATCCAGTTCATTATAAGAAAGGTCGCAATAAGAAATGGAGCATCTAATAAGCATTAATTAAAATGAAAAGCATAATCCACTTGACATTGAATAAAATGAAAAGCAAAAGTCAGTTGCATTTGAATGTGTCGCATCTAAATAATGTCAATCTATACCTCTGCAGGTACAAGCAAATAACAGCCCTTTTGGCATCCAACCATACTGGAAGAACTAACTTGGTAATTCAAGGTTCATTTAAATTGACCACACGGAAAAATAAGCTCATCCTTGCATATTTTATGGTTACCTGTAAAAGAGCAGGTCTGTCCTTGCTCACACACTCGAATAATACTTGCAAGCAGAACTCCTGGAAATCAATGTCAGATCTGCATATATATTTTAAGACTGGTTATTTGAGAGAATGGAAAAGAAAAGAAACAGAAGGTAGCAAAATGTGAAGCTAAAAACTGGAAAAAAGAAAGAAGAAAAATCTGCATACTTACCTGCTCTTCCATGAAGGGTCGCAGCAGAGTTGTGCAAAAGCAATTAAGCTAGGATCAGATGAGAAGGTAGCAACCAACTGGTCAACAGTAACAGAACCAGGTCCATTGTCCCCAGTGGAGCATGAATCGCGTGCTTTTAAACTTGTCAAACCAAACACCTGGACAGAGAACAATTTGGTATCCACAGTATCATCCAAGACAGATCTCAAACATATTTACCAGTGGAAGAGAATTTTTAACCTTATGCATTGCCCGTGACAGCAGTGACTGACACCCTATAGGATCATCAATATAGGAACAAGCTCCAACTTTTCTCTTTATATACAAAACACCAGAATTAAATGGGCTATTCTTGTCCCCAGGGGTCCACCAAGGTTTATCTGTTTAACAAAATATGGAATACAGCTAAACATTGCAGAGCCTTGAAATAACAAAAACAAAGTTTTCGTTTGACTATTAAAAGTAATAAAATTATCGGAAGTAGCATACATTAGCAAAAACAAGCAGCGACAAGTGCATACCTTCAGGGACTAGATCTATTACTTGCGGCCAATACCGAGGGCCACAAATGCGTATTGCCTTCAACTGCAGACAGCAGAAAATCAAATAACCCATCAACCCCAAAGCTCTAAGTTTTTTTTTGTTTTTTTTTAAACATATATGAAAGAGCTGACAGATTTATTTCCAAGGTAATTAATTACGTAAAGTCACACAGGAACATAAAATCTGCATATAAATATATTGCATTTGGCAATCCATAAAAGCTCCAGTAAAAAATTGTCATGGTAAAAACTAAAATATTTTATATAACAATTTCTTCAAATATTTTTCTTGAAAATCCAAGAGGACGAAAATTTCCATGCAGAGCTAGCAGCAAATTTTCCCAAGTAAATGTCTCATGTTCACTTTAATTATATGGGGAGAGAGAAGGAAGATAAAGAATTGACTTTATTCTTAACTTTTGAAACTTACAATGGCACGTTCTGGCAGAAGACAAGGTGTAACCTCACAAAAACTTGTTTCTGCATAATGTTCAGTTTCCCTTATAGTAACTTCAAGAGGGGCATACACAGGTAGACCGGTGTCAACATCAACCGTCTGAATCCAACGAGCTTCCGTTGCAAGTACATACAAGTGCCGGAATGCCTGAAAATACACTTCATAAAATCATGATACTAATAAACAGCAACCGGATATTATGGAGTGAAGAAGCAATCCCTCTCTATTGGCATGACATCGAAGTCACCAGACTGAAAAATATATATATCAAAAGTTTTTCCTTATGGCCATTTTTATTCAAAATCCAAATAAGGACAGTTCTTCACATTTCAAGAGCTGTCCAATGTACCACAATAATTAATATTGCTTGGTCCACTGATATTATGTAATAAACAATTGAATGAATTTTTCAAACCCAATTATTGATGTATGTAATGCCTGAGAAAACCTTTTAAACTTCACTGAATTTTACTGTACCTGGAGGTGGCATCGATTATCATTTGGCCCAGTAGGCAAACGTGGATTAGAGAGTAATCAGCAAAGCAGCAACTGAACTGTTGCTTGTTGAAAATGTCTGCGTTCCTCCCCCAAGGAACAAGAACCCAATAGCTAGGCTTACCTAGAGTCACCAGAGTTACAAATGCAACAAAAATTTAAATTGTAACAGAATACAGTCTTTTCAACATAATTGACTTTCAAATTATAAATGTATAATTGCAAACATAGTGCAAAAAAAAAAAAAAGAGAAAAAAAAAAAAAAAAACCCAAACCCCCGCATGCATCTCATCTCAAATTACATAATGCATTCAGAAAGTCAAATGTGACTTAGAGGATGGAGCTTTCAAAGCATTTCACATTATTTTTATATTGAGGATTCTTCATAGAAATGCTAAACATCTCTTGCACATTACATGAGACTCAGAGAAAACCAACCACCTTTTCTTATCAAACTATGTTCTTTTGATAACATGATTATGGAAAAAATTACAAATACAAGTAAAATAAAATCCTCAGCAGCTCCTGCGTAAATGAACTCTGCAGCATTTGGAAGGGCATTACAACAGTGTAAACATGATGGAATGCATGGATGAAGCAGAATGGGCAATGAATCCCACATCTTTTTGCATTGTGTATATCCCCCAAAACACACCACCAACAAACAACAGCTTAAAATTTAAGCATTCGCAGCTAATATCACAATGTTGTCCACATAAAGATTTGCATATACTCACATGTTCAAGGGGAGCAGTGATTTTCTTGTCAACAAGCCCAATAATGGGTCCGCCGTCAAAAAATTTCAAGCAAAAGAATGAACATTTGTATAAGAAATATGAGATCAGACAATAAGCAGTGGAAGACTTACCGCCATCTGAACACCATAATTAACATGTCCATCCGCAGAATTTCTGTTCCGGAGAAATCTCAAGAGCTTAAAGGTTTGTAAATGTCCAGAACCAGCCATGACCTGCTCTCTCAGAGAATTAGCACCCAACACTTGACGGCATTAATAACAGAAAATATTAGAAGAGAAAGCAAAACAAAAGAAGAACGAAAAGATTCATTTACCACAGACAGGGAAAGAACAATGAGATGAAGGCATATCTCCAATGTGCCCCGATCGACATAGTGAGACAATCCTCTTGGGAAGGTTCCACTTGTAGCAGAAACTGGCTTGATCTGCAAACACTAAAAATAAATTATTTACTACTAATGGATGGATGATTACAAGTTAAGAAACATCATGCCAAATGTCTGACCTCATTTAGAAAGTAAACAGCATAGTTGTAAAGTAACTCCTGAGCATTTCCATTCTTTGTACCAGCGAATCTCAACCCTGCCCATGATAAAAGATAATGGATTTCAAGGTAAAAGTAACATAGCAAGTTAATGTCTAACTTCTGCTAAAGTTTTGCATGTTTATCGAAACAGAAATAAACTATAAATAAACATTAGAATCATTTTGTTTGTAACCAAATAAAACAGCTTATACCATACAACTAAATATGCTCAAATATCATATAATTGAACAATTAGAACAGAAAACTGCAGGAGGCATATCCTTCATAGCTTGCCAAAGAAAAAGCACTATATCTAATGAAATTAAATGAAAATGACAATTGCATTAATATCCTCCAAGTCAGATACAACTACATAAGTGAATGCCATTCTCATTAAATCAATAAAAAAAATTAAAATCACATCTTACCAAGAGAAATGCAGGCTCCAGCCACTATATTGACATATGCCTGCACAAATGCTTCAGCATCCATTTCATCAATATCATCAGTGTCATCCCCAAGACAATTGACACCATTTTTTACAATATCAGGAATCTGAGACTGTATCCAATCTTGGGAAGGATGAACCCTACAATAAAACATTGTCAAACTATGTATGAAAAGTAGCTATATAGATTATTGAAAGACCCACTACCTGCTCCACATTATTAGACTTCGGGCAATGACACGAAGCATGATGAAATCAGGCCTCACATATTGCAACTCAAATCGTGTGTGAGGGATAGAGAGCTTAGACACAATTTCCTGTGATTCAGTCTGTTACAAAGAGCTACGTGAGAAAATCTTCATGCAGACAGATAAGCTAGTGGAAGTATATTGTTCAAATATGTATAATCTTTACTGGAAATTACCTTCAAAAACATTAAAGCAAGAGCGATCGTGGCTCCAGGTGCAGTGGCATCAACATTTACTGCAGTTCCATCCATCATCTACAAGACAATATTAACACGGGGTAAAACATGTCCATATCAAAAGCTGCCAAAAAAATACAGCACAGAAGTGGATTAAACAAAAGACTGTTATGCAATTGAAAGGTTACAAAAGCTAGTGTGAAAAATTCAAACCTGTGCAGCAGCACGGTTGTGTTCATCTGCTGATAGTTTTGATGAATTGGATCTATCCTGATGCAGGTCAACAGTTAACTTTCATGTTAGAATAACCACAAATTTAATAAATGGTAAAACGCAATTCTTGTGCAAGACATTTGGTGTACAGATTATACACAACTGAAAATAACACAGAGCAATGAAAGAATTATGGATTCAACATCATACATTGTGAACTTCTTTTCCACCAATATAATGGAACAATTTATCAACCATTGTGTCCATGAAACCAAGAGCATCTTCTCCACGACCTTCATTAAAAATCCAGAGTTATGACCGCGTCTCAACACAATCGAAATAAGCATATAACTGTTCATACCCAATGCAACAAGACCCAATGCAAATCCTGCAGAAACAGCATAACCCTCCCTTTCAAGTACATTATCCCCTGCACTTCTACGTCCTATTTCAGTCTGTAAAAATGGAGCATATAACATACAAAGTTAGATACAAGGCATCTTATGAACAAGATAAGATTAAAGCGCAATTAACATCAATCACCCACTAAAGAGAATAAAACAAAATGGCATAGTATCTCATGCAAAGGATGAATGCATCATGTAACACAAACCATGCATTCACTAGGTTACTAAGTAATAGAAAATGTGCAAACTTGTGGAGCAACAAAAAAAAACAGAGCAAACCATGAGAATCTGCATTGTTTGTGGGTGTGCTGATCCTTCATAAAGGAGCCCAACTGACATTAGACCTGCTGACTGTTACAACAAGAAAAAAAGAAAAAGGATGAAGGTGGTATGCTATTAAACAAAGCATCAAATGCTTCATTATGCAAAACTAGCTGGAAAGTTGAGGAAAATTAAATTAGTAATTCCAGTAGCATTGTACACTAGCACAAGAGAAAGAGGTAACAGAGATGGATGCAGAAATGCAAGTTTGCCAGTAGCAAGAGTAATATAATAACAATAGCACGATGAATACCTGCACAAGGGTCTGTAACTCTACTTCAAATGAAGGCGGATTTCGAGCAGGTATATGAACATAAAGACACTGTCATGAAATTGTAATAAGGTTACACGACACACAGCATAGGCACTATTAATTTAATTTTCAACTGAAAAAGCAACATAAGTTGCACCCGGTGCTTAAAGGGCATATGTCATTACCTTTGATATTGCTGGTTGCATAGTCCCTCTGTAAGAAGCTGCCAGGCCAAGCATCATGCCAACAGTTGTGATTTCATGTTCCTAAGAAATTGAAGTGTCAAGTAAGCAAATCAGACAATAACCGAAGAACTAAATGCAGAAGAAAAAGAAAATGATGATGATGATGACGATGGCAATCAACAAGGAACAAAAGGCTAGGCAATCAACTTCTCTTTCTCTCTCTGAACGTGTGTATTGTGTGAGTTGACATATCTGCCTTTCGTGAAAAAAATTCCCAGCATAAAAAGTTACATAAAGCCTCTAAACAAATGTACTGAAGCCCCCATAAGTCAAACAATTCTAAGTAAGAACCATCAATATGATACCCCTACTACTTTAATTCACAAGAGTTGAAAAGAAAATTTGAGTAGATAAAAATTTGCTGAGTCTAAAATGTTTTAAATTAAGCAGGTTTTAATCAAGACGTACCAAAAGCAGGCAAACAGCAATTCAAGGAACTGAAAGGCAGTGAAAATGAAGATAATAAAGAACTGAAAGCCGTGCAACACAACACCTGATAAAGATACTGATATATGTCCGTAATAGTTAAGACACGCAGATAACCATGTAATCCTAGTGCAAGGATAAGTCCAGCATGGATAGCATTTGGCTCCTCTGGTTTGTTATATATAATCCACATTCTTGACATTTTTCCCTGGAATGAAAAGCCAAAACAAGACACAAAACTCAAGAAAGATCACATAAATATTAGAACAACATATATAATATATGTTGGGGAAATGAACAGAAGCATGAAAATAAATTCAATATAGTAAACATAAACATGAAGGCAGATATCTATGTACAATTTCAAGGTAAAGCAATACAAAAACAAATAACTCACCAAAAAACGTAATTAAAAATGGAAGTCATAATACAGAAATCAAGATAAAATGAGTGCTATTAAATTTAGATCTAACAAAAACCATTTAGATAAGAGAGATCAGGGGAGAGAGAACCTGAAGAGGAGCCAGCCTTAGTCCAGCAGCAACAGCATTGTTGAATTCAGGCCAAGATTTGATTTCTTGTATATTCCTCACATTTGGATCCAGATTAACCTTTCGTAGAGAAACATTATGTAAAACGCCTCGCCTTACAGGAGGTAAATAAACACAACATTGCTAACAAAGAAAATCTGAACATACAGTTGCATTTTGCTGGGCAGGCAACCGACCTGCTAAAACAAGCTTTGGGACTACAAAGGCCTAGAGAATGTGGAGTTGGGCAGAAGAATCTGTTAGTGCACGTTAAGCATTCAATGTAACAGAAACACACAGACAAAAAACAGAGGTACCTCTGTCAGAAGTGTATATATGGTTGCAAGAGTGAATGCCCCACGACCGAAAGGAAGGGCAGTGGTCCTTTGTGCAAGGTGCCATAGCTGGGCCTTTACAACAAAAGAAGAACAGCAAGAAAATGCAGAGATGGCATTAAAAAAATTGTATGTCCACTGAGCAGGAAACAATAGGGATATCAAAGCCTTCATGATTCACAAAATGCAGTAATTGTCGTTCAATCCTTTAATCTGCTACAATGAGTTTGTAAAATGTATGACCAAAAAAATCATAAAGCTCTTTCATTTTAATTAAATAACTGACCGTGTACTAATCAAGGGGGAAAAAGAACTGATAAACTAAGTATACTTTTAAGCTTATTACAAGCAATTAAAAATACACCTGAAGTCACACACATCACAAGAAGTCAAGAAATCATCATCACTAACAAAAACACACAGGCCTGCAGAACACAGATGCAGAATCTCTGAAGTACTTGGCCTTTTTTCACCTTTTTATTTCAAAATATTTTAACTAAGAAAAAGCTGAATCTAACCATGTTCAACTTGCCAACGCAACGAATATGATCAACACAAATCATGGCAGATACCATTGTTGGATAAACAGATATGATACAGCAGCACTTCAGAGCAAAACAAGGTCGGGAAAAAACTCAAGAAGACTCAAATTAGATAAATTAAAGTTCATTAACTCTTAATAGTTTTATTATGTTAACAGCATTCTTTTAATACAAGCCAAAAGAGACAGATGCCATTATACAAATGGTTGGTCAAGTTAAGTCAGCCTCAAAGTAGTTTACAGTTGATGCCTAAAAGTTCAAAAAAAGTAATGGATAACTAATAACGTGTACCTGTTGGAGGTCCTGATCAGAGGCACTAGGATTAACAGATGTTTGAATTGCCACAGGTCTTGCAGAGCACAGGAGCCGTCTAACCTGGTGGAAGCAAAAGTTGCTTTCAGACACGTATAGTACAGTTCTATTCAGAAGATACTTTAGAAGACCCATAACAAGAACAAGCAAATCTAACAAATACACATGCATTACAATAATTACTATAAATGAAAGAGCAACCACTCCAACACAATAATGCAAGCCAAGTGATAGGATGTTAAAGGGAAAACTAAGGTAAGGAGAACTAAAATTCACCTCATTCAGTCGCAAATCACGACCATAGCGCAACTGTGTACTAGAGTTGAAGATATGTTCCATACCATCTGTCATAGACCCATCAGCAGAATCTGCATCCTCAAACTTGGTATTATCAAATCCGATTGTATCAGATACTGCTGAAGGAATGGTGACTGGATGCAGATGTAGCATGTAAGGTGCAGACATAGAAATTAAATTCACATTAGTTTGGGTTTCCAGTTCCTTAGATTTGCATGATCGTGCCAGATATGACAAAGCCAAATCTTCCCGACCAAGAAGAACATATGCAGCTGCAGGCCAACCAATCGGAGGAGATTCCCTGCACTTACCCAGTGCCTATAGAACACAGAAATAAAGGATTCCGTTGATTATGGAAAGTTAAAAATACAAAAAAATTGACAACAAGGAGACTCACTAATATTACAATACTGACACAGAAAAAAACAAAAGTAAAACTGCCTTCTTCCACAGAAAAGTAAAAGAAAACAACAGCATATTGTCCTCTCTTTTTTTCCAAAACATTCTAGGATCTCCGTGGTTTCAACAAGTGACACTTAACTACATGGATGTAGCATTACTTACGTGTCGCAAAGGAAGAGACACACCAGAAGGCAGTGAGTCAAGCTGTTGCAATCCAAACTTTTCCCCAACCATTGCCAGTACTGTGAGTTCCTCGTTTGTGTCGTATGATCCCGTGGCAATATTGCAGTAAACACCAGATGAGAGTTTCTTCCCTATATGTTTAGCACCAGATAACAAACTATAAAATGAGACTATTTTCCGGGCCCAGCTTACAACAGAACTTCCATCTTTACAAATCAATGGCGGAAGATCATTGATATTAGCTGAATTATATCCATGTAGCAAACAGTTTTCAAGCCATCTGAATAAACTTGGAGGATTTTCCTGTGAAATGGAGGTATCACATATCCCAACACTTCCAGAAAGGCCAGGAAAGTCACGAATGTAATGGTCCACATAACTTTCCTCCCCCAAAAACTTAGCAATATAGCATGATAGGAATCCTAGAAGCTCCAAGTCCCTAAAAAGCAATTATAGTACAGTTTAAGGCAAATTTACAAATTAAATAATAACAAAAACCGCACATGCACACACACAAGTCAATAAGATGTGTTTGCCAGGTTACACACCATGACAGGTTGTAGTTAAAGAGCTCAACATGAAATGCCCATAGGAACAGATGAAGAATCAATAGCAGTTCATGTCTCATGCAACTCTCCAGTAAACAATTGGCGAACTGAAACACCCCTAACCTTTTATTTTAGTGCTGAAAATGTTAATGGTCCTGCACTTAGCATGGCAAGCATAAAAGAAGCGCCTTAAATAGGTAAAACATCAAAAGAGGCACTCCACCTATACTATCGATTTCCAAAAAACTTTATAAAGGTTCATCCAAGTCACTCAATTGGCACGAATCACTACACCTCACATGCATGCAATGTCATAATTGTAAATATAGCATGCCACTGAAAAAATAGAAAAAAGCAAGAAGATTAAAAGATAACAAGACGCACCTTTTGCGAAGACTATTCAGTTTCAGGTTCTCATATACTGCATGCAAACAATGTAAACTCTCCATCAACAGCTCATAGTAAAATGTTCTTTCTGGCCTTTGTGTACCATCTGAATTTAACCAAGAGGAGTCCAGTCTTTGCACATCCAATGACATGACAGAAGAATTTTGAGTAATAAGGTTATGTTTGCAGTAATTGTTGTGAAATTTACTGTGAATAAGAAACTCCCACGACGACTGAGGCATTGGACTTGAAATCTTTTTAGAAGTGGCACTTGATCCACAAATTTCCATCATAATGCTACAAAAAGAGTCCCATTCTGAGGGAACACTAGAATCAGCTTCTGATAGATAAGCCAAGTCACCATCTTTCCAAAGCAGACTAAGAAAATGGCTGTAGAAATTGGAACTTAGTCCCTCAGCCATAGCTGTGATGCAATCATTTGCCAGGGAAGATGCAGGGCTTCTACGTAATACACACCGAAACATCTGGACAACAATGAATAAACAAGTCCATAAAAAAAAGCTTTCATAGCAAGTAACTCAAATTGATAAAGACATCAGCAGTCACTACAAATATCGAAAATGACTAATACATGTTACATTGAAACATATGGACGGCAGTTCGACTTTAAACAACAAACATAGGAAATCAAGAAGGGATGACAACAATAAACATGTAAGCCACATTACCTGCCCATTATTTACTGTAACATTGATACGCCCCTCAACAGCATCAGCCAATCCTATAATCTTCAGGCCCTGGGAAACAGATGTTGTTTCTGGAAACTCTAACTTATGTGAAAATCGTCCTTTACTCAAACGACAAGGCAACATATATCTACATAGGCAGTGCTTCCCTGACTGCAAAAACAGAAAAAGTTGATTGCACGAAATGTTACACTCATATAAGAAGAAAAAAAAATATTATTAACTATAAAAATAAAAAAACTATAGTTTCTCAATTGATCAATTCATTACTACTAGAATCGAAAGTAATTTCTAATTCCAATTCCAGGTACTAATTGAACTATTACAGAGAGTGTCAACAATATTATTAACTATGAGTAACTCAATGGATATAAGCTACCAAGTTGGTATAGCTTACATAGAGAAGAAGGACATTTTCAGGAGCCAAAACAACCATGTCTGAATATGGCAGCAGTCCCACTTTCACTCTGGAAAAGTAAAAGGAGAAAATCAAGTCCATAAAATTTTCAAACAGACTTGAGATAAAAATAAAAAGGAAAATGAAACATGAAATGCAACCATACCTAGGGCGGGTAACAATCACAGGTGCTGCTGCAACTGCAGGTATGCTCCAGCTCATATCAGGTTTAATGTCAAAGAGAATCTCATTATTTATCTCAACACTTTGAAGCCTTACACACAGCAACTTTTTTTGTTCGTGGTGAAGAAAACAAATAATAGGAGCTGCATCATCATCCGTTGCTAGAAAAACCTAGAATACATTTTACAGTTAAAATCAGAAGAAAAGGGAAACTCACATTTACTTAAGTAAGGTACCAGCCCAAAATTAAAATAAAATAATAACAAAAAAGAGGCACCTTACAAGCTGCCATGTGGGCACCCTTGCCTTGCCATATTCTACGGAGTGAGAACTGTTTTGCTAGAACACCAGGAGGAACTGCATCCAATAAACTAGCACTTGCCATTTCATGGTTAGAATTACTAGTTTCCGCAACCCACACAGAGTGTTGCATCCTTCCTGCATAAAATGTGACAACGTTATATAAGCATAACACAACATACAATAAAGGGGAAATCAAATTGGAGTCGGTAATGTAGACATCTAAGAAACCTGTATTATAAGATGCCATAAGAGGAATCCGATCACTCGTCCAAATAGTTGTTTCATCAAATTCCTTCATTATGTTCAATTTTCCTCTTTCTTCAATATAAGCCAACTGAAATATTTTGAGGATTTAAAAAAAACATACATCAACAAAAAGGAAAAAGGAAAACAGAAAATAAGGAAGCTAAGTAAAAAGTCCAGTAGCATACATGAGGTTCTTCCAATGGATCTTTCAGAATTAGATGTGAGGACATTGAAATTGCTTCTCCCTTGGCAATATGGTCAAGTGCAGTTACAGAATTGACATTATGCTGTGGACTATGTCCACTTTCTCTCCTAGGACGGGATAGATCTCGTAGGCCAAACAAAGGATTTGACGACGAAGAAGGAGCAGGTGCAGTTGAATTAACTTCGGCTGCGTGTTGAAGTAGCAAACCAAATGGAAGAGGCCATATCGATTTGATGGTGCGAGGAAGAGGGACAGAGACTACTTCACCTATTAAACAAAAAAAAACACAAACGATTTTTTTTTCTTCAGTTTTTCAGGAATTTATCTACAATCAGAAATATAAACTATATCAAAATTAAGTTTAAGAGAATGGGAAGGTGATTTTGTTTTATTTTTCAGAAATTTATCTACAATCAATTTTGCACACCTGATGTGTTGTAGATTGTTAAAGAAGCAATTTGTAAAACGCATAAAAGAGCTTCGGTCATATCACCCAAACGACACCAACAAGCCTGGAATTTACACACAAATAGTTCTCAACATAAAATTATATCAGTCTAAAGAAGCAATCCAAGCAAATTTGAATACCATGATTATTGGCGACGGCAATGTGAACCTCTTAAAGACTCGTGGACCTGTTGACCATATAATCCTGATACAAACATTACGGATAAAGTCATTTCATAATTCCACATTTTCGGAAAATGGAAAAAAATTGCAATAAATTACCGATTTCCTCGAATGAAAAGCTCGTGATCACATCGATCGCTCAACGCGGAGGCCGATGCTTCGTCAGTTTCGTCTCTTTCTCGAACGGTTTCGGGGTCGAACAAGAAGTAATCGTACTTGTCGGTGACATTATCGGCAGGCTTTCCGTCGACGGCTTCGGCGATTAAGCCAAAGGGCTTGAACTCGCCGAGCACTGTGAGGTGACGAACGCCCAAGGACGACGACATTTCTTAGTGAGAGAAATGGAGCTCAGTGGAGTGAGAGACTGTCTCTCCCGCCCTTTTTTTCTTTTCGTTTTGCTGTGTTTGGTGAATCAACGGGTGGGAATTGGGGAGAGTGAGTTTTAAACCCTAATGTTTTTAGGTGTTTGGTTGCGTGGATTAGCTTGTTCCAGTGAGGATTTAGACTGGCGGTGCGTTTTATGCGACCGTTATTACTTTTCGTGGTGTCTTATATTTTTTTACAAATTTATAAATAAACCCAATCTAAACATGTATTTATAAAAAAACTCAAGTACTATTTAAATATAGAAATACACTCAAAATCAACCCAAAAATCAACAATTGTATATTTTTTGGGTGTGTTCACAAATGAGTTTTGAGTATGTGTAATGATGAGTTTTAGGTGTATTTATAAAGTGTTTTGGATGTTGGGTTTTTTTATAATTTCAGCTTCCATTTTGAGTGTTTTAATGAAACTCTTTATATTTTTCTGACAACAGCAAACTGGGCCTATTAGCCACAACCAGACAAAGCACATCCTCAGCTAGCAGCCCAATGGGTCACGTAAGCCCATTCCAAAAAGTAAAACTCAAATTCATTTTGACTTTTTTTTATAGCTCGTTTTGCAATTGATATTAAAACTATTTCAATTTCTGAACCCTAAATTCCATATATATTTTCTCGTTTACAGGGATAACCTACGTAAAAGAAAGAGAAAAAATTAATTAGTAAAACCCTACACACACCCTGTTAAGCTCTACTACGTACAACTATTCTCATGCACACTACATTAAGATCTGCTACACTACATTAAGATCTGCTACGTACAACTATTATTGTGCATCGCTTGTATATATTACAAATATCATCTTGTAGCTTCTAGCTCTGTAGAACTGATCATGTCGAGCTTGATCTGGTTTTGTATTTAGACTCAGCAATGGGAATTCCCTCCCGAGCCGCAAGTTCTCCTCCTAGCTCGTCGGATGTGCTAAGCCCGCCCTTGCGACCTATCTCCTGGTACCCTTCATGCCCTATCTGTTCCTTCCTTGTCTGCCCGCCTTTGCTCCTCCCTAATTTCATCCATTATTCCAAAATAATAACGAAAACACAGAATACAAGACAAAGAAGTCAGAAAAAGGAAAGCACACAAACATACATGTAGGCGTGCATGTATATATTTGCGTTAGTATATGCCCGCCTTTTGCACACGAATTTGGACCAACTCTCTCTCCGGACATTAGAATAGTTTATATATTGCTCTTGTTAAAACAACAAAGGTTTATAGATTTACGCACCTTCAGCAAAGTGTTCCTGGGCTTCAAGAGTTTTGCCACCAGTTCCTCCAGGGACCACTGTCTGGCCCTGCCTAGCCCTGGGGTCAAGCTCAGCCCTTTCCTGTTGCGAAGACATTTCTCTTACTACTGGAACTACTTTTCGCAAAAAGTGCTATTTTGAAATGGATATTCGCAGATGGTAAACACTTATCACGAACGGCGGCGTTCTCATAGTTTGTATTACTAACTGCCGGAAGAGAGGTGGAAAATATATATACGTACGATGGAAAGGGAAGGGACCAAGCGGCTTGGCATGGGATCGAATGACACGTGGTACGTGACGAGTCAATAGATGGAAAGACATACTTGACACGTAGGCCAAAGGGCCTACATGAAGAGACACGTAATGCGCCATCCTGTGTGGAACCTTGCTTGAGTAACACGTGTGTACTGAGTGAAAGCAGCCGCAAAATTGGAAAAAAAGCATTACTGTGTTTCAGCTGCTGTTTTAATTAATGTGTTTAATTATGCTCCGTGTTGCTTTCTGATTGGTGGAGGAATATAAGAGACCACTTAACACGTACACTACCACTTAAGCTACAATTTATGGACAAAGACATTGTTTGGTTTTAAAAAAATTTGTTCCCCTTCGTATAACACATGACCAACGTTGTTTTCATGCATAATTAAAACTCATGATCCACGTTAAGGGTTTGAGAATGACTGGACTAAGTTTTGCTTGCAATATATGATCAAACAATCAAAGGTAGCAGCTGGTCCAAGGTCCAAACTCAAACCACACTCTCTGCTGCACAAAAGAAAACAAAAAGTCAATCCATGGCTTTAACACAAACGTTTTCCATACCCCTACTAAAAGAAAATAAGAAAAACAATGAGATCGGTTGCAACTTTTTTTTAATTTCATATGACTTAATTAACATATGTGCTTAAAAATTAATTAGAAGCATTAATTAGGTCTAGTTCAATGGAAGATGGCCGGATTCTTGCATATAAGTGGTGTCAGGTTTGAATCTCTTATAATACCATGATACTGTGTGAAAAACCTTATCATATTTTAGTTTAAACTATATTTTGTATTTTAAAAATAATAATAAATAAAATTTGAAGCCGATCTTTTGTGGACATAATTAAAAAGCAAATCTCCATTTGTGTCTTTGCATCTTTGTTGGTTTCTTCTAGCATTGCAAACATCGATTGTAAATATATTTATATATAGAGTACGAACTTTAGTGTAACTTTTAGGGAAAAATTCTGTTTATAAACCATATCACTTCAAAATATAGAAGCCTTAGACTAATTAAAATTCAAAAAAGGAGTCCATTATAATATTGGCGCGCATGCCACCGACTATGGACTGCAGTTGTGAACAGATGGCCTGTAGCTGGAAACAGGGAAGCTGCGTAAAACCCTGATCACCGACCTCCTCTAATCAAAATCTGCCATGTGCAATTCTATTTTTCTTTTTGTTCTTTGCAAGATTTCCGTTCGAAAAGAAAAATAAAAAGGAAAAGGATGGGACGCCGAATATGGACAGGGTGTTACAAATACGAACCAGACGAAAAGGCGTGTTTGACCGTTGAACAAAACTGGTCGTAAAATAAGCACCACCCACTCCACAAGAAAATTTCTCCATTGGTTTAATTTTGATATTTCTAGAGATACGGTAGGCACGCCCTTTATTAAGAGGAGAGCGTGTGATGCACTCACCTCCCTCACTGTCTGACTCAATCTCAATTTTGGAAAACCTTTTTAACGTTACGGATCATGCCTGATGTCATTAATTGTAAGATGTATATTATTTATTAATATAAAATATATTTAATTTTAATTTTATACATACGTGATTATATCACGGTGTGACGGATGCAACACAACTATTTTCCGTCAATCTTAAGTCAATTCAATTCCCAAATAACTGATATAAGACCTCGTCCGTCCTCCATACGGTTTATAAATAGCATACAAATCCCGCCGCTGTCTACCAAATCACAGAAATAAACTCATAACCAGAGACGAGAAGCAAAGAGAAATACAGTCAAAAAGGCAAAAAAGAAGACACAGGGAGGGATACAAAGAGAAACAAAATGCCTTGCGCTTTGGTGGCGCCAAACTCTCCGATTTTCTCACCGTCGAAAATTCCTTCCATCTTTTTCAGATCATCATCTTTATCTTCTCCTTCTTCATGTTCTTCCCCTAGAGTCCTCCATGGCCCGCCTCCTACGCCGTCACGATCTTCGTCTTCGACAGCGCCTTTAGAGTCTCGGTTTCAGAGGCACGTGATAAGTGGCTGCAAGACGGAGCCTTCGGGTTTGGCTTTGAAGAGGAAGAGGCCGATGATGATTGATATTCCAGTAGCGCCGTTGAGTTTCAAGGTTGAGTCGCCTGATGGAGCGGAGAGAGTGGACGTGGTGGAGGTTGAAGAGGATGGTTACTCGGTGTATTGTAAGAGAGGGAGAAGGGGTCCTATGGAGGATCGCTACTCAGCTGTTGTTGATCTTCGCGATGATTCGAGACAGGTAATTCTTTTGCTTTGTCAAAATTCTGTTTGTTTGCTGAGAGAATTGTGGAAATGGAAATGAATTTCTTTAACAGAAAGGTCTGAAGCTCTCTGCTTTTTACCGCGGTTTCAAAAGATTAAGATATATGTATCATCAAGTTCAATTTTTTGTTTAGCTTGGATGAGGTTGTTTCAAAATTTTGTGGGGAATTGAGCTTAAGCTGAGAGCAAGGTGATTATAATTTATAATCAAAGAGACCGCTTTTAAAATGATGGTAGCATAAAGCATACATAAATGCAAAGAATTGGTGATGGAGAACAACAATTGGGGTTTTAGATAATTTGGGAAACGTAAAAATATGGAATTATGTTTTGGATTCTTTTGAATTTGCTATGCGAACTTGTGCTGATTATGTGTTTTCTGGTGACAGGCCTTCTTTGGTGTGTTTGATGGACATGGAGGGGCAAAAGCAGCCGAATTTGCAGCCAAGAACATGGATAGAAACATTAAGGATCGTTTGACCTGCGGAAGTGAAGAGAAAATCATGGAAGCAGTCAAAGATGGTTATCTAACCACTGATGTCGATTTTTTGAAGGAGAATGTTGGGAGTGGTGCATGCTGTGTGACTGCCTTAATGCAAAAGGGCAACCTTGTGGTCTCAAATGCCGGTGACTGTCGTGCCGTTATGAGCCGAGGAGGTGTTGCAGAGGCCCTTACATCTGATCATCATCCTTCAAGAGTAGACGAAAGAGCTAGGATTGAAACCACGGTAAGCATTCAAATTTTTGCATATGAGCTTGAGAATTTACTTCTGTCACCTAAATAAAGATTGAAATGGAAGATCATCATGGACCTTGTCACTTATTGGATTTTGCAATTTTTCCTGTTGCAGGGTGGTTATGTAGATTGTTGCCGTGGGGTTTGGAGAATACAGGGCTCTCTTGCTGTTTCAAGAGCAATTGGAGATCGACAGCTTAAGCAATGGGTGATAGCAGAACCGGAGACTACAATCTTAAGGATAAACCCTGAATGCGAGTTTTTAGTGTTAGCTTCTGATGGTCTTTGGGACAAGGTAACTTTACAACAAATCTCATTTCATGTTTCTTCTCTTTTGAAGCATTACTTCAATCAAAGTTGTTTGAATCTAAATATGAACTTTTCATTTCTTCCAGGTTACCAATCAGGAGGCAGTAGATGTAGTTCGCCCTTTATGCGTTGGTACCGATAAGCCAGAGATGTTTTCTGCTTGTAAGAAGCTTGTTGATCTGTCAATAGGGAGAGGTTCCATGGATGATACAAGTGTGATGATAATCCAATTAGGTCGTTTCGTCTCATGATTTGATTTTAGGTAAAAGGAAATTCAGACTATGACAATCGACTTTTTCTTCCACTGCAAGTGAGTTTTTTCAAGAAGCTTGCAGCTTCAGAAAGAAGCTAGGAAGACAAATTCTTCTGGGAGGTCCTCTGTATCTGGTTGCTGTCAAAGATGGCGGCTTTAGAAATGACACAGCAGAAAAGCCATTGTGGTGTAGAATGGCAAATCACACCGTCAAGTAAATGACAAATTTTGTGCTCCCTTGGATTTTGTCTCAGCAGTAGGAAGAGTATCAGAAAACACATTTCATGATCCTTGTAACTGTAAATTTTCTCCCTTTCAAAGTTAATAATAAATCATCAAATTATTTACCATGTGTCAATTTATCGTCTTATAATTATTGTATTTTGTTCTACATTATGATCATATGTTTTGCCTTTGTCTTATTGAAGTCAACTCCTATAGCACATCGTCTTATTTTGCTGTTGGACCAGGTCAGTCCTGTTTGGCAGCTGCAGCCTGCAGGCTTAGTATTCTATATTCTTCTGCTCGCACTTGTTCAATAATGGATCTGTGCCTGGTTCCTGACGCAGTCTCCACCAGTCCTATTTTGCATTTCGCTTTCATGTACCAAGTGAATTGTGACTGGATTGTGGATATGAACAGTCCTATTTTGCACTTCGCTTTCATGTACCTAGTGAATTGTGACTGGATTGTGGATATGAATTGTGAATTGTGACTGGATTGTGGATCTGGATTGTGAATTTGCCTATGTCTGCTTAGCCGCTGTAATGGTTTGTCGCAAACTCTTTCAATTACTTTCTTTTCTCTTATGTGTCCACGGGAGATTCAATTCGAACTTCGCAACTCTTTCCGGCATTAGTAAGAGAAATACCATGCATGCACAAGATTAAAAGCTAATTAATCATGCTGTTATGATTCGAAAGTTTTGACGTTGACGCTGAATAATTAAAACGTTAAAAGAAGTTTAACACCCAAAATATTAAATCTTATTTCTATATCTTCCTGTCTTTTGCTCATCAGCCTTATCTTTGGGGCCCTTCTCCTCATGCCAATCATGCTACATAGAGAACCATGACAACGAGAATAACTATGAGGACCTATGATTTTATATGCTAAAATGAACATAAACAACACTTCATCTGCTTTGTGTTTTTGTCCAAAGATGAGCCTACTACGCACTAACGAGTCCCATGTTGACTGCTGTTGTGTTGGGGCCTTTGCTGCTCTTTTTGGCTGTTTTGTGTTGTGTCTGCTTTTGTTGTGGTTTTTAATTGTATGTGGGCCGAAGAAAAGAAGTATGACGATTCTCCCATGCCCAAAACAGTTTTTTGGTAAATATCACGAGGTGTCCCATATCCGAATAGTGGGATTAATCCCTGCTCGGATTTCAGCTTGCTTTTAGCCACAAAATACATTTTGAACCCCTACAATTGAGGCATCAGGTAGCTCGCCAGTTGAAGGTGGTAGTTTGCCAACTGCACCACACCTTGTAATTAGTTCGGTTGCGTGGATTTTTAGTCTGTTAATATGTGTGTGGAGCATACTTAACTATAAGTATGTATTAAACCAACATGCATAATTAATTGGTTTTCATATCAAGGGGTAATTTAACGTAAGGGAGATTCAAATCCGAATGTAAGAGGACGAGTAACATTGTCATTATCAAAAAGACCTATTTCGTATATTGTACATAATGTTGGACAATATTTTATTGGTTTTTTTTTTTTTTTTTTTTTTTTTTTTTTGTTTTTTAATTATTTTTTTTTTTTCTTGGGGGCTTGGGCTTGGTATATATTTGTGGGGAAGTTGTTAATAAACACATATAGCCTCATACTTTTTAATTAAACTTCTAACCCCTTCCGAGTCCTGAAAAAAGATGTTGCAAAATTTGTAAGTTTGTAACAACTGATGAATCATGCTTGCTTAGCCAGAAAGTAATGTGCTTTACAATTTTATCTGAAAAAAAGTAGAAATAAGAGAAGAAAGATAAAAGAGAAATGGAAACCTTTTTTATTGTTTGGATTGAATAACAAATATTTGTCAAAATTTTAAAAAGTCAAGCAACACAACATTTTTATTATTTTATTCAAAATTTTGCAGTTTTATGTAGAAAATAAAACCTATACAATTTATTTTATGGCTTTTAAATCCAAATATATTGTAAATAAGTTCTTTATCACACATTGAAAAGACCTTACTATCCATTAGAAATTTAGAACAGTCGTTTATAAAGGTCGGGTTGAATCCAGACCCGCAGAACCCGGCGTCAATATAAAATAAAACCAAGGCAAGAAAAAAAAAACACGAAGCACTACAGAACATTTTTAACACGTATTGATATTTATTTATTTTTTACTCAGACGACGAGTTAATTATTTATTTAAATAGTTTAGCTCTGGAAGTGGCTTGGATGAGATCTCTGCTTCTCGTTATAATTCACTTGAAAATTCCACATTTTATAAAATCCCAAAAAACTCTCCCTTCTAACCCCCTTTATCAGATCTCTCTCCCTTGTTCGCTTTTGCGGGTCTAAGGGTTTCGTTGCTGTTCTAGATCTCACAGCGATTCGAATCCCCCGCAGGGTTCGAAACGCTTTCTCTCTCAATCTTTACATCTCTTCGCTGTGGACTCTCAGTTCACTGCTGGCCTAATCGCATCCTCAGATCCGAGCCTTCCTTTCCGAGCCGTCGATCCGCGCAACCATGGCGGCCGCGAACGCTCCGATCACCATGAAGGAAGCCCTAACGGTCAGTTCTATCTTCTGATTCGATGTTACTTAAGCTCAATTTCAAATTACACTTGTTTTCTGAGCTGAAATAGTTGCTGTTTGGTCGATTACTTTGCTCGATTTATCGTTTAAGCTTACTTAGTTGGTTTTTAGCTTCACATGGATCTGTAGTGTCTAAAATTTGTGGTCTATGTTCAGATCTGATAATTATCTCACTAGGGATTGCTAACTTAAGCAACTATGATTTTGAACACAACAACTGTTTACTGAGTGGTTTTGACTAAAATAAAAAAGTGATTGATGAGTTTATGTGATCTGATCTGATTGCAGCTTCCGAGCGTTGGGATTAATCCACAATTCATAACATTCACACATGTTACTATGGAATCCGATAAGTACATATGTGTTCGGGAGACTTCGCCGCAGAATAGTATTGTTATTATTGATATGAGTATGCCGATGCAACCTTTGAGGAGGCCAATCACTGCGGACTCTGCACTTATGAATCCAAATTCCAAAATCCTTGCATTGAAAGGTATGCTATAATTACATGTTTGCATTCCAAAATCCTTGTCTCTGTTGAGAAATTCTCTTGCTTACCGTTCTGGTTTTGATCTTAATGTGTTGTGGATGCACTTAGTTTAGTATTTTGTTTCAGCATCAACTTATTGACCCATAGTTTACTTGATTAGTATTGCAATAAGTTTTAGTCATAGACTGATAGACTCACCATGCATCTTGCTAATTCATCTACAGCATATAGTTAGTTGGACCAGCAGCGATTATCATATACATGTTATGCTCGTAACCTTATTTACCTACTGGTTTTTACTTGCCGGCACCTTACCTTTCTTTATGGACTTTAGCGTATACTTTTGTTAATGCTGCACTATTATTTATTTATTTTTTTGCTCATGTGTTGTCAAATCTGTTTGAAGCCCAAGTCCAAGGTACTACTCAGGATCACCTTCAAATATTTAACATTGAGATGAAAGCAAAATTGAAATCACATCTTATGCCTGAACAGGTACTCACTTTATTGGTTTGCTAATTAGTATATTTTTTCGCATCTCTTCAAAATTGTGTGAGAATATCAGGTTCTTATTATTTTCTGCCGGGTTTTAAACAATCTAGCTTACCTATCCTGTTGGTTCATTTGTAGATTGTTTTTTGGAAGTGGATAACCCCAAAGATGTTGGGTTTAGTCACTCAGACTACAGTGTATCACTGGTCAATTGAAGGTAAGATGCCTTAAACAACTTATTTGAGTAACCCAATCATACATCTTCAGCTTTTTGTCACATGGAAACATTCAAATTTATGGTATCAACTCACTTGTTTTGCTAATTCTTTTTGTTCTTTATGTGTTTGTCCTTGTAGGGGAGTCGGAACCTGTCAAGGTGTTTGAGCGAACAGCTAATCTGGCAAACAATCAGATAATAAATTACCGTTGTGATCCTTCTGAGAAGTGGTTGGTTTTGGTTGGAATTGCTCCTGGTGCTCCGGAGGTATGCTGTTATGTCTATTAATGCCTGTCCAGCATTCATTTCTTATGTTCTCCAGTATTCTTTTTCTCAGCTGAGGAAAATTGTCAGAAACTGCAAAACTCATTGGGTCTTTTGTCGCCCTGTTTGAGTTCCTACAAGTGCAGTCTTTATTCTTGCTCAATGAGTGTTTGTGGTCAGCCCTTTAATTGTCAATCTTTCTTTGTATTAAGATGTCTGTACTTTTATTTGGATTAGATTTGGTATAGCTTCATAAACAATACTGTGGCAACTATGTTAGCCAATGATTGATGTTGTGAAACAACTCTGCTTCCATATTAGTTTTGTTTTCATTTCCTTTTATGGAGTTCCTTCTCTTATCTGTTTGTAGAGTTTACAATATGTCAGACAAAATCTACAACCCGTCTCTTTTAAGGCCACTTTATGCTGTACTGCTTCTGATCCTTAGTCTTGTTTTGTTTGTAGAGGCCACAATTGGTTAAAGGAAATTTGCAACTCTTCTCTGTGGATCAGCAGCGCAGTCAAGCTCTTGAAGCACATGCTGCATCATTTGCTCAATACAAGGTGTGCCAATTTCATTTTCCCCATTCTCTTACTCTGTATTTGATCTTTACACTCTTGTACTACACACAATTGGTTATTACATATGTGTATTTATATATACACACCCTATATATACATATATATATATATGTATATTTGAATATTGTTGATCTTTTTCATTTCTTTTGAACAGGTTCCAGGGAATGAGAATCCCTCAACTCTTATTTCTTTTGCCACTAAGACCCTGAATGCTGGACAGATTACATCAAAGTTACATGTTATTGAGCTCGGCGCCCAGCCAGGTTGATATAAGGATTATATTATAGTTACATGTACATGAAATGAGCTGGACTTGCCTTGTCCTGTGTAAATACATGTTTTGTCGTTTCTTTACCCACAATCTCCTACACATTTGTAAAGGGTGATTATGTTTAGTAGGATATTGAAACAGGGTACTTCATTATTAGTGGTAATTAGTCATGGAGATATTGGTTACATATGCTTAGAATCTAATTTTGAATAAGTTTAACATGCTCATAAAGTTAATTAGTGGTATGAGTCATAGAAAATGTGTTGTTTTATGTATTGTATTTTGATGATTGTAAAGTTAAAGGAACATGTTGTGAGTTTGAATTTCTTTTATTTTCTTCTTCAGGGAAGCCATCTTTTACAAAGAAACAAGCAGATCTGTTCTTTCCTCCAGATTTTGCTGATGATTTCCCAGTTGCCATGCAGGTACTGAATTTACTAATGTTTTTGACTAATCTTGTATAATACGGTACATATGTTAATACTGAATTTGTTAATTTGGCAGATGTCTCACAAGTACAGCTTGATTTATGTAATTACAAAGCTTGGGCTACTGTTTGTGTATGATTTAGAGACAGCTAGTGCAGTTTACAGAAATAGAATTAGTCCGGATCCAATCTTCTTGACAAC